TGCAATGCTACAAAAAGGTACGTCCACATGAACGACTTTAATTGGTACTCAATGTTAGTATTTGTGTTTGTTTGCGCCGACATTTACTACATTTGTAAAAATCAATTTTTCGAACTGTGCCAGCAGATCGCACTGCAGTAGTTTTTGAGGCTGTAGTTCGTGGCGTCCTTGATTTGGTTTCCATTACTTTGCAAGTCGCCGTTTTGTTAATAACCTCATGCCCTGTGTTGTTTGCTGCTCTGACTCCCGCCTGTCTTCAATTTTGCACATGCAATAACAGTGTGATATTTTGGTACCAGGTCTGAGGACCCTGCTGGATGAGAATCGAGTGACTGAGCTCGGCCTCCTCTACCAGCTCTTCAGCAAGGTGAAGGGAGGACTCCCCACTTTGCTTCAGTTCTGGAGAGATTACATAAAGGTATAAATAATGCTCACCATACACACGCAGCGCTAAGACAAAAGTGTCTGACATCGGCCAACCTTTCTCTGGGCGCAGTCCTTCGGTGGGGAGATCGTATGCACCCCGGAGAAAGACAAGGACATGGTGCAGGACCTGCTGGACTTCAAGGACAAGATGGACAACGTGGCACAGATGTGCTTCACGCGGAGCGAAGGCTTCATCAACGCCATGAAAGAGGCCTTTGAGACCTTTATCAACAAGAGGCCCAACAAACCGGCTGAACTCATCGGTGAGTCAGGCAAACATACGGCACGCCGTGGCGGTCGAGCTCGGACGCGAGCATTTGTAATGTGGCTTTAGTTCCCTTCCGCATGTGATAACCGCTCCCTTGGTTACCCTCCCCCATCCCCTCCCCCCTCTCTGCCCTCTATCCAGCTAAATATGTGGATTCGAAGTTAAGAGCGGGGAACAAAGAGGCCACGGAGGAGGAGTTGGAGAGAATCCTGGATAAGATAATGATAATCTTCCGCTTCATACACGGTCAGTGACGCTGATTATAGTCTGTGGCGTGTGTCAAAAAGTGTTGCTAACCACTGTGTCGCCAGTTGCACTCTGCTGAGACCTGTTGCCCATTGTTGTCTGCCTGCAGGGAAAGATGTGTTTGAAGCTTTTTATAAGAAGGACTTGGCCAAGCGTCTGCTGGTCGGTAAGAGCGCGTCTGTTGACGCTGAAAAGTCGATGCTCTCCAAGCTCAAACATGGTGGGTCCAAAGTCTTCTGTGTTGAATTACTAAATCCATTCATTGCATTAATCACAATCCTCTCATAGATATGTGATGAACGGCTGCATTTATGTTCACTAGCACCTTTACCAAAGCATCTACGCAGTATTTTAGATCAACAGATGAGCACTGAAGAAGTAAAAGTTGAAAACAATCTGAGATAGTCTCTCGCGGTCGCTCATGTCAGGCGAGTGCGTAATATTTTGTGTGTTTGACTTCCTCCAGAATGCGGAGCAGCATTTACAAGTAAACTAGAGGGGATGTTTAAGGACATGGAACTGTCCAAAGATATCATGATCCAGTTCAAACAGGTACTTTCAGTCTCTGTGTGTTAAAATATGAATACCATGTTTATAGTGTTTATATGCAATGTACTGTGCTGTCATTTAATGGGCTTTTCCTTCAGTATATCTAATATATATCTCTACTCAGTATATCCAGAACCAGAGCGGGCCAAGCAACATAGAACTTACTGTCAACATCCTCACCATGGGCTACTGGCCTTCCTACATACCCATGGAGGTCCACTTGCCCCCAGAGGTAAGTATTATTATGCTTTAGACTTTTTAAAGCATAATTCTATTTGTTCAAACAAAAATCATGTGTTGATTCATTTATTTAAGTCTGCTGGTTTGTGGTACGTTGGCGGCAACATGGTGGATTTATTGAGAAAAATATTATCGAGAATGAAAGTTTAGATTGAAAGTGCTGATGGTGTCGTCCTCTCGATAAACTCTTCTCATGCCGGTGACCTGAACACATCCTTAACAGACTGCGATCAGGCTAAGCAAGTTCATTTCAACAGCAAGGCAGTTCAAAGTGCTTCATATAGAACCATTAAAAGCATCAAAACATTGATTGTGACATTAAACAAGCGGAAAATGACTCTGAAGAGAAAGGAGACCCATCGCAGACGACCTGAGAGGGTCAGGACTGTTCGTAAGGCAGCACGGATACACAATTCAACCTCTTATGTTTTGGTAGATGGTAAAACTCCAGGAAGTGTTCAAGCTGTTCTACTTGGGGAAGCACAGTGGGAGGAAGCTGCAGTGGCAACCCACCCTGGGTCATGCTGTGCTAAAGGCGGAGTTCAAAGAGGTGAGCGCACGCTGCGTCCTGACGACAGAGCGAGTCATTGAGGATGAGGAGTCATTGTAGACTACTTTATCCTGCAGGGCAAGAAGGAGCTGCAGGTCTCGCTGTTCCAGACGCTGGTGCTGCTGATGTTCAATGAGGGAGAAGAATTCAGCATGGATGACATTCGCGCTGCCACTGGCATCGGTTAGACACGTCTTTGAATATGTAGCACAACTTCTTTTGTCAAAGCGGTACATCCTGTATCACAATCTCTCTCTCTTTCTCTCAGAGGAGGAAGAGCTCAGGCGCACGCTGCAGTCGCTGGCCTGCGGAAAAGCACGCGTCCTCAACAAGAACCCTCGAGGGAAAGACGTGGAAGACGGAGACCGTTTCAATTTCAACAATGATTTTAAACACAAACTGTTCCGTATAAAGATCAACCAGATCCAGATGAAGGAAACTGTAAGAATACTGCCACATTTCTTTCTCTTCTGACCCACTTTGTGTCTTTGGCAAAAGTTTGATTGGTTAACCATTTTTAAACACATTTTCCTTGCAGGTCGAGGAGCAGGTAAGCACCACAGAGCGTGTGTTTCAAGACCGGCAGTATCAGATCGATGCCGCTGTGGTGCGGATCATGAAGATGAGGAAGACCCTCAGTCACAACCTTCTGGTATCGGAGCTCTACAACCAGCTAAAGTTCCCTGTAAAGGTGATGTCCTATTCTCACTATTTAGTTTTTCTTCCAACACACGCTCAGAGCTCATCATCATCTATCCGACTTGCTTCCCTCTCTGCAGCCGGGTGACCTGAAGAAGCGGATCGAGTCGCTCATAGACAGAGACTACATGGAACGTGACAAGGAGACTCCTAACCAGTACCACTATGTTGCCTGAAGGGATACCACTGTAACCGCCACGCTTTCCTCAAAGCAAGCGTACAGCTGGCCCCCTAAAACAGCATTACAGCCCTTCAGACACCAGACTCTCCTCTGGTGTCCGTCTTTTCCCTCCATCCACACTCCTGGACGCAGCGTCCAGATGCCACAGAGCTCCAGAGAGACGAGAGAGACTTTGCTGTACTGTCCCCGCTCTGCGTTGTCTTTATAGGGTGCCGCGGGTTGTTGATGGACTTACAAAATTGCTAATGCAAAACTCAAATGAAAAATAACTAGCACTTTCCTCTGTTATTGTTTAGTTTTTTTTCCTCCCTGGAATTTGGATTTTATTTTTCTCCACAACGTTGTTCTAAAAATCACTTATTTTCTACCGTAGTTGGTTTGTTTTAAGAATTTCTTTAGGGTTTTTTTCTTTTTGTTCAAGGCGTTCTCTTTGTGAATGGTTGCATAAACTGCTGAGTGTGACCCTCATTGGTTGGTTGTTTGATTGGGCAGAGAAACCGCTGCTGAAGAAGATATTTGAAGAGGATGAAGTGGGCCAGATGTGTCTGGGTCGCAGTGGGAGGGGGGTTCATTGCTTGTAACACAGAAGCTAATTGACTGGCCGGCACTTGGGTATTTCTTTGGGTATCTTATATGTTTTGACCAAAATGTCCAATGTCATGTGCTGACGGTTTTTTGTAGATCAGATTGTATTCTATGTAAGAGTGAGAAAAGTGAACCTGAATAAATGGATATTTAATGATTCAATGAATGATTGGTAGATAAACAGCTAGTGGTAGATTTTTTTTTAATTATTTTTTAGTGTATAAAGTCTGCTCTTTTTCCTCTGTCAGCTTGAGCCTGCTACGTAGTTCATCATGGACAGTGTACAACTCCTGCAGTCTAATCTGATTTCAATGTTAAAGTGAGTTCTAGTAGAATAAGGGCCGTTTGGGATGATGAGTAACAAGGGATGTTTGCATAATATCCCGCTAATGTATGTGGCGTGCAATTCAAATATCAAAAAGTGACCGATATCTTAGTGTGAAAGTCTACTACACATAACACTACGTTGCCCTTCAGTCTGTATCGCAGCCCGAAATAATACAATAAGTGTCCCAACTCTTCATACACGGGATTTTGAAGCACTCGTGCTATTTTCACTTTTGATAGAAATTAGGAACACAGGGTTTAAATATCTCGAGATAGCTTTTGTGTGATAAGGAAGTATAACTTGAACAAACGCATGAAGAAGTAATAGTGGTTTGGCATTTTCTCTTGATTCTAAGACAGAAAAACGACCCGTGTGTGTTTGAAGGAGCGTGGTGGAGGGAGAATGTAGCAGGGCCCCGATAAGTCTGCCTGCAGCATTATAGAAGCCTTTGCGTTCCTCCTTGGGTTCAGCACACCCTCGTGAATTGATGATGGTGTCAGCTGACTGCCCACAGCGCACTTCGCAGCCTGCGCAGTTCAGGGGGAGCGCGTGCGTGTATGAACACGTGCGTGTGACAGTCGTATATAGGAAGATGTAGGGCGAAGCGGATATTTTGCATGCGATGTATTTAAATAGTGTTGTGTTCAAGTGCGCATTCCTGTATTTCCCAGTCAGCAAATCAACTTCTCCACCGACTAATAGTTCAGTTTGGTGTTTTGGTTCAAGGAGAATTGAAATATTCCTTCCAAGTCATCTTATTTTTCTCTTTAGTTGCGCGGGACAGAATCTGTGTTCACATTTACATTTAGTTGATGGACCATTAAACTATTCGTTTATTCGATCTGCTTCGAACCGCGCTCAAGTAAAAAAAAAAAAAGGAGCGAGTGGCCTCACGTGACGTCACGTGATTGCGTTGCTAAGCTCCGCCAGGTCACATGACCAGTCGTCAGTTTAGTCAGTCGCTCGTAGCTGTGACCGACATCCTACCGCATCTATCCGCCGTTTCTCTTAGCGGGACGTGCTTTAGGAGTATCCACCAAACGACTCCAGCCTGCAACGTGAACATCAACAGGAAGAAGAACAGCGGTGACGCCACAACACTTTTAGCTAACGATCCGTATTGGCAAGTGCCGCCCGACGCGAGACCACCTCCTCGGGCTTTAATCCCTCTACTACGGGGGCCGAAGCGGAAAAAAAGAGGAAACATTTCCCCGAAAAGGATGAAACTCTCTCACGCTTTTGTGGCGCTCGTCATCGCCTTGTTTGCAGATTCTGGTGAGTATTTTTGCGGAAGTTACTTAAAGCTTCCTCGCCACGCGCCCCGAACGTTGGTCCGTTCAATTGTTCGCGAAAAAAAGCCGTCAAGACTCAAGAAAATAGTTGGCAGGTTGTGTATATATATATATATATATATATGTATATATAAAAGACTGCACATACTCGTTAGCCAGTTATAGCGGTCTGTGTCGTCACGGCTATAACGTAACGTAGTCCAGTGTGTCACGTGACTGTACGGCAGGACGCGAATGCCACCGGCAGAACCCGCGCGGGGCTGCCTGGTGTAGGCCGATAACCAGTGGCGACGTCTCGCTCCCAAGTTGGACCAAAGGGCGGACGGGTACTGGCGGTTTCACAACCGAAAAACGGAGGTCATCTGTCCTCGGTTAGTTGGGTCAAAGCGGACCGGAGTCAGTTGACTTTGTTCCCGTTTGCTCGCGCTGCGGCGCTTTGGCCTCTTTGTTGTATGTATGAGAGCTTCACGTGACCACAAAGGCCTATAGTTCACTTATCGGGCAGTAAACAAACACACAGACACACACACATCGGACAAAAAACAATACAGGGCAATTTTTAAAAATATATTTAAAAAAAAAACGTTCCAATACTCTTAATTTAAAACATTGGATTACGATAGATAACTTGGTGCATAGGTTTGACTTTCCACAGACTCCGGTGACTTAAAGAGGTCAAAGGTCAATTGCCTGCACCAGCATTTCTTACACGTGTCAAGAGTCGGAATACCTTTCTGTTTTGCTATCTTCTCCAAGCCGAGCGTCTAACGCCGCTATCTGTAGCTCAAGACTTTGCACACACGGGCGCTTTTACCTCCGGGTTCAGATTGCCGTGTTGTGTAAACCCTCTGCTGAGTGTTTACAGGGGGAACAGAAAGGTGACACCGGGGTCAAGTTTCAGCAAGTCTGCAGAGAAGGGACTGTGGGATTGACCGAGTGACACAGAAGCACGCTACTCTATCCAACACATTCTACTACACTCGGTCAGCTATGAAACCGGCTATCATTTTGAAAATGAAATGTCTTTTGATCTCACAAATCTTTTTTTATTCAAATATTTAGAGTAGCTTAGAAACCTGCTAGTGGTCGTGGCCTGTTGATTGACTCTTGGGATCGATTGACAGGTGGGATCCATCCAGTATGACTCCTACTGATTGCCTTTACAGGAGACACTTTTTACAAATAGTTCAATGAAGCTCAAAAATTCATAGCCCACTGTGTTTGCTACTGTTTGCTGACCTCTAGTGGTTGCTTCTGTGAACAACTTAATTCTGTATTTGTTGTTGTTGCTGCTGTTGTCTTCTGCATACTTTACCATCCGGGAAGTCAAAAATATACCATAAGACATAGAGGATGTAAGCAAGTGTGCATTCTAATATCATTACAATTAAGCTAGTTTAACTGGGCATCAGGTCACACTAAGGGTCAATGTCCATTCTTCATATTTGTGGCATGTTTTATAGTATTATGAGATATGACACATGTAACACCTGTAACACACACATGTAATGACCAGTGTCATTACCTCACTTGTTTTTCAAATATTGGAAAATAAAAGAGAGACCTGGATTAATTTTTTATTTTGCAGTAGATTTTCGTTCGAGTAAGTCTATCAAGATATTTCTCATTAATGGAAATGCTTTCCCATATGATTTCACTGCAGCGCCTCCCTGCTCGTTGTGTCCTCCTCCACAGGTTGCATTCAGGCGGCTTCTCTTGAGGTGAAAGAGGGAAACTCCCCCTGCATTAAGGCGGAGCTCTCGGCAACGTTCTCTATCACATACAACACCTCAATCAGCACGGTATGTAAACCGACGGCGACCCCTCAGCAGCTGTATGGATCGCCTCTCCGTGAATACCAGTCTCACCGCTCGTCTCTCTCCAGAGAACAGTGCGTGTCTCTCTGCCCGACTCCGCCACGGTGGACGAGCGCAGCAGCTCGTGCAGAGAGGCCGACGGCTCCTCGTGGATGGTGGCGCTGTTCGGATCGGGCCACACGCTGGGCCTGCGGTTTACCACCAATGGAAGCCTGTACAGCGTTGCTAACCTGACGCTGCAGTACAACCTCAGCGACACCTCCATCTTCCGGGACGCCAGCGAAACGGGTGAGAACGAACGCCGCAGCAGCCAGAGGGCTCCAATGGATGTGATGCTCGTAGAGACAATAACTTTCTCAGAAAATCCCGCATTACGAAATGGAACAGATATGTTGGGTCAGCACCCACAACCCACATGCCGGCTTTTGCGTGACGGGCAACAAATAAAGGGTTATATTGTTGAATTAGCAGTCGGGTTCAGAAGGGCAATAGATTGTACTTGTATAATCTTCCATCCACTCAAAGCCACAAAGGAAGAAACCCTTAGTGCAGAGAGGTGCAAAGAATGAGGGTCAGAGGAGTAATGGCTGTGGCAGGTAGCGCTGGCATGGCAATATAAAAGGAGGCGTGTTGCCTCCCAGAAGGCGCTTTGTTCCCCCAAAGTAAGGAAATGTTACTACTAACTAAAAACAAAATTCACCGGCAACACATTCAGACGTATTGGTCTTTTTTTCTTCTTCTCATCCTCAGGTGTGATCACTGTGGCGTCGCCTTCGGTGGGGATCTGGGCGACGATCAACACCACCTACAGCTGCGTGAGCCCCTCCACTTTTAGAATTGGCGACGAAGCGGTCACTTTCACCAACGTGAGGCTGCAGGCGTTCATGCTGGGAGATGACCTGAGTCCAACAGGTGCCGCTCCGGTTCTGGGCCCGGGGGCTTTTTAATCCGTGTCTTTATCCCCCCCCTCCCGCCTTTGTCACACATTTCTCCGTCGCTTCTCTCGTCTCACAGAAAACGTGTGTACGGCAGACATCGCAGATACAACCACCACTGCCAGCACATCGACATCGACGACGACGACGACGACGCCGCCGCCGCCGCCGACAACAACTAACAACAACAATGTGGCCCCGGCACCGACCCCGGTACCGACCCCGCCGGGAACACCCGAGCGCGGCACCTACTCTGTGACCAACGGCAACGGCACCGCCCTGTCTCCTGGGCTCAAATGGGACTGCAGCTCAACGTCTCCTATTTATCCCTATCTCAGAATAAGGTAAATGGGGGGGAAAATACGGGCCGGTCCCATTCAGAACAAAATCTTTAGATAAACCCCACACTGTCTGCTTTGACAGACCCGTCCCAGAATTGGTCAACCTGACTCCAAATCTGACACGCTCATCGGGTTCGTGTGAAGCCAGCAGTGCTTCCTTGGTGTTGAGTCAGGGCGAAAGCACCACGCTCAACTTCACCTTCACCCTGGTGAGGTCCTCCTCTCGTCTTTTTTGTAAATTTGGCTACATAATCAATTGGTTTTTGTTTGGGTTTGTGGGTTTATTGAAACTCGTCTCCTCCTGTCCACAGAACACCACGAGCAACAAGTACCACCTGAGCGGGATATCACTGGTTGCCAATTGGTCAGATTCTACTGGTATGCCACTTGTCGTAAGCGACACTTTTGGACTGGTCTCTGATTCGCTTTATTCAACCATTGCTGATCCGTTTGTCTCCTCAGCTCCCGTCTCAGCCAGTAACAGTAGCCTGGACTACCTGCGCAGCACGCTGGGCCGCTCCTACATGTGCAACGCACAGCAGACGCTGGTTGTCGTGTCAAACTTCTCTGTCAACACGTTCAGACTGCAGGTCCAACCCTTTAATGTCACCACCAACCAGTTTGCCACAGGTGAAAATGCTTTGTTTGACTTTCCCAGCCCAAGTTTTCTTCATCTTTGTCCTTCCTTCACATTGACAGTGGTGAGGAGTCGGTAGAGCTATGGTATCACAGCTTCTTAATTAAATATGAACCTCTCATCACTGTCCTGATAAGTGAGCTTTAAAGGCATGGTTGTTAAAGTCGGGAGGATACGACTGAATAAGATCCCACATTCTGCAATGTTAACTTGAGTGTCTGTCTACAGCGGAGGAGTGTCAGGTGGATCAAGACCAGATGCTCATCCCCATTATCGTTGGAGCAGCTCTTGCCGGCCTGGTGCTGATCGTCCTCATTGCGTATCTAATAGGCAGGAAGAGGAGCCATGCTGGGTACCAGACCATCTGAATGGACGGACCGGTCGTAGAGACGAGGATGAGCTTGTGGAAGCAGGTGTTGCTTTGTGGCAAGTGCATGTTTTTGCAAACCCCATGTGACCTCTGGATATTTACTATTTTCCCTCAAGTTTCTCTGTGAGATGATGATGATAAGCCAAAGACCTGCTAGCTTAAGATGATGAAGCCCGAGTCTTTAGAGGATGGAGGCAGTTTGGATTTTCTGTAGCAAGTTCACCGCCAATTGTCCATTCTTTTTCCGTTGCGTTCTTGGAATTTTTTGAATTTTCTTGAAGTGCCGTTTTTATCGAATGTAATTATTTATTTTAAAAAGAAATTTGTCAAAATGCAATTCAAGGAGAGTTAAAAGAACTGTAGGACGAAGCTCAGTTCTTATGGTCAAGTGGCGTTTTATTCCTACGCCTACACATGTTTACTAGCATCATTTCTTTTTTTTTTTAAACTTCACCAGCTATAGAAATTTCTCAGAGAGCCCGTGTGTCCGATTCCTGCGCAGTGGATACCCACCGAGCTAATCAAACGCAGACTGGTTGTTGTGAGGGTGAGAGGTGGCGAGCTGTTTGACGGTGTTCCAGCTGTGCAACTGCATTACTAAAATGTATTCAGTAAACTGGTGCATGGATTATTTTTTTTAATCTTGCTTTTTCCAAATCTTAAAAGAAATGTTTATTGATAGTGATTTGATCTCATTTTCTATCATGCATCTTTCTGAAAGTTAATAAAAATCTTAATGAATTGGGTTGGTTTTTTTTGCGGGGGTTTCACTGTGTTGATCTAACTTCTGGTTGAAAATAAACTCCTTTCTCATAACAACACATCTTGGCCAAGCTGACCAAACTGGACACAACTTATTTGTTATGTTATACAGCATTCATTTTATCGTAGTGCACTTGATTTCATGACAGCGGATTGGATCTAAAGCAGTTGATACAAAAATCAGCACAGAATGAGATTATAGCGAGTCTTCACTAACCGTTCAGTACGAAAGACAGTGGGCCTCTTGCTTGTCCTTCGACTGGGCAACGTGTTATTCATCTGACCGGACCGCTTCTCTACAGTGTCTCTGACTTTCAGCAGTAAAGTGCAAAACATCACAAAAGAGGAATAAACTACTTCAAATGGAATGGTCCGATCACATACCGAAGAATAAGCTCACTTCAGCATACTCAGTATGAAATAGTCAATTTAGTCGGTAAAAAAGAAGGTGCGAACGAGCGGCCCGGATGTGATCCCAGTGGAATGCGTTCTCAACTTGAGCAACAGTTGGTCCAGTTTGGTTCAGGATTCTTCTGCAAGGCAGCGAGATCGACACGTCCCACGCAGCTTAGTCAAGGTTGCCAGGGAGAGACTTCCTGGTTCAATGAAGATTTTCTAGGAAAAAGCAGGATTATAGGATTAAAGACTGTTTATAAGGGACGTGCGTTTTATTCTAATTGGTCCGTGCTTCAGTGACTGACACTCATTACCAGCAGTGATGGGACGCCTCCCTTTTCCTTTACCTTCATAAAAGCGTGGCAGTCTTCGACAGATGGTCCCTGGGTGATATGCTTGAAGTTCTCGCAGACGTCCGGCAGCGAGCGGGCCTTTTCAATCAGAGCCTGGTTGTGGTGGATCAGTGTCAGAGCTACACGGAACAGGATTTTAGAGCCCTCGTAGAACAAGCAATCCCAAATCCGCAGCACCGTCTGCAGAGAGACAGGAACATCGGAATAAATCCAATCAGTGAGCACATGCAAGGGGCCGCACGGCATGAAGTTCCACAAGCACTAAAGACATTAGTGGGAAGGCTGATCAGTGTACCCAGAAGAAGAAAAAAACTATCCTAAAAGCAAAATAAAGATTTGAATATGAAAATATAAAATCTGCGACCAAAAAAAAAAAAAAAACAGCAAATATCAAAAATATACATAAGAAAAAAACTATATTCAACCCCAAAATACTTTTATTTTTCAATGTTCAATGAAACAAACTTTCAGGTTCACGTTTGTTTGTCAAATGATCAAACCTTTCGGCCTTGATTTGGCTCCGTAGACTTTTAAGCAGTTCAAGTGTATTTATAGTACAACATTTACCGCTGAGATGTTGTGAAATTTATTCATCTCTGAGAAGAATAGTAATTGGCACCTGACATCTGGAGTGTTATCCGTCCAATCCGAAGACAAGGATTTTAACTAATTAAAGCTAGTGATACAATAGTGACTGAGTGTGCTCTCTAACTATAACAATAAGAAATAAAAAAAAAACATTGTAAAACTAGCAAGCGAGCAGGTGAAAGCTTTGAAAGCAGCGTTAGAAGTCGCCTAAAGCTTAAATATGGAGAGCAATTTTGCGCATCAGAACCAAAACATCAATAAACCAGTAGTTGAATGAACACACAGCACCAGCTAGCGATAACGAACTGATAAAAACCCACACAAATACTCCTTCCGTGACCATGGAGTAGTAACTCATAAAGGCGTGGCAGTCTTCGACAGATGGTCAGTAACTGTTTACATTACATGTTAAAGACAGATGGAAAAAGTAAACAGAGACAATGTGTACCCATCATATAAAGGTTCATTTGTGACCCTGAATGGAGGAACGCTTAAGCCCTTCTGGCGAAGCTTGTGTGTATTTGGAGAGCAAACATAATCAGCCCCGCCCGTCCCGGGAAGGACTGTTTATGTGCTAGATCAACCCTTCCGCGGTGGAAGAGAAGGTGTTCTGGATTCCACTAAAGCAGCTCCCTTGAATGCAGCACAGCAACGTTTTGAACCCTGTTTATGATTCTAGTAATTAGAAGCATCAACATCCGGACCTCCGTCCAGGGCTCACTCACCTCGACTGGCAGGACGTCTATGAAGAGACAGATGAACCATCGGGAGACCACCAGGGTCCACATCACGCTGTTGTCCGTCATGGTCCGCCACACTCCGGGGATTTTAACTCTCACCAGTTCGCCCAACACCTCCTGGTCCGTCTTCAGGCCCAGCATGGCTGGGGTGTAGTAGTCTGGAACCACACACACACACACACACAAACACACACGTCACAGAAAGGTGAAGACCTCTAACGGTATTATTATCCGCCCACAGCTCAGGGAGAAACACGACACAGGGTAACAGACTCACCTGGTAATATTCTACCGAGCAGCGCGTCCATCAGCCAGAAGGACTTCTCTTCATCCTTTGTGATGATGAGCAGATACCCAGCAATGAAGTTCATCCCCTGAACACAACAAGACTTTAGTCACACACACACCATGAATCATGCAATCCAGCCGGAGCAGGTTTTATTGGAGCTCTTTGATAAAGCATCCCGGGCTGTGCGTGTGCAGTGGACAGGAAACAAACCGAAACCGGATTACACATTGAATGGTTCTGGTTATACTTTAGAAGTTGCAACCATCAACACGGCCTTTTGAATTGCAAAACAGACTACGCATGCTTTGCTAGAGGACATTTGTCTTTCAAATGGAAATGATTAACAAAGGCCATACTGACAAAACAACCTTTCTTTAGAGACATCTGCCACACATAAAAGACTCAGCGGGGCGGTGCGGAGTCCACCCAAAGTAAATATACATTGTCTTCTGCACTTATTACATATTAAAGTAAGTATTTATATCAGTTTTGCATGCTTTTTTTAAACTATAATCCACACTGCTTTTTGACCTAATCCTTTATTGCAAAAACACCCCTTGAAATCTTTGCCTCATGTGTGGAAATGAATCCCATGAAAATGTAAGAATGGGATAATGGGAAACATATTTTGGGCTGGAACAAGCCTGACGTATTACCTGACAGTATCCCACAGCTGGGTCGTGGTGGCCATAAGCAAGCAGCACATTGTACAGAGCTTTCTGCAGACAAGGGTTGGATGTCTTGCGAAACTGGACGTTGTCTGGAAACGTTCGGTTCAAGTCTGAAAGATAAAGCACACAAAATAACACAGTGAGTGCCGTGTGTTTATGGTTGTGTGACAGCAAGTTGGTTTAAAAGAAGAAGCGAGACAGTCTGCATCAGCCTGGGGTTCAAATTGTGTCTGCATGCAAACTACAACAGCTGAATAAGCTTTATCCATCTATTAGGAGCTTTGTCTTTATACAAAAAGGTAGAAAAAACATCTTAATGTATGTGGTTCTCTATTCCGACACGCGGCAGCTCAAATACAGCTGTAACCATCTCACCCGTGTAAAAAGGAAGGGCCACAGGAGTTGAGCTAAATGTTCTTGCTGCAGCACTAACTCGTCCCGTCAATACAACACAAGGCAACTTAGAATTGTACAGAGTATAACAAAAGACACATTTCTGGACATACTTTACCCCGTAAAGCACTCAGGATCACGTTAAAGTATGGTTTAATGTTGCAATCTAAGACGCAGAGGATAAAATGATTGTGGCCCTGATAACTTTCCGGAGTCCTTGGCCACTAAAGCTGTTGGCAACCAGGGTGCCAGATGTGGCCGGCTGTTGACTGGGGTCTGGCACCGTTTGGCCGTAGTCCGCTCAAATCAGCACCCGTTCAGTCGAATCGGCACACTGACTGCATCAGCCTCAGAGGCAGCGAGGGGGAAGGAATCCTCTGACTGGCTGTTCAATCACAATGTTATTTCAATAATTTAGGCCCTGTTGATGTCAATGTCAGACCAAAATATAAACCTCTCAGGCCATAAGCAGGCTTTTTATTCAAATTGACAGGAGTGGATATGACGGGTCAGCTGGTTTTGTATGTTTATGGTGAGCGTGCACCTGGCCGACTACTCATCATATTTGAATAATTTGTGTTACAGAAATTAGACATCTTTTACATCGTTCATTCTGTACACATGCCATCCATTGTAGTCGGTCCTTTCCGGGAGAGGGATCCCTGCTCTGCAGTCCTCCTAAAGGTTTCTTCCCTTTTTTCCCCCAATCAAAGTGTTTTTCATTTTTGGAGAATTTTTCCAGTGCCAATGTGAAGATGATGCACGTGCACAGACTGGAAAAGCTCTGGGGCAAATTTTTAATGTGCGATTTTGGACTAAACAAAATGAAATAAATTGATCTTTTGGTTGGAAACATATATATTTCTTGATCAAGGGTCTCTCCCAGAAGAAGTGCTTGTCAGGGCTTATAAAAGGGAGGTCTGAGTGAACAATTGGACCAATGATAAACAGTCCAGGGTCCCACCTGTGTTGATGGTCTCCGCCAGTTTGGGGTCGTGCTGGGCTCTGAGCAGGGACTGGTAGCGGCCCGGGTTCTTCTCCAGCTGGTCCTGAGCCCCGCTGGTTGCCATCCAGATCAGAGCCCGGTGCTCATTGGGAATCCCCTTCCGGACGTAGCGCTTTACTGTAAAGGAGAGGAGGAACAGACCAGTGTGGCTCAGCTCACTCCGCTCACATAGTGGCACGTGTTGCGTTCTCACACTCACGTTTTACATTCCTCGGCACCTTGCTTTTCCCCTTCAGCAGCTTGGACCACTTGATGGATCGTCGGGTGAGCACCACCAGATACTCCGACATGAGCTCCTCATATAACTCATAGTTGAAGCTGTTTGGCCGCTGAAAGCCGTACGGGTCCGTGCTGAGCAGGAGAGCGGAGGGAGAAACGGTCAGCACCATTATTCAAACAAGCAGCCACATGACTGCACCGCCAAACTCAAACAAGTTCATTCAATCACACAGTCAGAGGGCACTGGGTTACAGATGCAGCTGCACTATGAGGTCAATTCATGTACTTGAGGCAAGACTGTAGACGACTCTGGATGAGCTCCGAACATAACATTTCATGCATCAAAGGATTTGGCGTTACTATATGAAACCCTATAGGTGGTATAATGTACTTTTATATAGTATATAGATATATATAAACACATTAGCTACATGTACAATCTGGTTGTGGATGAATAAAGTTGCGTGTCATTGGCTCAAGCTAATTGGTTGGGTAAGGCGATAATCTTCCTGCAGCTTAACCCCTTCCCAAGAGCAAAGTTATCCCTAGAGAAGAAAATAACACACGGCGCGGCACGGTGAGGGGAATCTAAACATGTTCAAGCACACTAGCACTGGATGCTCATACGGGATGTACTACAAACTGTGCAGGTCTCTGCAAATACTGGGTGAAATTATAGGTTTCAGAATGCAAATGTTACTCAGTGGAGAACAACTGTTTTGGTGAAAACAAACGAGAGTCCACAGAGTGAGTGAGTGAGTGAGTGTGTGTGTGTGGCACTTGACTTCAGGTGTTGGTTTGGGTTATCTGTCGATCTGAACTGCGCTACAGCTCCCCTTCTCTTCAACAACAACAAAACATTGAACATTTACTGCAGAGACAAAGTGTGAATTTCATGTGGAACATGAACAAAAGAAGCCCATAAGGCTTCAGCCCACATTTAGCCCACACGTAAATAGAGTTCATGAACTGTACTATTTCAAGAGCAGTTATATGATTATATACCATCATTGATATAAAAAGGAAGTTTACTATTACAAACCACAAACTGCTATAATAACCATAAAGTTGAATCAACACTTCTCTAAAACCCGTTTACCACAGAGTGGGTAATATTCTTATTACCACGCTGTTGGTTGCACCAGGTAAGACTACATTACCAAAACTGATAGCATTTAAAAAATATATAAATGCAAATGTAATTACTACGTTTTCTTTGAACAATCATGTGATTCAAAAAGGAAAATTCTAAAGCGCCAAAGCAAACAAAACAAAAACACAGCTGCCTGCCAGTTGTGCACAACTCGTACAGAAAGCATATAAATTCGATTAGTCAGCGGAGTCCATTTATTGCAGAGACGTGCTGAGGCTCGCAGCGACCTTCCCTGCACACTGAATTACATAAAATACCGTTTTTTAAAGTGGGAGAAAAAGTTTTAAAAGTTTTGTAATAGTTAGTCGTGACTTAACACCGTGAGTTTTAAGAACAACGTAAACGGTTGACTCAAGTAACGTGCGAATTAACTCATTACCTTTAAGTTACGTTTTCCAACGTTGCTTCCAACTTACACAAACTAATTGTTTCAGAAAAAGAACATTCAGTTCGGGTTTTCTTATCGGATTAGTCATTAGCCTCCCGAACTCCGTAACACCGAGTGGTACTCGCGTTAGCGGGCCGACGGAAGCCCGTTAAAAGCGCAGCGTCCGCGTTACCTGCCCACTCGGTCCCGGGCTTTGCCCTCCGGTGAGCGGAGCCCGGCGGCCGGCTTGTCCTTCTCCCCCATGGCCTCTTCTGCTCCGCTGATATCCCGGCGATGTGTGCGAGGGTCTCACCATGTACTAATCCACTCGCGGGGGGCTTTTTCTGTCCTCGAAAAGCAAACAAATGCAACGGTTTACAACGTCCGTGTATGTCGAGGTTAAGTTAGCGTCAACTCTTTTTCTCCATGTTGGCGTACGGGGAGGAGGGGGCCCGAGGACAAGTCTCTGGCGCTTTTCAAACCCCCCAAAAAACTAACTCACTTTGTTGCTTTCGCTCGTACCTACGCGAAAGTATCGACCCGCCCGGTGTTCAGGGCGGAGTCTGCTTTGTGCACCTGCTGCTCGCTCCCCAGAGGGCGACCAACCGACCGGCCCCCTGGAGCTCTGGCCGCCTCCTCCCCCAACGACTCGCGGGTACGTGAACGCAACACGTCCGAACTCAAGTCCCTTCAACGGCTCTCGTCCGGATCAAATTACGTCAGCGTCTTCGCGGGTTTGTCGCGTTTGGCCCGGAGACGAACGTCGACGTAACCCGATGCTGCTTTCGAGTGATTCCTGGAACATCCCAACTTCAGAGCTGGGAATGGGATTTGTGGTGCAGTCACGGCGCGTTGGTTTGGAAAATAGTAGCGCGCTGAGAGGTCTGCTTCTGATTAAGGGTTTTAAGTGAAATCAGTTTGGCGTTGCTCAGTTTTTTTCTTTTATATAAACCAGCAACTGGTAACTGATAAACATGACCCCCCCAGAAAGACATTTCAGAGCATTTAGAAAATCATTCATTTGCCATTTCACATACCACGTTTACGCGTACTTGGCAAACAACTTAACAGCCCTTGGCATCTTGCTCATTTAAAAATGTCTAGGCCAGGGTCACCCCCTCTCCATGGTCACCCCATTACCAGAAACGGTGGTAGCAGGTCCGATAACACGGGAAGGCAGCAAATACTCATGTAGCCACGCCCTCTCAATGACGTCACACCTATTCACCTGATACTGCTAGCCAGCGTTGCTCCAGTTAAATTAAAAACATGTCTGCTGCTTGGGTAATGGAGATCTCCCGCAGTACATGAAAGTCACTGGGACTGTAAAGATAAGTTGTATGACAGTTTAAATAGATGGATACATTTTCCTATGTTTTTTTCCCTATCGAAGGCTTATTATTATATTTTGTTTTTTTGAGTTTTTCATGGGTCTGATGTGTGGGTTTCGGGACAGAGGATGTTGCATGTGTAGGCTACAGACTGTCCGAGGTACATTTGTAATTTTGGGCTATACAAAATAAAATGAATTGAAATTGAATTGAATTAACCAATTAATAAATAAACACGGTCCAGGGTAAATGGAATTCATCAGTTTATCTCTTCCCCCCTTGCACAGCTTTGATGATGACATGATGAATGTTTTACCTATTTTGATAAGATGAGTTAAAGATCATGAAAATGAATATGAATAAATATATGTTTGGCCATATTCCGACATAATGAATGCATTAAGCAGCTTTAAAAGCAGGCAGTCATAGTAATTGGATGTTTATTTAAAAACAGTTTGTTGCTGCTTTTAGTTATAGAGAAAGAAAATGAGAGACATTGTTGTAAATAATACTGCATGCAGTTAAACAGCCTGACACTGAGAATGAAATCATTTGGCTTTGGAACGTCCCGCCATGAGGAGCTGGGAGACGCAGCCGCGGAGAGAGGCGTCTGGACCTGGCCCTGGATAATTGGACGGACAGATTAACAGATTTATTTTGAATAACACCGTCAAAATGTAAAACTGTTTACGGGTAATCTCGTTTTTGTACTTCCAAGTCTGACACTGACTTTTGTAAAACAATTAAACAATAGTCGTCAAGTCTTTGGACGAAAGTGAACTTTTTTATTCTTATATTTATACTCTAGGCATTTAGGAATTACTAAACAAATGTACCAAATGGCTTTTAATATAAGCCTATCAAAATGTTAAATAATCTTTGAATCAACAATGTTGATACAAACATATACAAAATATAAGCATTTGCACAGGTTTTTGCATGAGCCATCGTGGCCCATTATTTATACCGTGTATTAGCTTTTTGAACAAAAACACTAGTTCCACTTGTTGCTCCAATGGCTTTTTTGAAGCTGTAACTGTCTATACACTTTTTCTGCTGTTGACGTATGAAGCTACATTGAGAGTAGCCAAGATCTTGATTGGAACTTCTTGTATCCGTGGGAGGAAACCGATGAGGCCGTCAGACACGGATGCATCACTGTGTGTTCGACAGGACCAACCTAGAAAGTAAAGGTGTCGGTAAACCGAATGACTTTGGGTTTAAATGTTTGCTTGATTGAAGGATCCCCGTAGTTGATTGTTTTGTATTTTGGTCTCTGCTTTGCATTGTCTCTCTCACGCTGGATCTCCGGTGATGTCACGGCAGACGTCTCTCCCTCTTCAAATGCAGCCTCACAGGCAGTGACCTCGGGAGGTTTAAAACATTGCAACGCACTTGTGTCTTTTATTTCCATTGTATTTACTTTGTCTCCTGCCTTACCGACCTCCCTGTCTTGTTCATGCGATTGAGGGTGCGTTGCTATCTCTTTTGTCCTTGTCGGGGTTTGCGCCTTCATGTTATCAGGAGGACAACTAATAATCCCCCTTGCAGCCGATCCTGCAATGAAAGCCACGATAGAAGCGTCGTATTGTGACGGTGGCACCGCAACCGAAGGAGTCTCAGTTCCAGTGTGCAACGCCGGCCGAGGGGAGGAATCCTCGACGTCTCGTTCAAATTTACACTCGCATGGGATGACGTACTTTGGCGACCTTCTCTGAAGAGAATGTAGTGCAGGAGAGGAATCTACACACGTGGACCACACAGGACTGCAGGTCACGGCGGTCGCCACATGACACGTGACGTGGGCTTCTACCTGTGGGACAAGTCTGTGAGGCTCGGGGAGCGACTGCTCGGTGACGCACGTTGAACACAGCAGCTCTAGATGTGCATGTTTCAGATTGTGTCTCATGCTAGTTTCTTCTCCTCTGGTGTGAATTTCACCACGTTCGTCCGCCCTCCGACCAATAACATCGCTATCACGAGGTTGATCTTTCCTGAGGTTTAATGAGCAGTGAGTGTCAGAATGTTGATCCGAGGCCGACTGGCTGCGGTTTTGTCTCATTTGCGCTGCTTTTAAACATTTCTTTTCTTCCAGGTTTGAGTTGATTTTTTCTAAAGCGGCCTCTGCCTGCTGTTGTTTTTGTTCCTGCCCATTTGTAGTTTGATTTCCCATCAGGGATGTACTTTTCAGCTGCTTGCGGTGGTGTCGTCTGTGGGCAGTTTGCGTTGGCGCTTGCTGGAGCTTACTCTCATGACACGGTACTCTCTGTCTCACGCTTCCGGTCACCTTGACTCCAGCAGGCGGCTTTTCAGGTGAACATTTCAAGTCACATCTCGTGCAAACAGTGGCCATGGACTCAAACCTCTCCATCAAGGAGGAAAGCAGGCTCCCTCTTCCAGCAATACTCTGTTTGACCGGCTCTTTCTGCAGCGTGCTCGCTCCCTTTTCCTTTTGCTCCGCCATGGCAAACTTTGCTACAATATCTTTCACTCTGCCCCCCATCTTCAGCCCTTGATCTCTTCTGGAGCGCTCCGTCTTGTGAATGTCACGCTCACGGTCTTGGCAGCGGTTGACTTTCCCGGCCGCTCCTCTGCTGGAGGACAGCGTTCCAACCTCCCTTTGGTGGGTCACGGGCGGTTTGGCTGTGGACCGTATGAATTTGGATTTGAGGAGCTGGAATGTGGTAAGAGGCCTTTGTATTAATCCTCCTTCATTTGGCTCCCTTCCATAGGTGTCTTTTTGTGGATCTGTCCAATATTTTCTCCCATGGTTCACTTTATGCTTTTCAGGGACCAGAACAACAGTGCAAACCTGCTGAACTCTCTGATCGGGCCAATATGTGTTTCTTTTAATGATAATATCTGATCCTGGATTCTCCGGCGGTCTGTTCCTGGTGGTCCCGGGCCGATCCTGTGTGAGGTAATGCAGAAGACTCTCCAGAATCCCTCGGAGAACGGGGCGGCAGTGGCGGTCTCTAACCAGCTTCCTCAACATACTGGCATCAGGGCAGATGCTGGTTTTCCGACAATCTGGTCTATGGAAAATAGAGGACATGCAGAACTTAAATCCTTGTAGCCATTTGCAGGTAAGCTGATACCTGATTATTAAGTCATCCTTGTCCTGCAGGAAAGTGCAGGAAATAAGATGTTCAGACTTGAGGTGAAGCGCTCCAGCAGTGTGAACTTGTTACAGGTGATTAGTCGAGGGGCATTGCAGAGGAGTGGCACAGCAAGGAGATATCATGTTGGAGAAAAGTTGTCCTTTAGAATAAATGTTGTAGTTAAGATAAAGAGAGAAAGGCACTTCATGCAGGATTCATATTGATAAGTTCTTTTTAATTTTCATATCATATTAATATTCACCATGTTATGATGCTTTGACATTATAGTACTCTAATGCCCGATAAGAGCATCACAGTGCAAATAATAATCCTTCACAGTATGGATACAATGATTACAATTGTGCATACAAGTTAAAATCATTCTAAGATCCCACTAGATGAAAAGCCCAAATGTACTTCGATTAAAACTATTGAAACTTACTGCGGTAAGAGACCAAATCGCTTGCACAATGTTTTGAGGAATTAGATACATGACACAACATGATCATGTGCTTCTTGTTAATACAGGTTAGCCTTGAACAAGTTAAATGTCAGAAAAGAAAATGATCTAGTAAACTAGTCTACTCTTCCCAGTTAAAATAAAAATTAAAAATGCAGAAGTATTTCCCTTCCAGCCAGCAACAGAACATGGCCTTTAAACACAATTATGGAGATACAGGTAATTGGCTAAAGGTCAACACCGTGATAGGTTTCCCTTTTGACACTCTTGCCTCAATCCTATAGCTGACACGTGCTTCAACTTTTCCAATTTATGACAGGCCTGTGTGAATAAAAATGCAAAGACTGCAGGGCAAGAGTGGCGAGGAGAAGGCAGGATGTCACTCAAGACTATTGAAATACTGCTGAGGGACTTGAAGGGAGCTTTGGGCCAAATGAAAGCGGTTTGACGGCTGCGTGCAGTTCCTCTGATAGCCAGTAGGATTCAGGCCAGTGAAGAGCAGCATTACTTGTCCATGCACTTCTCTGCAGACGCTGCTTTGTAAAGCTTTTCTCCCAGCTCCTCCAGACGTTCTCTTTTGTCCAAATCCTGGAACAGTCCTCGGGGAACCTGATCCAGGCCGTTCATGAGGCCAAAGAGGCACCCCGCGATCAGGCCTGTGGCTTCACTTTCACCTAAAAAAACAACAACATTTTCAGTCACAGTGAGCAGGCGTGGAGTGTTTCATCCGCTAATGTCGTGCACTTTCTCACCTCCATGGAACATGGCCCGTTTACACAGCTCGGCCCAGTCGCTCCCGGCTGCCAGAAGGGCATCGTAGGCTATCATCGGGGCGTCGTGGCCTCTGCGCCCCGCTCGGCCCTCTGAGCTCCAGCGCTTGTATATCTGTAGGGACGGAGTGACAGCGGCACACTGCTCCTGTTAGGGGTTTTGTTACAGGAAAACCCGAATGTATGTTCTTGGTAATAAATGTATTTATTTTTGGGGTGTGAAAGAGAAGAGGCAGGATCTACTTTGTCCGTCTCCTCAGCATCATAGCGATCAGGGAACAAAGGTTTGTTCTGTCCTTCCTTCTCTATCTCTTTTTCTTCAAGGTAGAACTGCCACTTGGCCTCAAAGTAGAACCAGTTTTCCTGATACTCTGGATACATAAACACAAATACACATTACTGGCGTCACAGAGGTAATGGTCACTTTAATTTAAAATACATAAAAAAGAAGAAACAATGATTTTGATGATGTTTCTGCTTTAAAATAAAAATGATACAAATCGGCAGATACCACATGAACATTTGATTGGTAAGATCTCTAGAAGTAAATTATGACTAACCCCACCAAGATAAGAAATTATCTTGAATTAAGGCTGGGAAACTAACTTTGAGGTATATTTCACTGGTATTAGAAATTGCTATAGTTCATAATAAGCCTGTAATCCTAAATGTAGTATGTGTTCACTTACAAAGTTTTTCAAGAACCAATGTCTCTTAATATCACAGAAATGTAACAGGCTATTGTGTCTTGTATATAGTGTTATGATATATTTTGACTAGTTGTTAGACAGATATACTGTACGTGGTAATATTTTGCAGTGCATCTGATGGTCCTTTGCTCTCGGACAGACAAAGAAAACCCAGTAAACTGTTAAGACAAACCCTTGCTGTGTACTTCCAGAGAGGCTTAAGATGAGCAAACTGTAACATGACAGAGACACAGTCTAACCCGACATGTGCCGTATCGTCTTCCTGCAATACTCCTGAGCCCGAGGGATGACCTTCATGAGCTCGCGGCCCCACATCACAACAGCTTTCCCCTGGATCGCATAGGATGCAAACAGCGCCGTCGTCATGGAGCCCAGAAATCCTGAAGCCAAGAGTGACATTGCTGGTCACATTTGTTGAATGACACGTCAAACGCACACATTGAGCAATAAGGTTGTTATTGCATGTAGAATTACACTAGAGATGCTTAACAGTTTATCAGTGGGATAATAATCAGCCTGCAGTTTGATAACATTTGTGTGGGTTAACCATAGTCACCTGTGGGGTGGTTGTGGGTCATTCTGCCGATCTCAATGCTGACCTCCACCAGGTTGTCTATTCGCTCCGGTTGCCAGTATCTCATACCCACACACATGGCCTTGGCAGCTGCCCCAAAGCCAGACCCTGCACACAGACACATGTGCACACATTTTCATGAACTCAAATGTTAGGGGGAACTGTATGAATATAAATACATAGATATGCAGTATATACAACATCTCCAATGACCTTTTTCATTGAAGGGTGTGTGCCAGGCGAGGAGGAAGTTGTGGGGTTTGAGGTGAACACAGTTCTCCACTGTGGCAGGATCAGGAGCTCTGCCCTGGAGAGACACAATGGCTTCAACGTAGACGCGCACCAGCTCCCGGTACAGATCCTCCAGACACCAGTAATCTGGAAACACACACACAGACTGAGAGTCTTTCACAACCTGCATGCAAAGAGAGATGAGTGGTGCTGCGGTGGACTAAATTTAGCCTTAGTGGGCGACGCCGGCGATTAGGACCAGCATGCCAGCGAGTGGCGTCACTTCCACACACCATGAGGTGAACTGGGATCCATGAGCAGACCCCACAGCCTACTTGCAAGAATTTAGTTTGTGAGAGCCTATGTGGACAAACAATCGTCATCTCTAAATTTAGTGATCAAGGATTTCGATGAAAGATGGGTACTCTCACACGCTTAACTGCACAGTGGTTCAGGTTTGGTCACAAAGCAGCTGAGGGAGTATTGATGGCACATTCTTCAATCAATGTGTGTAAAGAGGAAGTTGCAAATTCTTGTCTTCTTGTCTCTGGTTTAATTGAAGTTCTTTGTTCTCTGCACGCGGTAAGAATGTGTTAACAGTTTCTTTTCCTCACTGTCATTCTGTATGCTTGACTAGAAAATTGGCAAAGCAAACACCGACATTCACCACATTCATTCCACTCCACGACTTGTATGTGTGAGTATGTGTACAGGCATGCTGGACGGCTGCTAAATAGGGCTCCCTAATCTCAATGGATGTCACCACCGTTTCAGTGCTGCTGCCTTTGGCTTTGAACCGCATCTGCAGCCAAACATGATACCGGCAGATTATGGAGGAGTCCGACCTGCTATTGTTCAGCAAAGCAGAGCCGGGGCTCAGCTTTTCATAAGTAGTCTATTTTCGACTTTTCTGTCCTAGCAACTCCTGGCCACCATAAAGGGGCTCGGTGGGACATTTCAGTGATAGTTATAGGCTTTTATGGACATTTTGTCTTTGATGAACATTTGGCAATAACTGATAATGATAGATCAGCGGGTTATCATTCAAAGACCGGCGTATCAGTTAGTGATTAGCAGTTTCCTTTGACTTCATAGCAGCAGCTATTCTGGTCTTCTTACACGTCGACTGGTCCGTTGTGTCTATATTGTGTTAAAAACAATAAAGAGTTAAATGTTTCGATTTTGCATGAACTTAGGCAGAAGAAACACTACGAGTGTGTCTCCCTCTTTGACAATCACCAACACTTAAACGTACCTGTTACCAGTGCTTCCGCTGTGGTGATGTGCATCAGCGCTGCATCACTCAGGGGCCAGTTATCAGGGTCCAGTTTCTGCGCCCCGAGTCCCCCCAGAGAGGCCAGTTCGTCTTGGATCTTCTTGCCCGAGATGCAGCCTTCCCAACGGCCCTTTCGGGAGCCCAAGGCATCGCCAACGCCACCCAGCACCATGGCTGCCTTGAATTTCTCCATGACACTGCGCTCCGCTCAGGTTGGCTCACCCGGCTGAAAAAAAAAAAATTGGCTTCTGGCACACTCACTGCATTCAGCTTCACGTTGTCGCCTCAACACACTCGAAAAATACTCAAATAGCTTTATCAGCTCTCACAATTTGACTCGTTCCAGTTGACGTGGAGCTGGTGAGAACCTCGGTCTTCACTACATCACAAGCTCTACCGCCCTCAAAGCTCTCGTCTAGGTTCCCATCAGTTGTCTGCTCGCATACACAGACTACCAGAGGGCGGGCTAACGCACACGCACGCACGCACGCAAGCACGCAAGCATCAGGTTGTCAGCCACAGCTTCTTTGTGTCTGGTAGCAAGGCGCTTTGCTGCGATCAGGTGTCTCCTAAAAAGGCAATCCCCATGGTCCCAAAGCTGGATGGCCGGGTGTGCAGTGGTAATGGGAAGAGATGCCAATGTGTCCTGCTGGGCTGCAGCGCAAAGCCCATCAGCTGGTGCTGGACCTCCATCCCAACAGACACCCATGGGAGGAGGGTAAGAATCGAGCATCACCCCCACTGCTTGAGGCTGCCTCCTTTATTGAAGCTCAACTCTTCAAGTCTTAACGCGACTATTTTATCTATTTATCTTCGACCCCAGATAAATGTAGATCCTCTCCGTTCTAACCCCTTTGGACACAATCTGAATTTTAGAAAACCCTTGATAGTTTGAGGGAGGGTGTTGGTGGATGTCACCCTGAACATAGACAAAGCAGTACTAGAGGAGCCGATGATGATGACACGCAGAAGGAATGCAACATGATAAGGGACAACTGTTCCCAAGCTGACGTTTTAACACACACACACACACACACACACACACACACACACACACACAGTGGCTGTTAGCAGAAATATGGGGGTAGTTTGTTTCAACTCTCAACATAATTACATTGATAGATCTCTCTTCTTGGCCTCTATGCGACATGAATAACTTCTGCATAGCATCATAAATGGCTGGCTTAAGTCTACATGATTGTGCTGTTGACCCAATAGTGGTTCCATATCATACACATTTTAGATTTACAGGAAAAAATTATTTAAATATACACATGAAAGTTACTAATGTTTGTCTTATGAGGTTTTTGTTGATAGAATAACAATCGGTCAGTCACACTGAAGATCAAGTTGTATATTTATCTGTAATTTTAGATTCATATTTTCTTCAGAAATATATTTATGTCACTCATTTTAGCACAACGCAACGCCGCTGAGCAGCATTGAATATCTTTGTTTCGGACGTTCCAACAGAGGTAGATCTTTCACAAGGCTGTTAAAAACAACATGCTTTATTGACAACTTTTCTTGAAGAAAACAATGTACGATATGCTTCTGTAACAAAACGTAACATTCTGTAAATACCTGTCGTCTTGCTGGCAAAAAAACCCAAAACTTATTGGATACAAATGATTGGCATGACTTTTGTTGACCACACATTTGACAAATAGAAACGCACAAAATGTATCATATTAACAGAATGAATACAGAGACGTGTTCTATCTCCTGAAGCGGAGACAATGTCAGATAATCAAGTCGACAACGATCAACTGGAAAGCTTTCGCGCCGTCTCGCTGTCTTGACCGAGAAAAAGTCTGTGCACAACTTTGACAGCCAGAAAGTCACGTTGGATATTTCATTCCACCAACATGTTTTGAACTTATAGTTACAAAGGATGAACAATACGACGCGTCTGACTGCTGCTGCTACAGTGACTGTTTCACAGCCCTGATGAAGCTGGAAATCATAACATCTTAAAAAGTCTACTTCATGCACACCTTCACATAAATATGAAGACTTTAAAACACATATTTGTCAACTTAAGAAAAAGGCAATTGTCTCTCTTGCAGTTGAAGGAGAAAATCTGATGCGGGGGGGAAATAATCCACCCTTATTTCAATACATCTTATCGTGGCGACAGCGATTGGCAAAACAGGTTGGCATAGTTTGATGGCAAATACCGGTGGAAATGCAGGAAGGCGCCTGCTGCTCAGCGTGAGAGGAAGACTGGTACCTGAGCTCGACCTTCTGTCACGCCCTCTAAGCCCCCCAAAGAAGTGGATGCGGTTAGTGTTTATATTCACACATGAAGAGCAACACGAAACACTTGTGTGAAGGAGAAGCGTTTCCCCCCCTAGATGTGGTTCTCAGCGTGACCCTTTCTTCTCTTTAGTAGTTCTATGGTGCTAATCCGTGGGAAGCGACCGATCAAAACAGTGTAAACAAACAGTTCAAATGATTGCGATGTAGATGCTCATCTAAAAAGGCCTAGTGTGCATGTGAACCTCTGTCCAAGAGGTGTGACTAACGCTGGAGATCAGTGCTGCCTGGTAAAAGAAGACCTAGAGCAAGAAAAAAACAAAACAAAACAAAAAACAGGAGTGAACCGGTGCAGTTTGTAGTCGGCGCAACAGTCAGTCAGTTCCTCTGTGTGCACACACACACACACGGCAAAACTTAAGTCAACCTCATGTGTAATGCAGAACTTTAGCGGTGAGGATCTTAAAAGCTTCTGTACTCACCAGGATTTTAAATACCGTTCACTACCTGTCTTGTTAGACACACATTTGTTGGTGTAAAGCGGCATTTATAGCCTTTTCACCGCTGTAACTACGCCTAAATGTAACTCTGCTGGTGCGGAGAAGAGCGCGCCGCTTTGACCAGTCACAATACAAAATGTGGAGCTGAACTTCTCCCGCTGTTGCACCAAGAATTTCTTCACGCTCCAATTACAGTGAAACCAAAATAAAATATTTTGCATTGTACCGTAAAAGAGGCCACGTTGTTTAACCCCAACCTTAAAACACACACACACGCACACACACGCGCTTACAAACAGCACACGTCTTCTCTGCTCTCAGAGTGATTGGTAGAGAGCTTCACATTCACAATCTCATCGCTCTCCCCTTGACGTCCACGACACTGCTTCACGTCCACACACACAATGCAGATTTCACAGTTGACGACGCAAGAGGCCACATTATACTGCATCTACAGCTTAATCCTCCGCGTGTGCCGACAGCTCGCCGCCACTGTCCCTCCTCACGGTGCCAAGGCTGCAGGTCAGTGAGCGGCAGATCTGAAGCCGCAGCCACGGGGCGAGTTGCCCACGACGGACCAATCGTCTCCATATTGCAGTCCTTGTCAAACAAAAGAAGAAAGAAAAAAAGTCCCTCCTATTCAGTCCCCCCCTGCTTTTCCTCGCACCTGGTGTCTCAGGTCACACCCCCCCCCCCCGTCAAGGCATCTTATGCAGTTGAAAGATTTGATCTTAAGGACAAACTGAGAAGTACTCTCTTTTTGGCTCATTTGTATAAAAATCCTCATTGAAAAGAAGAAGAAAATTGGGGAGAAACACAAGCTCCGTTTCGCTGCATGACGCCGGGGCAAACACTATGTTATGTTGCGCTTACTCGTCACGATCGGGCGAGCAAACTCCACAAAGTCATCTATGAGGACAGGCCATGCCCCTGAGGAGAGGGAGAGAAAGAACACGGAATACGAGTCACTTCTCAGTGTGATCCACACATTGCTTTCATCCTGCTCCAACAACCTCACCTTCCTCGTCATAGTTTGACATGTCGTCTGCGATTATGTTGCCGAAGTCCAGGAGGAGGTTCCACGTGTCTTTGGGAATCGAGCGCTTGTGATGCTCCTGAATTGCAGCACGGCGACGGGAGAAGAGACGGTTAAAAGTGAACGCGGTGCACCGACGATCAATTCAGCGCTCTGAAAATACTTGACTTCCGTCGTGATGCTTAACAGGTTGTTGATCGTGGTGTTGTTGGATTTGGTTAACGTGTTTGTCATACTTTTGCTTCCTCATATGTACAGTAGTTTGAAAAGGAAATGAACAATAAATATAATGTGTATATATATATATATATATATATATATATATATATATATATTTATACATATATATATATATATATATATATATATATATATATATATTTATACATATATATATATACACACACACACACACACACACACACACACACACGTATGTATATTTAGAATTTGTGTAATATTTGTGTCATACATTAGATAAATTACAGGGTGAAAACGGACTTCCTCTCTCACCATCAGGAAGCGGTTCCACAGATCCAAGAACTTGAAGCGACCTGTGAGAACTAAATTCCAGTAAGCTACAGCCATCTCAAGGTCTAGGACATAAAGTACAGTAAGATATTCAACTTGTCTTTAATGTTGTAGTGCCTTGTCTTTTAGAATAAAGTAAAATTGGCAAAACTCAATGACACAACTTTTCTTTGTCTACATGCGGTTACGGCGTTGATGCTCACCTAAACCTTTCTGCCCGGGGTTCTTGGCAAAATTAAAGGTGAACTGGTAGAAGTCTTTGAACTTCCCCGTGTCTTTCAGGTCCTGCTCAAGTCTGGGAAGGATCGACTTGAGTTTTTCAGGACTGTCACAGCTAGAGGAGACATTGAGAGAAAGAAAAATCTGCTTACTATCAGTGGCGCACCAAAAAAACACCTGAGGTGTCTGTGATAATTGTTGGATTTAACAGAACATTTTAAATGCAATATTTGGACTCATAATAAAACCCCTAAAAAAAAAAGAAAACAGTTTAAACACACAACTTCTCGCTCCTTAAATATGGGCGTCAAAGATGCTGGGGTTCAGTTGCCCTCTGCGTCGCTCACCCTAGCTCAGCCATGCCGTCCAGGAACTCCTTCCTGCTGAACTCGCACTGCGTGGCCGCCCTGAACTTCCACGCCACCACCAGTATGCTCATGCTGGCCGGGTCCAGCGTCAGGTCGTCGCAGAACTGCTGGATCCCGTCAATACCGATCTTGTTCTCATCCTGGGGGTCTGCGGAGAGAGACAGCTGAGGGGAGTGAGCAAAACCGGACGGGCAAACTGCTGCGACGTTAAAACGGGCTTCAGGGCGACCTGCCTTTGTATCGGTTGTAGAGCTGATCCAGCTTCTTGCGGTCCGCCGTGGTTTTCATGGATTCTTTGTAGTAGAGGTCTGGATTCTGGAAGTAGTTGTCCGTGGCGACCTCTAGTTTCCAGTCATTCCTCGTCAGGCAGTAAACGGCTGTCCTCTCCCCAGCCTGTGTGAAGGACATGAACTGCCGTGTCTTGTCCTTCTGCGAAGACTTCAACTTGTGCTGTAAGACAAGGAGGGCGCAGTAATCTGTTAGTGTCTGTTAAGCTCCAACCAATAATGAAACAATCACAAACTAACTGCTTCATATGACCCACAACCAGTGTCCTTCAGAAGGGTCCCCAAGGGACCCAACTGGACAAGCGCAATCCGTTCTTGGGTAAACGGGATGCACTGACATGCATGTGGAGTTGAGGCAGGCTGACACACACACACACACACACACACACACACGCTGGAAAAACAGTTCCTGCACACAATTCTGCAAACGAAATGCAGTTGAAGGTGATTACACTTCAACAGCTCAAATCAACTATAGAATCTGGTGGTTTTAAAAAGGAAGACTCCTACAACGCAACAGCCTTATTTATTAGTAAAACGCTGTCACTTCCAAATGCATCGACGGCAGGTTCCGTCAGTTCACAAAAAGACTTCCATCGTGTCATTTTTAACCGGACTTTCACCGGGAGGACCGCACGCCGTTGCAGAGTTGACCCGCCCGGTGATCACACAGCGAATTCACCGGGCCAGGCCAGGGTTAGGTGACCCGGTTTCTCTGATTCTCCCCTGTGATCCTGCAGGGCTCTCTACACCGAGCCCCGGCGGCACCACGGGCCAGCTACCAAAAAAGGGTAAGGTACGTGCGCCAAGTCCGATCTGAAAATACCAACAACTGACCTTCCATTTCCCTCATATCCCCGACACACATCGGGCTGGCAATGCGACACTTGGCTATAAGGACGCCCCGCTCGCCTCTGTCCGTGTGAGCCCTTAACGGCCGTGACAGCGGTTGCCGGTGTTTGAACTTGCTCGTCGGAGTTAAAGAATTGCCCCGGTTTCTTATTTATGATCTCACCTACCATTTTATCACACGCTGTATTGGCCCAAATGATATCAAATTACGCCCCCCCCCCTCTCTCTCCAGTGCGCATGCGCGAAACCAACTGCGCCACCGTCGGAGCGCTCGGCTCGTGGGAAATGTAGTTCTGTGAGTGTGGCCGTTCCACAGGCTCTGAGCCAACTGGCTTTCGTTAACTTCACAACGAAAGTTAACTTCATAGACAAAGTCTTTAGTTTATTCACAAATACGTTTCTGCTGGAAAAAAATGGAAGGAAATGATCGCGTAACTATATCAAAAGGAGCTGTTAAAACCAGATGTAAATGTATTATAAAGAGAGCATAACAGACAAAAAAACCCTATTTCAACGTTAAAGTGCGTTGTTGTTGATAGTTTTTAACCAAAATGCAAATATGACTCTAATAAGACCATTAAAGGTAACGTTACGTCTCACCGGGGAACCGCTGTCACAACAGGTGCATCTGACGCGCTCGAGCGACAAACCACAACACTTGAAAAACTACAACTCCCATACCAGAGCTGAGCAGAATGTTTCGGAAGTACTCTTAAAATGGATCAAAGTTATCTTGACGCTATATTATATCACGTAACAATGCTGTGACATAAGTCGTCCGACCCTCTGCCCCGGTGTGTCCCGACGTAATACGCGCATCGGCGAGCCGCTATGAGGGGCTAACCTTCTTGAGCTAACGTTAGCCGGGCGGCGCTAGCCTCAGCGTCGGTGCGGCACGGCAGTGTGTGCGGGGCTCGGCTGGCTGCAGCCGGTCTGACAGGAGGGCTGACTTCGCTCCACAGCTCCCCCCGGGGAACGGAGAGAAAAACAGGGTGAACTCTATAAACACATTTAGGGAGGGGGGGGCGAGTTTCCCAGCGCACGACCGCGGCCGCACCTGAGGTGACGTTACCTGGACGACGGAGCGCTAGCAGCCGCTTCGAGGAGCGATCGGTCCGAGGTCGAAGTGAACGTGAAGTTGGTCGCAAAGTAAACCGGTGATCGTCTGCACCGCCGCCGGCTCCGGCTATGTGGCAGGGGAGGAGGGGTGGGGGTGGTGGTGTTGTACAACAGCGGGGTTGTTCCCTTATTCCTCAGCTCCTGCTTCGGTCCTTCGCCGGGGAGTTGTGAGCCGGGAGCAGCTACGTATTTTCGCAGGTAGTCGTAACCGTTCTTTATTTACCTTTTTTTCTTTGTTGTTTTTGTTCTTGATGTGTACCAGTGAAAACAGAGTAATCGGTGTTTGGCACAATCGGTCTGATTGAACATTTCACCGGAGGTGGTTCCTGAATAACCAGTTACGTCTGTGCTGCGCGTATTTTCTATGACGTTTTTTCCTGCGGTGATGACGTCATCTATGTCCTTACAGGTTGTTCGTTTGGCTGTTTGTGTTTTTGATTATGTGCACGTGTCTGTCATTAAAGCCTCCAGGGTTTTACTAACCACAACCGACAAGTCAAAACCGCATTGCATTTAATTAATATTGTACCAAAAGAGAACTATACTAAAAGTTTTTTATTTTATTTTGCTAAATGGGTGCAACTTTTCCGATTAGTTTCTTCACACATATCAGTTTAATGATCAACTGAACTAGGACGCCTTGTTATAGATGGATCCGGCTAACAGGTTGTGAATTGTGCTGTTTGTTTCTATCACTACCCGGGTGGCTGCAGTCCAGTCGTAGGAAGAAGGACATCAGGGTTTGGAGAGCAAACATCCTTCAGCTTGACTCATGCTCACAAAGGTGCGGCCCCTGCAAGTTCAATGCATCCAGTCATTTATACGTATGCAGGCACATAGCTGAATGCTGAATGCATTTAACGCAGAACTACAGGCCACAATTACTTACTCAAGCAGCTGGTGGAGCAGGTCACGGGTGGGTGGACGCTGCTGCTCTTTATGCTGTTCAGTTGTGATCAACTCCTCTTTCTTGACAATTAAAAAAAAAAAATCAAATTCGTGTCAAAATATTGTCATAATTTTTGCTTTCCTAGGTTGACATTTTTTTTATTTCCGTCCCTTATGAAAAGTCCCAAACAAAGGTGTCCATCTTCCCATTGTTGCTACCAGCAGCCAGCAGCTTTAAGCACAGAGTCCATTGGCTCTTTAAACCCGCACTGCTGTTTTCAGCTAACGTTTTTCAACCCGGATAAGGCCTGAATAGCGTATTTATTAGGGACTGTTTTCAGCTGCAGATTTGTTGAGGTGGTCAATTTCCAGGGGCATCAGAGCTGTAGTGACAGATTTTCTTGAGCCACTCGGCAGGGTGCGGGAGAAGATCCTGTTCCTCACTCGCTCACACAGAGATTCCAAGTCTTTTTGTTTTCTTTGGGTGAAGTTCCCGTTTATTAGTTTTACACTTTACAAACCACGACTGCATCTATATTTAGTTCTTGATCTCGCTGCGCATCTTGGGAGCGGTAAAAACCGCGCGATCTCCCCGTCAGCCATGCATCATTACCCCGGCTAATTAATATGTGGACTCACTGTCACACTGCCACCCGTGGCCAACTTGAGCTTGACTCCCAACACCAAGTGGTACACAAACATCCTGAATGGCTCCTACAAGAACAGCGTATAAACACACACCAAAGGGACTGTTCACAAGCCCTTTTGTGGATTTCTTCTTTCTTTCTTTATTCCCAGATCTCTTTCTCATCATCAATCTCCCAACTCGGGTGGAGACCGAAGTGAGGGTTTGGATGCAGCTTGTGTGTTGCCTGCTGTGCCTTAGCGCGGCAGGGGCGTTTGCTGTGCTGCAGAAGGAACAGGTGGCCGAGCACGCCATCGAGCTTTATCGGAGCAAGGGGGCCCCACATGGACACACATGGGTGACCGGCAACTGCAAGCGGCTGGTGGGTCTCCTACGTCAGAACAACGTGGTCGTCAGGAAGCTGGCGGCCGCCGCAGACGCCGTTAGACGAGACCAGACCCTTTCAGAAGCGGAGAGACTCTTCCAGGTACCCGAGGATTCATACCACACGGGGCAAAGGGCCGCTGGTCATTTGCGGTGACCAGCATGGTTTCATATACAGTGGGGAGAACTCACAGTTGAAGAGTACCTGTGATAAAGATGCTTTGTAAGTGGGAAAACCTGCAAAATCTGCAGTGTATCAGATACTTGTTGTCCCCACTATAACTCTGATAAAGTACATTTCTTTGTCTCTTTGTGTGTTGACAATTTTAACACAGGGGCGTCGTTAGGCCTATTTCAGGAGGGACATTGTTGGTTTTAAAATTCTTTATTTTTTTTATTTGAATTTTGTCATTAAATAAAAATATTGCTTCTCACATGGACACGTTATTTATAACTCTAACATGCTACATTTATGCGTGTGCGTTCTAGTTTGTATGTTTGTATATGCAAACAGGCCGCTGCCGTTCTTTTTTTATAGATCACTTCTAATTGCATGACAGAGGCCTTTTGCAATTTCCCAAGAACTAGTCTGTCATCATAAGCTCAAAATAAAAGTACATTAAATTTCGAATGACACAAAAGAAAAATAATAGAATTGCTATATTAGGAAAGCTGGAACAATAAACTTTAGTGCCTGACAACAGACTATCCCTTGAATTTTAATCCACCGTTTCTGCATCTATCTTGTCGCGTCAGAACTCTGACAAAGACACATAAACTTCTCTTGTCCAGCGTTTTAAAATAAAAACCAGGGGTTTCAGATATTTCACAGTTGTCTCCCTGTTTTCATCCAGGTTCACACTCTGGAGGTTTTCCAGAAAGAGATGAACGAGAGCGAGCACCTGGTCTTTCAGGCGGTGCACGGCCTACAGAGGGCGCTGCAGGGAGACTACCGGGATGTGGTCAACATGAAGGAGAGCAGCAGGCAGAGGCTGGAGGCCCTCAGGGAGGCCGCCATAAAGGTGAATAGTGCTTCCTGCACACCAAGATTGTTTGCAAGCGCGTCTCGACAAAGGCAAAGAATGAATGTTATTGCCATGTGTGGGATGCTTCAGTGTTGTTTTATAATTCCATTATTAACGTATACAATCATTAGTTTTGGAAGCCCAAAGAGAAGTCCTCAAAAATGTCTTCTTAATTGATTAAACAAGTGATCAATTTGTGATCCTTCCGAGCAACTAATCTAACACCAACTTCAGTGATCATATTGTTGTCCAAATGAATGATTTCCGGACAATTGTGCTTAAAAACTAGCAACATATTATAATGTAATGTAAGACAACAGTAGAGAAACATCATGATATGGAATTCTACCACATCGCCCGCCTCTTTCTTCTGCATGATGCACGTGCATATTCACACGTGTGTGAAGCTAATGGCCAATTCTCCGGCTCTACTGGGCTTCAGGAGGAACAGGAGTATGTGGAACTGGTGGCTGCTGAGAAGCACCAGCAGGAGGCCGTCAAGAGCGCTCTAGCCCAGAATAAGACCTTGTCCATGCTGGATGAGATCCTGGAGGACGTCCGGAAGGCAGCAGACCGGCTGGAGGAGGAGATCGAGGAGCACGCATTCGACAACAACAAACAGGTCAGCTCAAACGCGTCGATACCGACGAGCCTGTGATTGCAAACAAACGTTGGTGTTCAAATTGTGCCTCCCTCTGTGCTCGCCGTTGGCGCAGATGAAAGGAGTAAACGTGGAGGCGGTGCTGAGAGTGGAGGATGACGAGGAGAACGGAGGGAAGAGGAAGAACAAGTCCAAGCAGCAGAAGGAGGTGGAGGACGACCTGGGACTGAGCATGCTCATCGACTCGCAAAACAACCAATATGTCCTGACCAAACCTCGAGACTCCACGATGCCCAGAGCAGACCCTCACTTCATCAAGGTCAGTTCACTCCCGCTTCAGAAGATGGGAAGCTCCAACTGGTTTTCATTCCCCCGTAATGCAAACAACAGGGCTGTCGGTAATAGTCGGTACAGTTCAACCGTACTTGTACTTTCAGGACTTGGTGTCGGTGGTGATGCTGTCGCTGCCCTGTGGTTGGATCTGTTCTCTGGTCGGACTTCCTCCCATGTTTGGATATATCGTCTGTGGGGTCCTGCTAGGTCCCTCTGGCCTCAACAGCATCAAGGTGAGTGTGTGTGCGTGTGTGTGTGTGTGTGTGTGTGTGCGCGTGTGTGTGTGTGCGTGTGTGTGTGTGAAGGAGCTGGTGCTTAATTTCAGTGTCTGTCTTACAGTCTATGGTCCAGGTGGAGAGTCTTGGGGAGTTGGGTGTGTTCTTCACTCTCTTTGTGGTGGGATTGGAGTTCTCACCTGAGCGACTTCGAAAGGTAAACAAGAGGGATTTGAGTTTAGGATAGAAATTGATTGATGAACGTTTATTTTTGCAAGTACTAGATTGTAAGGCAATTCAATATGCATGTTATCGTTGCAACGTGATTTTATGTTTCATCTTGGCAAGACTTCCTTTTTTAAGAAAATAACCACCAAATAAATAGTTAACCCTTTGCTGTTACTTTCCTTAGACATTGGTCAACATCCAACTAGCTCAAAGTTACCTGAAAGTCCCCTTCTTGTAGAATTTCTTTACCCTGAATATTTTAATACATTTTCTTCCCATTCTAATTTTCCTAGATTTTAAAATATGCCCCATACATTCAACATCTGCTCTGCTGTTTTTTTTATATATATATATGTTTGTGCGTGTTTGTGCACGCTTGACGTCACATTTTAGAATTCTGTGATTGACAAAGACATTTCATCTTGTTGTTAAACTGATCAAGCGCATTCTTTGGGGGCCGTGGACTAAGTACTTGCTGCGTCCTCTCTCCCTGCCGGGAATGGACGGGGCTCCCTGCTCCCGGCGCGACTGTCGAGCGGGGCGGACTGTTCCCAGTGCGCCCCAACCAGGTCGTCCGGGTGGGGTCCGCTCTTGTTAAAGGCGTCAGGCAGGAGCGGACGGTCCATAGGGGACACCGGGCAAATCCCCGGTGGGCCGACGGCCGAGGGCTGTTTTACCCTCTGTTTTATTTTTGCTGACTAGGCATCAGTGGACAAAAACAGATTCTATGAAGAAAATCATTGCAGTAAATCCAGACTTCAGTGAGCTCAGCGAGCCCAACACGTCTGCCTGCTGTGGAGTTGCTGCTCTGGTAAACGTGTGTGTGGTTTTTTTTTTGTGTGTGTTTGCAGGTATGGAAGACATCAGTCCAAGGGTCGTGCTCTCTAAGTCTGCTGATGATTGGGGCGGGTTTGTTGTGGGGACAAGTCCTGCGCATTCGACCCGGCCAGACTGTCTTCATTTCCACTTGCCTCTCCCTGTCCAGCACGCCGCTAGTGTCTCGCTTCCTGGCCGGGGGAAGCAGAGCGGACAAAGAAGGTATGGAGGGACACAGTAGACATATTGTATGTAGAGCAACTTGTGACAAAGATCAATAACGTGAGAGTGTGTGTGACAGGTGATTCGGACTATAGCAGCGTTCTCCTCGGGATGCTAGTGATGCAAGATGTTCAGCTCGGTCTCTTCATCGCTGTCATGCCGACGATGATCCAGGCGCAGAGTGGAGACTTGGACAGGTCAGTTTGCTGTTGAGAATTTGCAGTTTTCTGTTGTTTTTTTTTCTCTTGCATGTGTCCTCTCCTCAACCAGACACACACACTAACACACAGCTTGTTTAAACATTTGTGAATCACAGCTTCCTGTTGGGGAGCCTCCGTGTGCTTTACCTCCTGGCCCTGGTCCTGGTCTCTCTGGCTGCTGTGCTGCTGCTGTGTCTGTTACTCAAAGCATTCCTGATTGGCCCGTATTACAAGAAGCTGCATGCTGAGAGCAAAGGCAACAAGGAGATCCTCGTGCTGGGGATGGCAGCTTTTGTCTTTTTCATGCTGACGGTACACACTTTGCTTTAATTGTTTTGTTTTTAATAATTCCCTCTGCGAGCCTCTGGTGTTTTCTCGTCCATTGCAGTATTATTGAGTCTCCCTTGCAGCAGCTGTTAGCGTCGTGTCTCTGTCTGACCCTGATGCTGCAGGTGACTGAGTTTTTGGATGTTTCTATGGAGCTGGGCTGCTTCCTGGCTGGAGCCCTGCTGTCCACACAGGGCCACATTGTTACCACGGAGGTCATGGGATGCATCGAGCCGATCCGAGATTTCCTCGCCATAATCTTCTTCGCCTCTATCGGTTAGACGCAGTCAATTTTAAGACAGAGCACAGCTTCGTTAACCGGTTACATTTGTTCACCTGTGAGACGTGCCTGAATCCCCTGGCGTGTGTGTGTGCGACCCCGTAGGTCTCCACGTGTTCCCGACATTCGTGCTGTATGAACTCACCATCCTGCTGGTGCTGACCCTCACGCTTGTCATTATGAAGGTACGGCACCCTTTTCCTCTCTGCTTGCACTTCCCCCTCTGCAGGTCACCTTGTGCGTGCTCTCAGTCCCTCCTCTCTCTCTCTCTCTCTCTCTCCTAGTTCGGGATGGCCGTTCTGGTGCTGTCGGCCATCTTGCCTCCAGGCTCTCGACACATACGTTGGATTGTCTCAGCCGGTCTCGCTCAGGTCAGCGAATTCTCCTTCGTCCTGGGAAGCCGTGCACGTCGTGCTGGCATCATCTCCAGAGAGGTCAGTGATGAGCGATGTGATATATAAATGTGTATATATATATATATATTATAGTACTCTGAAGACCGAAGATCACTCAGGTAGTATCTCATTGTGTAAAATACTTGATTCTAAAAAGCACTATAAATACAGTACAGCATTGCCCATACACACTATTATTTTCTATAGCAATTAATTTCTTTTGAATTATTAATCAATTAGCAGATTGAATTAGGAATGACTTTCCGAGGGCCCACGGTGGCATTTTTCAATGCTTTGTGTTCTCTGCCAAATACCATAAATATGCAGCTTGAAATGATGCAAAAGCAGCACATTTCTGAGAGGCTCAAACCAGAGAATACGTCATTTTTGCATGATTTAATGTGTCATTTAAAGGCTGCTCCTGAGCAAACGTACCTCAAATCCTGTTTTATTAAGCTAAAACTGGTCTTTCAGTAGGAAACAGTAGAAACAAATACAGATTCTCCATGCTTACGTCTCTTTGTGCTCAGGTGTACCTGCTGGTTCTCAGTGTGACCACCCTCAGCCTGCTGCTGGCCCCGGTGCTGTGGAGAGTAACCACACACAGGTGGGTTCCCTGGGCCGAACGCAAAACCGTCACATGACCGACGACCTTCTTCGGGGACAATAGAGTTTACATATTTATTGAAATGGAGCACACCTGGTTCACCGTTTACGGGAGAGACACGCATACGTAATATCAATTCTGATGTCTTTAATGCAGCTAATCTTGCATTATGAAGATAAACTAATATGTTCTCTCTCTACTGTCTGTACGAAGGAAAGTCAATGACATTTTTTTTGTGTTGATTCTGCACTTTGAACAACAATCACAGTGACCATATCTTTTTCTTGTAATATTTCCTCCATTTTACCTATATTTGACCATCTCACATATCTATTCTTTGGTCTGAAGTGTAATGTTGTCCATTGCAAATTATGGAATCTTTGGTACTTGTAGTTTAATGAAAACAATGTGAATTAAGCTCTGTGGCCAGTAAAATGTTAAATTAAATGTTACCTAAAATATTCCTTTTACAAAGACTCTTTTACTATAGTTGTTTGGGGCATTTTATTTTTCTGTTCAAATAATACAAATGAAATCTGTATAATACACATTAGTTAAAAGTAAATAATGGAGATAATGAAATATTGGTGAGCCACTAACAAAAATTGAAAATTGTCGTCACAACGTATTTACTGAAAATCCTGCACTAGTTACCATTGAATGTCAAACTTTTGTGCCTGTTAAAAGTGAGCAGCTCTGCGGTTTCTCCCGCTGTAAATGTCCTCATATCGGTATTGATAATGTATAAACGACCATGACACTTCCAGGCAAAAATAAATGCTGTTTTCATCGGAATGTTTATGTTTCTTTAAGTTCATTCATATATATTTATTAAAAATAAATAAAAAAGAATTGTCCTCCTTGTAGTCTTTATTTGCTCTTATCAGAGTACTTTCTTTGGAGTACATGGAAATAAATCACGGTAAAACAATTAAATCAAAACGACAATGGAATATATCTAAAGAAAAGAGGTCTTTCATCTCCTCTATCAATACTTCTAGCAATGTGTCTGCATTGTGTAAGCTGATAACCCACAAACGCTGCAGTCAGCAGATTTGCGAGTGACATCATCATCATCCTATTAACGGTTGTACTGTAGATGGTAACAAGTTACAAATACTATACTACAGTATTTCAGCATTGTTCTAGAAGTTTGACTATGCTCATGTTAACTAAATTAAAAGGGATTAAAGTTAATTCATTCATTCTTGTACTTGTGTTTTACTTCACTATACAGTTTTTGTTTATTTTCAGATTTGTGTAATGAATGAAATGCAAACCACGTACCTTTTAGGATTTAGAATGTTTTTGATAAACTGAAGGAGGAAGTCTTGCTTTGTGTGATGGTGAAATGATTCCAATCCTTTAGGTTCGCGCAGCCACGAAGCTGAAGCTCACGAAAAAACACTTTCAGACACACACAGCAAACACGTGTTGATCTTGTAGCACATTGCTGAAAATGAAACTAACCAACAGTATGGAGTACACTTTCTCAGTGTGGGTTCACATTGTTATTTAAGTAAAGTATCTGAGGATTTCTTCCACCTGTAAAGCAAATCACCCCTAAACTACAAGCAGGTAACTAAGATGAGACCAAAGACAAGTTTTTAGTTTGCATTTAGTAACAAGTTCACCTCAACAATCATGTTGTTTCTCTTTTATGTCATCAGATTTTATTACTTTCTTGAGTATGAAGAGAGGAGAGAGACACATAAAGACAGATGCTGCAGTCTGTTACTGTGCGACAGGTTACATCATAATTATACAAACATAACATAGATTTAAAGGTTTCTTTTTTTTGTCTTGGGTAAAAAAATCAGATGACGAAGTTCATGAATCAAACCAAAAACATGACACAGACATTTACAAGTGGGCCTAAAATATTGAGTAATTTTGTTTAAAGGTTGTTAAATCACAGTGCCCACTGATCTGTAGACACCCTCTCCATCTCTGATGCTGAAAGGTTCGTTGTCACGCGACTAAAGGATCTTCTCATTTCACCGCTTCCAGTTGGAAGATGACTTTTCCCTCGTAGGGGTCGTGGTAGTTTTCGTAGCTGATGATTTTGGAGACCACTCTGCACTGGATCTTCGCTTTCTTCCCATTGACCAGGCTGAACCGAACCGCCACCAGCGGGTTGATGTAAGTGGGCTGGACAGAAGGAAGAAGGAGGCACAGCACAGATGAGTTTAACTTGTTGTATCTTCTTTATGAAGATTGATACTTCAATCTGCTATAATCTTGTTAGCTTAGCATTAAGACTGCAAAATGTCCTTCTACCAGCACCTCTGAATCTCTCAACATGGTATATCTCATGTGTTTGGTGTGGCTAAAAACCTATTCAACATATATGAATATGAATGATATGATATGAATATCATACTATGAATGTTGGTGCTAGATGTGAGTTAAAAAGATTTAACACGAATGCATTAACGTATGTTTGCCTCCCTGGTAGTAAATCAAAAGTGAGAATGACTTGTGGTCTTCTATTGAACCGCTGCTTGTGGTAATTAAGTTAAGCATATTTATATAGATATATGCAAAATATGTTCACCACAAACCGGGGGACTATCAATGCCTTTGTTATATGGGACCACTGGCTAGTTTACTTTACTTTTAAACAGGACATCTTGATTCTCACTCACCTGTGCCAGTCTTCCGTAGTAAGGAAAGTAAGATAAGTCCATACTTCCACCCTCAGGGAAATACTCAATTTTGTCCACATTGTGTTGTCCTTCCTAAACACGCACATGTACATAAACACAGAATTGTTTAATGAGAGCACCAATTTTACTGAGGAAGATAAGTTTACTCGCCACAAGTAGAACGTGCCCTGAGAAAAACGCTGTATAATTACATCCAACAAAGAGGTTGGGTTTTGTTTTGTTTGCCAGCAGGATGTCAGAAAAAATACCGGCTAAAAATGTATAAAACCTGGTGGACGGGTGCAGCGGTGGCCAAGAAAGCACTCCCTGGTTCACAGGGCAAAATCACTTGGCCACTTTTGTAATGAAAATAGCTGCATTTTAGGAAATGTGGGATTCAGTGTTTTTGGACTTTGGTCCATTAAGCAAATACAAATCAGCTTTATAGACGCGGAGGACTAAATCATTGCAATGAGATGTAAAACTTCAGACACAGTCTCTGTTAAATGTGGAATATGCAGTTGTTGCTCACCAATACAGTGCAGTTGACATAAGCCGGATGCTCAGTGTTATTAGAGGGCAAAAAGCTGATAATCTGCAGAGATAAAACATCAAATTAGCCTTTAGTCATTACTATATATCTGATATTTTTCCATACACTGCATGATCAAAGTTTTCCAAAGTGCTCAGAGGGTTATTATGGAATAAACCTACCCTGTTCATCTTAATGATGACGCAAGGCATGGTGCAGTTGTAACCAAAGGTCGGGTCCTCGTGTCCTGAACAGGCTCCCAGCATGCTTTGCGTGAAGGGGCACGCCCACTTGGTGTGGTTAGGGGCAGAGAAGGTGTCCTGGATGAAGTACTTTCCCCTGGTGCAGTTATGTTTGTTACATTCAAGCTGCTTGGTGTCATTGTACGCTGACAGAAACAGACAGAAAGTCAAATAAATGTCTTTTTTATGTGTTAAACAGTGTCTGTACAGTACGGTTGAGTAACTAAACACTAACGCTCCAGGAACTCATTAAGGATGTTGGTCATCTTCATCCAGCTGGACTTGTCTGATGTGTTGTAGGAGATTTCAACAATCTCCTCCCCGTAAGTGTCCGGCCACACCATGACCCCTGAACAGAGGCGACAAAACAGCCGGTTAACCGAGGTCTAGTTCAGGCTGTTTCTGTCTTAACTCATGTGGTGGTCGTTGGGTTACCCGGAGACTTTAACCGGTCTTGGTAGTCCGGCGCATACGGATCCAACGTGTACATGAGCGTCCAGATGGCCAGGCAAAAGAGGGACGTCATCACCACGTAGAAGGCCACATAATACAGACTGATGTACACTGTGGACCAGAGCTTTTATTACTAACACGCAGACAGCCTTACATGTTTTTGGGCCCTCTGTCTGATGCTTGTTTTAAAGCTCAGTGTGTAAAGTCAAGAAAGTCAAGACAGAGAAAAATCTACGTCCACCTTCACAGAGGTCACGGTTTCTACTGTCGATACGGGCTCAATTTAATCTGATTGTAAAATCAAACAGAGGGCCGAGGAACAGAAAAAAAGGAAAAGCTTATCACAACGTCAGGCTTATCTCGCTCCGTCCACAAGCTGCAAACACACACACACACACACACACACACACACTCGCTGTGGTGATATTCACATTCCCCCCGAACACGTTGCATGAGTTAATGATGGGTGTTTATCTTTCACTGTAACACGCACACACACACACACACACACACTATTTAATGTCTTATTAAGTTCTTATCATATTTTAGGGACATGAAATATTTTTCTAAACATCTTTTATATTTCCATGTTTATTTGTTGGATGAGGCCTGCATGGCTTGTGAATGCTCATTTGTAACCAGTTTAGCTAGTTGTGCCACAAACAAAACTCAACAAGTAATAAATGAAATACAAGTAGCCCATTGGAAGATATTTTTCAGTCCTTTCTGGTGAAATAGATTTTTCCTGAATGTTTTGCAACAATGGTAACAAATTGAAAAGGATGCAGTAAGTAGACCCTGACGGCACTGGCCTTAGAAATGACACGTGCATTACAATTGCACTGCATCACAGTGTTTAATGCTGCAAACGAGAGGTTAATGACGTTATATTTACCCCATTTCTCTGGCGTTCTGCCCAGTAACTTCCCTTCGTCGGAGTTCCAGACAAAACGGCCAAAGTCTTCACATCGCTGCCCACAATTCCTCTTCTCCTTCAAGGCGGCCATGATGAACTGACCTTCCCTTCCCTGCACTCGTTTTACTTTTACTTCCCTTCCTCTCTCCCTCACAGTGAGATTCAGACAGCAATATCTGTTTCTCCTCTCTCCTCCTTCCAGGTGTGTGCTTCTATCGTTTTATGCCCTGTTTCCTGGTCTCTTACAGTAGTTTAAGGTTGAACTCCCTGGACGTCGCTCCAGTGGGATGAATTGTTATCAGGTACTAAGTATTTATAAGGCGAAGATAAGGTGGGGATGCTGCGTGTATGGAGGCTGAGGAGGGACAAAGTAGAAACAGGTAACTTCCCTCTTCCGCATTAACGTCCTTCCCTCCTCAGAGGGACCTGGGGATCACCTTGGAAAGCATGGGTTGCTAATAGCAACAGTCAAGGTGAATGACTGCATATGATTGGCTCACATTTACTAACACATAAGTCTGCATCTTGTTGATTATGTACCCGCCAGTAAAACAACCTGGAGTTGATACATTGGATTTGTCCTCAAGTTGTAAAGGAGGACACTTTAAGAGGATTGAAAACCATAAATATATTTTTATTGATTTGTTCAAAATTCAAATGTGACATCTTTAACGTGCCTGTATATTTAAAAAAAACACCAATCACTTGATGAGTTTATTTATTAACATTTGTACCCATATCATGAGAGATCATGTTGCCATAGAGATGGAAAGCCTAGCCCCCATAATCCCATCTGTATCATACTGTACGTCTTTATCACACACATTCATACATGCACCATTGTGAGTCTCTGTATCTTTCTGTTTGGCCCTTTTCAACCAATACGCCCCATGAAACAAAATAAGACTTTTACATAGTGTTATGTCTTCAGCCGTGCTGACATAGCTAAATGCTATTGCTAGCCATCATTAGAGGAAACCCTGCATGTTTTTAGACACAATATGTGTTTCTCTCTGGGAATAGAGAGAGATAAGGTTCAACTACACAGAGTAAGAAAAAACTAGTACAGGACCCATTATTTTAGCCGAGGCCGCTACGTACTTTCCTTTCATTTATCCGTCTCTCCCTCTCAGCTTCCTGTTATTAGCAGCCCACTACCTGCATAGCCACATTCATCCCTCCACCTGCTTTCTGTTCGCTCCTCTCCGTCACATATCATCAGTGTGTGCTTTCACTATATGTTCCCTTGTCCTGCGCTCACCTGGGTGTGTGCAGGATAAAGCATTGCAGTGCTACAGGGTGGATAAATCCCTCTGGGGAAAGGTGATGAGTCAGGTAGATCCTCATGTGTGTGAAAGGGACTCTCATGCGTAACGACAGAGGGAAACACAGACCTCGCTGTGACCGTGTGCAGCGAGCGAGCAGTCGGATGTACAGTATCCTCTGCTTCTGAAGAGTTCAACGTGCACATCACATCTCGGCTCCTCAACTGCTTTCCTGTTCTCTGTGCCCTCTGGTCACCACCACTCATGCATCTTTGCTTCTTTGGCTTTTTGCGGCGCCTCACATATTTCTCTGTCGCTTTCCAACTGCGTCGCCATGGACATCGGCGGCCCGGCGACGGCGTTGGCCAACTCTGCCTACATCTCAGCCCGCGGCACTTCGGAAGGCCCCGGCAACCCCGACTCCAACCGAGAGCGTAAGTACCACTCCCTTCTGAAGCTGCCTCACATCTCAGTGTGTGAAGGCCTGCGGGAGACTTTGGATTTGGGCTTCCACACAGTCTGTGTGGAGCAGCCCATCGGCAAACGTCTCTTCCAGGAGTTCCTGGACTCCAACAAAGACTATGGAGGCGCCTGCCGCCTGTGGAAGGATGTTGAAGAATACAACATGGCCGAGGACGAGGGTCGCGCCGAGAAAGCGGGCAAGATCTTGTCCCAGTACATGGAGCCCGACGCCAAGTATTTCTGCCCCTTCCTGCCAGAAAACGGCATCACAAAGCTCAGAGGGAAACGCCAAGAGGCCGGGGACGATCTATTCAAGGAGACCATGGACAGTGTGATGGACTTTCTCCAGGAAGTGCCCTACACGTTCTTCCTGGAGAGCACGTACCTGAAAAGGTTTCTGCAGTGGAAGTGGTTGGAGATGCAGCCCATAGGTGAGGATTGTTTTTTGGATTTTCGTGTTTTGGGGAAGGGGGGCTTTGGGGAAGTGTCTGCCTGTCAGATGAAGGCCACGGGGAAACTGTACGCCTGCAAAAAGCTCAATAAGAAGAGGCTGAAGAAGAGAAATGGCAACGAGGTAAGAAGTTATTTTTCATCAGGAACGGAAATTCGGCAGATTTAGCAGCACAGAGGAAGTTATGAATATCCAGTAAACATTCCAGTTTGGGGAGAAACCCAAGTTGAAATGTCATTGATTTTCTTGTTGTCAGTATCCGTTTAACCGCCCGTCTAAACAACAATCACTGACAACATGAACGTCGGACACCCTGGGCTTATGTGATTAGGGTCCTCAGAATAAGAGCATTATAAAGTGCCAATCATGCCATATTTATAAATGGAGCAGCTCTGGAGTGCACTTCCTAATTATCGGCGCAAGATAAAGTGAACAATATGTAGAAAACAAAAGTCTCAGTACGAACCTCTTAATGTAGATACGATGTCCAATATCGTTGGATGCTTTGTTCAGATGCATCGTTGACTTGTTTTCAAGATCATTATCTTTTTATGTGGTTACTCTTAATTATGATGAAACGTGACTGAAACAGTGCATTCAAATCAAACATATATTTTTTAGAAATTAGTTCTTTGACTGAATGTTGCAAAGCTTTAGTGAAGCCAACAGAAGTCAGATCTTCCCAATCTCACATGGCCGAGGCCTTAAACTACATAGCATGTACGTGTCACACATGTTGTAATGCACATGCTAAAGCCTGACTGTGGCCACTCATTGAAAGGAATGCAGTGTAGATAAGCTAAAGCTTATCCGTGTTTCTTTGATAACCTGAAAGGTTTTACTGATAGTTACGATGATGTGCAGACAGGACTATTTATGTGTCGTTATTACGTCCTCTGAAGATGACTGCAGCCTGGAAGGCTGTAAACACTGTAAACATCCATCATGTCTGCCGTCCTTTCCCGTCCTGAAGGCGGCGATGGTGGAGAAGCGGATCCTGGCTCGAGTCCACAGCAGGTTCATTGTCTCTTTGGCGTACGCCTTCCAGACAAAAACAGAGTTGTGTCTGGTCATAACCATCATGAACGGAGGCGACCTGAGGTTTGATCTCACTTACATGTGCTCGTATTTCAGCCCCTCCCCCTTTTATGCTTCATCCTTGAATGCAAGTGTGAATAAAAGTAAAACACTGAGGCGCAGAGCATGGTTGTTGAAATAAGCGTCTAAACACCCACCAGGTATCACATTTATAACGTGGATGAGAAGAACCCGGGGTTGGGCGAGCCGAGGGCCTGCTACTACGCTGCTCAGATCATTCAGGGCCTGGAGCATCTCCACCAGAAGAGGATCATCTACCGAGACCTCAAACCAGAGAACGTGTTGCTGGATAATCAAGGTCACTTTATATTGTCCTAAAAAAGATCAAGTCTCTTGTGTTTGATCATTTTCTAGGATTTAACTTGTTACGCTGCTTTTCGAGGTCACAGCATATTGGTTTATTGGTTTATATGGTTTATTGGTTATTTTTTGGACCAATGCAACATTTTCTTAAAACATTAATTAGAAATGTGCTTATTCTCTTTGTTTTGGTTTTGATTAGGATTCACTGCATGTCGCTGCCATGTGGGTCTGTTAAACATGAAGAGGGCGTTAGCGGAGCTCAACATTAGCAGTAACACATGAAACAACGGCTCTGCTTAAAGGTGATACGGTTCAGCAGCTCAAAGGCTCACTGATTAACATGTTTCCTGTTTGTTTAAATAATTAGTGGTTGTGCTCAGGGAGAGTTTAGAACTCAGCTGCTTAGCTGTCCTAAGCTAATGTGCCACAAGCCGTGTCCTTCTCATCATCTCAACTAAGTGAATAAGGGAACGCTGCAAACACTTGAGCAGACATATTGACTTTGATGAAGTCCCGTCCAATGACTTTGAAAGGTTTGTCTCATTATTGTCCTCTTGAGGTCAAAACGCACACACACACGCACACACTGAATTACACTGAATTACACTTCCAACACAAGGACGGCTCTCCGTTATCTTCCCGCCGCAGGTGAACGTGTTGTTGCGGGTCAACATTGGTATCAGTGACGCGCGCGGCTCTTGACTTTACCCAGGTGTGTGTTTGTTCTCGCAGGTAACGTGCGTATCTCTGACCTTGGTCTGGCCGTCGAGCTGGCTGATGGTCAGTTCAATATCAAAGGTTACGCCGGGACTCCAGGTACAGTTGAAACAATGCAGAGACTGTTGGTTTTTGCCGCTCTCGCAGCAGGATTTGTGGACGACACCCTTCAGTTGGAGCAACGGCAAACATACTGTATTCAAGTATCCTACTACAATGTATTAAATGGCTTAATATATAGTGGTCCTTCATGTTAAAAACAAACAAACAAAAAAAAACAGTTAATGCACAATAAAGTGAATATGTTGTAGTTAAAATGAGTACTTTACCCTCTGAAGTGTTGTAAAAGTCGCACAAATATACATTTAAATTCTCAAGGTACAGGTGTACATGTGAGTTACTGTATAGATTTTAATGTAGGAAAATGTCATGACTCTTGCATCTCAATATTACAGTATTCATGTGGATTTATTATTAAGAACTCTTTTCTGTCGTCGTCAGGGTTCATGGCTCCTGAGCTGCTGAAGGGAGAACGGTACGACTTCTCCGTCGACTACTTCACTTTGGGGGTCACGCTGTATGAGTTCATGGCTGCTAAGGGACCTTTCAGGACCCGAGGAGAAAAGGTATTCTGTGTATGACTCGTTTATTCTATCCACACACTTCAGACCTGTCTCTACATTCGTTGTGTGGTTTGTTGTCGGTTGGCCTCATGTCATTTTCTCAGTCAGTTATTTCTTTAAGTAAAGTCAAAAGTAACGCAGCATGGATTTAAGAAAAAAAGATTTCATGGCTCAGCTTTGCCTTACTGTGGCCTGATGCTGACACTGCAGTGAAAGACCATCATTGAACTAGTGGTGGAGGAGGTACTCATACTCCCTACTTAAATAAAAGTAGTAAGGCCACCCTGTAGAAGTATTTTGTTTATTTTACTTGTACTGTACTGCTTCAGCTTATCGCAAAGGAGCCTTAAAACCTGTTTCCAAAGAGTAATAATACAGGAATATTACAACAAACACATCTCAAAAGGGGGCTTTAACGTTTCACAGGCTGAATCTGATCAAATTAGGTTTGCATTTAATCAAGAAGGGATCATATTGTTCTCAACCTCTCTTCGCCACCTCTGATTGGCCCAGAGATGAAACGGGCCAAGCTGCTCTCGACCCTCAATTAGACGCCTGTCCTCACCTGCTCCACAGCTGGGGAGTATATACAATAAATCGGTGCTCGCTAAAGTGCAAAAATTTAAAAGTAATAACAGTTACTTTGTTTGCTGTTGTGCGTAATGTACAGGACTGCTTCATATTTAAGAACAATATGAAAACGTTTAAGTTAGCATTTATCAGCACACTGTTACTCTTCTCTGCTGAGAGCAGAGTTTATTGTAAGCATTTTTGTGCATGTGTAGAGGATTCACAGCGCATTCACCATTATTCCTTCAGAATGTTCTCCAGACTTTAAGAGTGTTTGCTGTTGTTTGCTGTGTGTTGGACTTGTGTTTTAAAGCGGAGGAACGAATAAATCCCTGATCCTTTTTTGTGCTGTTTGGAGTTGGAGAATAAGGTGGTGAAGAAGCGTATTCTGAAGGATCCAGTTTCGTATCCACAGCGGTTCAGTGAGAACGCTCGGTCCATCTGTGAGGGTCTTCTGTCCAAAGAGGTCGACAAGAGGCTCGGCTTCAAGAACGGGACATGTGACGAGATCAGGGCGCACGCCTTCTTCAGCGGGATCAACTGGAGGAAACTCAACGCCGGTCTGGTTCATATCATCACGGTTTCTCAATTTTGCCAGTTTTGTCTGTTTGCGTCCAATTTCTCCAGCTTTTTGAGTATTATATACAATTTATTGAATCTTCAATACATACATCTTGAATCATTTATGGTTCTACTTTAGTTGATGAGATTAACTGCTAGAAAAAAGTTTTCAAGTTAATTGTGTTTGTTTTCAATATCATTGTCTTCTCTAAAACTCTTAAAAAACGTCCAATGTTCACACAAAAAGAGGGTTTCTAATGTTGTTTCATACAAGTTAGGTAGTTCTTATGCTCTTTTTGGGGCTTTTTTTGTTGCTACATTTTGTTTGCAATTCAAAATGCTCAGGACTTTGTACTCATCATCAGGGATCGTCGACCCCCCCTTTTTGCCGGACTCCAAGACTGTTTACGCCAAGGACGTCTACGACGTCGGGGGCTTCTCCACGGTTAGAGGCGTGCAGCTCGAAGACAAGGACGAGGATTTTTTTAATGAGTTTGCCTCGGGGAGCATCTCCATCCCCTGGCAGGAGGAGATGATCGAGATGGGGATCTACGGCGAGCTCACGCTCTGGGGAGCAGACGGCGCTTCGCCCAAAGACCTTCGGCGGGAATCGATCCTGGAGCAGCCGGCCAAGTCTTCCACCTGCGCGCTGTCATGACACCGCGATGACCTAAGAAACACCCGGCTGATAGTGGAATATTTTACATGACTGCGATCTAATAGATAAGGAGAACATTCAGTGAGACACTTTTAAAGTGAAGCTGCTGCTGCCGCAAGACGTTGTTCATTAGAGGATCATTTAATGATCATTTAGGGGTTAATGTCAGCTCCACATGATGTACGTGCAAAGAACTGAAGAGGGTCATGAGGCTTCACTGATGAGGCAAATATACATAATGTTGGCGTACCTTCGAAAATAACAGATGCTATTGCTTCCCTGGTTGCCACGGCGATTGGAGCACCAGGGCCAAAGGACTGAAAAGATGTTTGGATTGAGAGTAGATTTTGCACAAAGCTACCGGCCAAACTCCTGTCTCAGATTTTAAAACCATCGGCAAAATATCATTGTCATGACAGAGAGGAGACTCTGCTAAACGCATTGACGTTTGAGACTATTAGGGCACCTGAAATGCTCTTATTATTTAGGATTTATAGGTGGTACACACACATGCTCTTTGTACGCTGTCAGGGATTTTATTGAAAGCTTTACATTGCTTTCTGACCCAAAACCTTTAAACATGTGAGTATGACAAAGGATTTCATTCATATCAACTCTGACATGATCTCAGCACGGAAAAAGGACACCGTCTCCCACACGCTCACAGGGAGAAAAAAGAAGAGAGACTAAGTAAAAAGATCTAAGCGAATTCACAACGGACCAGGACCAGAAAGAACAGCCAGAATATTTTCCAAAATAATATGTTTTCAATCAAAGCACAAAGCTGTGGATGGAGAACTAAAAAGGTCCTGGAGGACCACTGTCTGAACATGAAGAATACGAGTAGGGACTTTTTTGGCAAGAAGATAAAGGACGGATCAAGTTGGAGAAAGTAAAAAGAGAAATGAAAGGGAGGAAGGTGAAATAGAAAGAGAAGTGGGAGAAAGACGAGCCCAAAAGGAGGAAGACGTGTGATGACGAAAGCAGGTGAGGTGGATTTACTGAGGCTGAAACTGGGGAACATTCTGCAACTATTATGAAAACTAATTAATTAGATCATTGAGTACTTTAAGCGTCACAGTTTACACAATACATAAATGATATTGCCACTATGAATTATCAACTCAGATGTGATATGCTCTCCTGCGTTGTAAATTATATAATAAAAGCTCCATGTAGCGTCCAACAGTATCAATCATTTAGATGTTATATTGATATTTATTTTATATTTTAAAAAACACAGAATAAATAATAAATGACCACAAGGCTTGTTTTTTAAATGTTGACCAATGGAGGGCACTGTGACCTCACGTCCACACTACAGCATCACGTTCCGCCTGAACACACTCACTGTATTATTCTAAAATACGTCAACACAACTCAAATCACTATAAGAATATAGTATAGAGTTTATACTGTGAATATTTGAGCCCAGTCTAAAAGCTGAAATAAACTTATGTAAGATAGATGATTCAATAATTGATCACTGGTGAATGCAGACAGCTGATTGGTCTCTCTCCTCTCTCTCTCTCTCACATCGCTCTATCTCTCTCTCTCTCTGAGGCTGAAGAAAAGTTGAACTTGTGTGTGCTCGGGATCGGCTGTAAAGATCTATACGAAACTACAATCGTATTTAACATAACATGTTTACATTGTGAGAAAAGGAAGCATCTTGTTCGCAGCGTGTTGCCTGAGGAGGATTGTGACTGTTTTGAATCTACAGGGACAGAAGAAGCGTCCCTTTAGCTGCCTGCGCTGCTTTCATTCATTGCTAAAGAAAATTCATCCAGCTTGAGGCGAAATGCAGCAGCCCGAAACGCAGCGGACAATTCAGCAAACAGCGACAGAAGTACTGGATCCATCAGGTAAGCTGCGACATGTTTCATCCTGAGCTCCTCTAACCGGACTCTGCATGAAGCTGCAAGTTACAGCAGCATCTTTAATATCATCGGCACCTCATTCAAAACATGTCTCTTCTTCTGGTGTCTTTTAACTCAACGAATAGAGAATGTGGACGCAAACAAGGGATAATTAGATGTCCAATTCATTTTAGAAAGCTCGCTCATCTTCAGAGTGTTTACTCAGGTATCCCTTAAGCTGTAGTATTGCAGTATATCTTCTACCACGGGTTACTTTGCTGATTAATGACAAAACCACCAACAAGCATGTGTAATAAGACTTGTAATACAGGAAATTAAACCAGACCATAGGCAAGGATTGAGTAGACAAAGTACTTTTGCTTTTGGATCTTTCAGCACATTTTGATGAAGTAAGTGAGAATATGAGTGCAGGGTTTGCACTTGTTTTACATGATGTTGTAATGGTACTTTAATTATGTGTATTCCTCCTCAAAAGCATCATCAACAAATGAAACAATAGTACGACGGCACCATTTAAACATGTGCACGTTGTGGAGAGCAAAGAGTTTGGGATTTCATATTGAGAGTGAGGTGTGATCCAGCGTGGTCTCCTGTCACCCCGTCCTCAGTTCGGTACCTGCGGCGGAGGAAGGCGGCCCTGTGGGTGACGGTGTCCCTGCTGGCCCTGGCCCTGGTGGTGCTCGCCGTGGGTCTGATCTCCGCCACTCGCACGGACAACGTGCCCGTGGCTGGCTACTACGCCGGCATCACCGTGAGTGATGGACACCTCCGGTCTCACGTTCGCAGACCGTAAGACGAATTTGTCCTGAAACTTCCCCTTTGACCTGCCCACAGCTGAGCTTTGGAGCTTTCCTGGGGATTGTCGGCATCCACCTGGTGGAAAACCGCAGGCCCATGGTGAGTGTGTTCCTGCGGCTCTTATGTCATCATCACTCCATCCCATGTAACACCTCACTGGTCTTCCTTACTTCATGAAGGGTCTCATTGGTGCATGCATGCTTGGTATTTTATTATTTAGCAGCCACATTTCTATAACCTTTGACAATGAAAGCTGGTAAAAGGGTGGAGCGTTGAGCAGCTAAACACAGTTTTGTACGGCCTGTTAAAAGTTTTAAGGGTGAAAACATGTGTTAACAGCTTGTTCTGCTGCGCTCAAGCAGCCAAAAAGGATTCTGCTGATGTTAAATGTGGGGCAACCGCTTTCATCGTGATTGTTGGCCCTTTTTTTGTTGTGTTTACGGCATCAGCCAGAGTGGTGTGTAGCCTTTTCATCAGCTTTTCAAGCTCCATAATGTCTGTCTGCTAAAAATGAGGCATTGTTCCTGGAACATAGGACACATATACCCCGTGAATTAGAAGATTATGTTACCAACTTTGCAAATTCACTAAACAGTTTTACGGGAAATTGCTCTATTATGAGCAAAAGGCAAATCCGATTACTCGATGGCAGCCGTGATGTGTTCTTTGTCCTTGTGCCCGGGTCAGAGTACGTGACTGGGTTTGTGGTCGAGGGAAGTGAATGTGATTGGCTCTAGATTTCCATGACAAGAAGGGGAAATTGCATTAGTATCGGTCAGTTACTGACAGAGCTGCATTGTTTCAGAAAGGGACCCATAATCAAAGTGTCTCTCTGTCCAACAGAGACAATTTCAGGTAGACTGAAGACCTGAAACCGTGGTCTGAAACGGTTATTGACTCTCTTCTCATATTTCTAACATGCTGAACCAAGTAAAAGAATAAGAATTAGAAACTCCGCTCTGAGACCTTCGGACTGCTCTAAAAGAAATAAAACGCAATTAAATGGGAACAGGAGCTGAAAATCTGACCTCCAATCTGAAGAGCCGGGGCCATCTGAAGCGGAGACTGTTTCCTAATGTTTGAGTCAGTATCACATTCACAGGACATGAAACCCGGCAGAGACTGAAGAGGACACCAGTGACACAGAAACTCAGACGCAGATTGAGAGTCCTTGTCTTTCAAGTGGTGATACGTCCTGATTATCATCTAATGTAGGAAGTGTGCAAGTTGATGGGAATACAGCTTCATTACATAATTACATTTCTCAATACAATGTGTCAGATTTCCCATTTTCTATTAAAACATTTTATTCTTCTAAGAAGAATGACCAGGAAGAAATAAAGGAGCGATTTAGTTAAAGCTTCAAGCCAACTTCCCAAATCCTTTAAATTCAGATACCAGACATAAGAGCAGTTTTTAGATGGCCGTTATCAGAGCACGTCATACATGCATTTCTTTTGCGTGATAGAAATGAAGCTTCACCGAACGTCACCGTGATCGGGACATCAGATGTGTGTTGTGAATGTTTTATGTGACGTGCAGGGTGTCGTTGTCTTACGTTACGCTACGCTAATCCCCTCTGCACCAACCAACAGCCTCTGTGTGGTTTAATGCAACCATCCCAGAATGGAAAATAAAGCATCGGTAATAAAGACTATTAAAATCTCTCCCTATATTTAAGTCCTCCCATTGTTCCCTTGTGTGGCTATAAGAGTGAACGGGGGAGGTTGAGACACGGCCGAAGACGTTCACTGCCTGGAGCATCGGCCCGCCTCTCCCACATGGCTCCCGGGTCTGTGCTTTAAACTTTAATGGCCAGATTCTACGGTGTCTCGTGTGAGGCCCGCGTGGCGCGGCGCTCCTCTCGCGCCGGTGTCTTCTTCCCACCCGCCGTCTGACGCTCGGCCCCCGTAACACGAGAGCCGGCTGGCAGAGCTCATTAAAGAACAACTAGCGTAACCGACGTGGCAACAATGGCAAGGACATCGGAGAGCTCTATTCCCTTACTGGGTGGAGCGGTCGGGCCTTTGCTCCTCTTGACTTCACAAGGCGCGCAGATGGAGGCCATGATGCTGCTACGTCAGCCCATGAGCTGGTTGTGTGTGTGTGTGTGTGTGTGCTTCACATTGGACACATGATTGGGATTTTTCCACAAATTTAAATGTCTTTAGAATCAGGATTGTATTTATTGTGTTTAAAAATACATTAACATGAATCCAACATATTGTAGCAAACGGATAAATTGATGGAGAAGACGTTTTCTTTCAGTCTGCAGCGCACACATTCAGCTACACACATTCAGCTACACACATTCAGCTACACACATTCAGCTACACACATTCAGCTACACACATTCAGCTACACACATTCAGTTACACACATTCAGCTACACACATTCAGCTACACACATTCAGTTACACACATTCAGCTGTCAAGCTGCACACCGGTTCACTCACAGCACCTTTCATGCAAACCCGACAGCACAGGCACCGGCCAATCAGATCCCATTCATGCTCACGTCTAAAGAGCGCGAAGCTCAAAAATAAAAGATCGCGAACCAAACTCCGTAGAATAAGGGGTCCCTGCTCCTTCAGTTTGGGGGTCCTTGGCCTGAAAAACGTTGTAGACCCCTGTGTTAACACATACTTACCAATACTGGTGAGGGTTTGTACTGGATTTTTAAGCAAATGTGTAAAGACTACTAAATAAATTCAGCTCAGGGATTCAGATCTACTGAATCCATTTTTTAAATAGTAAAATAATTATCAAATATCTACACAATGGCCGTGGCATCCTTCTAGATAACGTTTGAGTCAGGTTTATTTGGATAAAGGTGTAGTTTGTAGTTATATTAACTTGAAAAATGTGACATAGACAAAATCGTGTGTTTCAAATTGAGGCAAAGTTTTGGACATGAACACAGAACAGATGAAAGAAATTCAATGTGAGAGTGAACAGAAAAATCTACTTGCATACTGCATAATGAGCCCCATAGAATAAAAAAACAAGTCTGGATACAAAAACTACCACCAACAGTAGAAACTAGTTAAACCATCACCTGTAATTATCCACCAAAGAAATCAGTGTTAAACTGCCATTTTAGTGTTGTGAGACATTTTGCTCTCATCAATTTCTGTTCCCAAGAGACGCATTTCACCAACGTGTGGAGTGTCACAGTTAAACACACATTTCTGCTCACTGACATCCCTCGAAAAATGAAATCTTAACACCCTGAATTTCGGCACTTTTCACTTCGTCTGATCTTATACTCCAAAGCGTTTTAAAGGATGGTGGAGCATGAAACTCTGTCCGTAAACTTGCCTCCTTGACTTCTCGCTTCAAAGCAATAAAAGGTCCTCGACTTCTTTACGACTGAACGCCTCATGTAGCTCATGTTCTTTGCTCTGAAGTCAGTGCCTGCGTCCCACCGACTGTCGTCCCTTTCGGTCACCTTGCAGGCTTGAACGCTGAACCTTTTTAAAGGGCCGTATTTTACCCAACAGGTTTCTTATTACCAGAGTGTCCCGCTGTGTTCGTGATTGGTCACTGGACCACGGAGCCGAGGGGAAAGAGACCTTGCAGCGGTCAGCGACTTTAGTTACACAACCTGATGGGTATCTCTGCTGAAGCCATAAAATTCTGCTTTGTGTCGTTATCTCTTTTGTCACCGGTGTCTTCTACTCTAAAGCTTTTATCCGATGCGTCCCTCTGTTCTTCTGTGGCTGTTACGGATGTTTAAAAAAAAAGAAAAAAAAAGAAAAGAAATTATTCTCACTGATGAACCCACGCAAAGTTATCATCTGAATGTCCCTAATGTCCCTCGGGAGAAGATAGAGACCAAACACGGAGCTAAAAGAGGAGTTCTAGTGGTCTCGGGTTCATTAAGTGGACGAGAACAAGTCTTCAAATGAATGATCATGTTGGTTCACATCAATAATGTGTAAAAAAAAAAAGCCTGCCAACTCATTTTGCCAAATCGGCCTAAAAAGGGATTACATATCAATGTTGTGTTCAACTACTTGTTTCTGCTGCCCTAAATTGGCCATAAAAGTAATTGCAGGTTTAATAAATGGTACTAATACCCTCACATAAAAACTCTTCATTAGTCTATAAGTAGTAAAAGTCCTTCATTTCAAAATACTACTGATGCAAAAGTCCACTAAATCCACCAATTTACACTTGTAACTGGACTTTTAAAGTCATCATTTTATTAAACTCAAATTTTTAAAGTAAATGACAAATTAAACTAAAAAGTAGTTGAATTATAACATCATAATATTTTCCCCTCCAATTTAGTAGAGTAAAAGTATAAAGTAGCATAACATGGTCATTTTTGAAAGAATTTAGTTAAACACTTGAGTAGTTCTACTTCCACTAACACGTCCTCACTGACTCGACTCCTCAGAGCAGAAAACCACCTCCAGCGCGTCTGTGAACCTTTCATCTTTTACTGCTTTTTTTCTCTGTGCTTCAGTATCGAGGGAGATTCAGGGCTTTTGGCGAGTGTGGAGGTGTTTTATGTGCTGGCAGCTGGTGCTAAGGTAATGTGGAGTAATGCAGTTGTCAGGCTCTATTGTCTTTGCTACTGGCCTCATCTCCCAGTTGCAGCCCATAAAAGCAGAGTCATTTAAACCGCTAATGAAGTGGAAAGTCTGGGCCGGAGGCAGATAAAACCCACCGGGAAAAAAAGGGTTATTTTCTCCAACCGGCTATAAGGTCATTTTATTCTGGGTTTTTCCTTTTATATTTCCCTTCTTTTAATATCTTTTTACGAAAGGTTTTTCAGCCAGTGCTGCTGCAAACCAATTCTGAGGAGCAGCTTGTGTAAGATGTTCAGTTAAAGCCTGATGTGATGTGCAGCACAACAACAGCTCCACACAACGTCAGTCAGTGGAAACACCTGAGCAGGTGTGCAGGACCTGCTCACATCCTATTGGTCGGCCTTGGCATCAAATTACTTATTTAGTTTAGTTATTTGAAAGATTTTCTTTCAAATAACTGGAGCTCAAATTGGAGCAAAAAAGTATTATTATTATTTTGACCTGTACAGGTTTTCAGCAAAATGGAATTCTGTCATGACTAACTTTATCACTCGCGTGTCATTTTCTCACAAAATGTCTTCAGTGGGAAAGACTGCTGACTGCAAATAATCGATTCTCATCCCTTGTTCAGCATTATTTTAGCTGTGGTGGTTTCAGTTGAAAAAAGGAAGAAAAATACGAGTATTTTCATAATCCTACAAACAATTACTATTGTTGTTTTGGAACAGTAGTCACTCAGTCACTTGTGCTACTTCAGCTTCGTCAGCATCATTTAACCAGAAAAACGGCTTCATGGATTTAAGACATTTTGTTGAAATCTCTTGAGAGAAACTTACGGATCCTAAATGGCCTCAAAAATCAAGTAAAGGGAACAAGGGTCTCACACGCATCAAATAAGTAATTCGTGCCAATAAAGCATCGTTAATTATTTAAATTACGGCTGGACTATAAAACAACGACTTATTACTCGTGGGGACTAACTTACTTTCCACCACCTTCCATTAGTTTAGATGAAAAGAAAATGGTGTGTTTTTAATCTCCTGCTTTAGTGCAGCGCGCTCGGTCCTGGAGGAGCGATTGAACAGAAAACGATGCTCAGTGATGAAATTCACCTTCAGCCAGCTGTGATCAGCCAGCTGGGTCGGCTGGTGTGAAGCAGAATGTAATATCAGAAAAGTACTTTGTCTTACAGTAAGAGTCAAATTGTTTGTGTCCCAGATTTAAGGTTATTGATCAGGGATTCGAGTCTCGGGCTCAGTTTGCAGAATGAGTGTAAATGAGCGAGATAAGCAACATTGTGTGTGTCTATGTGTGTGTGTGTGTGTGTCATCAGATTGGGAGGATTAGATTGACCTTGCTGGTACAAAAGGCCGTTCCTCTGTCCTGTGCGCCTCTACTGTGCCCATAAATTTACCCACAAGGCACTTCTGCGTTGGCAGAGCAAGAAGCCGTACATTTCCTTTATCGTCCTGCAGGACAGACGCTACAGCCGACCGATCAGGACCCGCCAAGACGCAGGATGTGTGTGTGTGTGTGTGTGTGTGTGTGTGTGTGTGTGTGTGTGTGTGTCTAAAGGTTATGATTAGAATGTATACTTGGCTCTCTTATGTAGACATTTTGGCATATTCATTAATAATATTAAGTAGTCAGGAAAATGAACTTACCATCTTGATCTCTTTAAGCTGGTGGCAGCGATCATATTCATCAGCATGGGAGTGATTGCGTCTTTCTTCTGTGCCATTGTGGACGGGATCATTGCTTCAGAGTTCATCGTGAGTATGAAATGTATTTTACATGCCTGCACTGAAAAGAACATAATTGCATTAGTGAGAGCAGGAACTTTGCAGAGGAAAGAAGACAGAACTGTCGGTAGCTGCCGTCACAGACAGGTCGACCAGACAAACTAGTCCCAGTTCCCCACCTGCAGAGAGCTATTGAGCAGGGAAATATCCAACATTAAATCATGTTTTAACAGAGAATTGATTTCCAGAAAACATTATTGCAATGGTCAGATGTATGCACATATAATATTTTATAACAGCAAATTAAAAGTATTATATTTGTGTCCCTTTGATTCTCCGTCCCACTACAAACATTCATAATACATTACGTTCGTATTTTGCCTCATTAAACATTTGTTCAGAATTGGTCAGTTTAATCATTTGTCACCTCCGTAGCATCAGTTAGAGGACGACGACAAACTCTCTGGAAACAACTCCCAGAATTAATGACTACACGGGAAATTACATTTTTACAGATACTTGAATTTGTTTTAAAGGAAATACAATTCAAAATTCAGGGGGGTCAAATAAGGGGATTGTTGCTTCCTGACTGAACATCCAAGATGTTCTCTGTGTTTGGATGTGCGGATACCTCAGTTTGTCACATCAGCGTAATGCATTTTAATGAGTATCTTAATGTGTATGAACCAGAGAGAGATTAAAAAGCTGGCACTGACTCACTGATATTGATCAACAGTGCTATCAAACCCTCTGCAGATTTATTTATTTTGTGCTCACTGAATAGTAAAATGAATATTTATTGCTCCTTGAAGCTTTGGACAATGAAAATGATTATATTACCTTTCACAATATATCGAGCCTGCTGAAATGTAATGCAGTGGGGTTTGGACGGGTTTGAGCAGCACGCGCTGTAAACCTTCACTGCCGCAGAGACACAGAAGCAGCATCGAGAAAATAACACCCCAAAAAAAAGTGCATCATTTAATCACAGAGAGAACAGGAGAAAACATTTAGCTCTCAGCTGCAGTGTATGACAAGTCGATTGATTCATGCGTCCCATGTTGGGTTGTGTGTGTCTTTTGTATTTAACAAATCGGTCCCTCGTCTGTCTTTCTGACAAACAGGACATAAGGCCCCTGCAGGAGGACATGTGTGACTATTACACCAGTGGAGCGGGCTACGCCTACGACAACTACTATGCTGAGGTGATTCATTTTATTATTATATCATAGATGTACATTTTCTATCTTTCAGTTACTGTCTTTTAAGTGTTTTGTTGATGCTTTAAGTGGATTTTAGGTTCATTTCTGGGATTACGTTCATTTTCATTGAAGTGTGCAGCGACATCTAGTGGTCCAATGATGTTACTGCATTTAAAGCAACGACTGCATCTGTGTCATTCGGCATCAAACTATAAGAGAATATAAGTTCTGGATATTATATGCTGACATATAGACAGTTTCTTCCCGCGTTTATTTTTTCCAAACCTGCTCATGTTGCTTGTATTTGTTTTCATGGGGCTAATAAACTTTTATCCCAAATGATTAAAAGCTCAGAGAGCCTCTTTAACTCATCAGACGTCTCACGCTGCAGGTGCCGTGCCGTTCGTTTGACAAAACCTGCAAGCTGAAGCTGAGGAGCAACACCTGCTACTGCTGCTACCTGTACAACTGTGCGAGGTGGGAAGACCACCCCCCCCCCCCCCCCCTTTTTTTGGCATTTGTTTAGGTGTCCGTGTGCCTGCAGCTTACTTGGGACAAGCAAAGGCCATAGAGCTGCATGTTAAGATCCCATTACCTTCCATTTGCATGTGCTTTACATTACTGCAAAGTATTTCCACACACATTTATTCATTCAACTACACCCAAGTAATTATCTCGGGTACTTCAATCATGCTGGAGAGTGGGTGAATATGTTTGTTATTATTGTCAATAATAATGTGATAATATGGGGATAATACAGTAGAGCGGTGTGAAAACAGCATTCCGGATTTCAATTTTAGTTACATCAACGGCTCCACTGCTGGAAAAATCTGATTTTGGCACTTTCTTGCATTCATTTAAGAAGTTCCTGTTCCACGGCCAACATTTAAAAAGAGTTTTCCATGAACACACACCAAAGAAGTCCCAGCCCTGCATGCAACTACGTTACTATTAGGTTATTAGGCCGATGAATGGCTGTCTGGTGGGCCAATGAAGTCATAAACTGATGGACAGTGAGAGGGATTTTTCCTCTTTCTTTCCTCCTTTAAAGGTTTGAAAAAAAAATAGTGTGATTTGGAAAATGGTTGCTGTGCATTAAACGTTTTTTATGGTACAACATTTAGTTTGACCGTAGTTTCCTTGAAGGTATTATCATTTTTTTAAAAGAGCTTCCCTTCAGTGAGCATTACCTGGCGGTGGACATTTCTGATACTATAATGGAGCAGAGGAGTCACACGTCTGCCGTGAACAAGGCCTCTTGCACAGTTGTCTTTCCCACTTTACGAGGAGCTGTGACTCCTGCTCTCTGCACCTCGCAGCACGGAGTTCCACACGCAGTACTACGCCTTCACCGGGGTCAGCAGCTGCTGGGATGTGATCCACCTGCACCGTCTGCTGTGGGCTTCGGTGGTGCTCAACGTGCTGGGCTTGTTCCTGGGCATCATCACCGCCGCCATCCTCGGAGCGTACAAGGACATGGTGAGCGGGAGGCCAGAAAAGAGCAAGTTGCACTTGTAGTTGGCAAAAGAAAATGATTAAGAAGATGTGAAAGCAGTCTGAGTGCCGAGAGAAACATTTATATTGGATATATTACATGTTTCACTTACAAACATCTACTGCTCATCCATGAAAGAACTAAAAGCTAATCTTATCAGTCAAAGAAATGCGTACCTGTGGTCTTACTCATTTTCCATACTGATCATACATCATTTACCTCTTACACAATGAATTGCATGTATGTTTCATGTGCATCTGTGTGTTTATTGTTTCCTGCAGCAGAAGCCGACTCCGCAGGTGGCCGCCAGCCCGACTCCGGCCCCCCACATCCTGTACAACCCGACGCAGCACATGGTCAGCTACGCCGGCTTCTGCCCATCAGGACAAAGTCTGCCCTCGTACCCCAACTATCCAACCAACATGCAGGTAGGACACGGAAAGACACATGTTGTTACACCGGAGGAAAAGCAAGTGCGTGAATAGTATGAAACGGGCCAATCCACTACTCCAGTGTGTCAGTTTGGAAACCAGACGAGCAGCACATTATCAGACATGTTTTTGCTGAAGTACCACAGCTGCTTCATTCAAACTTCAAAGCATCTGATAAGAACAAAAACTACTAATCTTCATTGCTGCCACCTCACATTCCTAAAGGGGATATTGGCGAACTCTGTTTACTCATTCAGATGACTTTTGAACATCCATCTATTTGATTGATTATTATGACATTCTGACATTCATGGTACCAGAGGATGCATTCATCAGTTTGATTGTCCATAATTGCTTTTTTGCACCACTTTTAGGTCGACATTTGTGTTTTTTTGTGAAAGGTTTCCAAAGGCATGAATCACCATTAAATCAAGTACAAACATTCGTGGTTCCCTCAGGATGGCTTGTTATTGCTTTTGTGATCCTGTAACTTTTCATTTGCCAACATCAACTCAAAATGTGTAGACAGTTATAAAATGATCAGGCCAACGAACAAGCAAACGTCAGCATGCTGACTGGTGTCGGCACTCAAACTGTATAATAATACTATATATCTATAATACAAACCGTGCCTCACACCATGCCGTACTACCACTCCCCGTCTCCTCACCTCTCCCACAGCACAACAGCAACTACCAGCCACCTGCCGCTCCACAGGTGATCCCCGAGGGAGGATCTGCCTCCAACTGCTGCCTTTCTGAGGAGAACCAGAGCCAGCAGCCGTCTCAGACGCAGCCGCAGCCTCAGGGGGCCACTCAGGAGCCGGGCGGCTACATGCTGACACCCAACGCCCCCGTCCTCTACGGAGCCGCCTACAGCCCCTTTGAGAAGCCGCCTCCGTACGCCTGCTGAGCCACGAGACCTACGTCTGGGGGAGTGGTGGAGAAATTCCATCTCAATCTGGTCGGACTGAATGTAGCACGATACATTGCATAGGTGACCTTGTAGATGGAAAACAAACAGTGAGCTTCTCAACTACACGGTGGTGATGCATATATATATATATATGTATGATTGTGTGATTATATAGACACTAGTAAGGTATTTTATGTGAATTCCTTTAAACGAAACGGTTTGGGAAATATTTTTTTTTGCCTTTTGGGGTTTCTTGCGTCTCTTGACTTAAATGAGGAGACTGATTCTCTCATCAGCCACAGCCAGCAGCCTGCTAACGTAGCTTAGCAATAAGACTGAAAACGGAGGGAAGAATAAAACATGGCCGTAAACTCACTAACTAGCACAATATATTTCAATTTTTAAATATATTACTTTTTAATAGTTTAATTTGCACAGAAAATGAAGTTTAATTCTGTGTTCTGAGTACTTTTGGGTAATGTATACCATCGCATTCTCACCAAGAAAGCAAATAGGTTTATTTCCAAAAAAGCTAACCGGTGAATACGTGTATAGTATTATACTTGACGGTGACTCGATAGTTGTTTCTATTCTAATTCGTCTTGACTGGAATTAAGGTTCTCATTGTCTGTTTATATATTAACTAATGTGTAGTACTAAAAAGGGCTTTCTAGAAATGTGAATGGAGAGTAAACAACGATTGTATTGCTGTTATTTCATTCTGTAAGTGTGGATCATCTAATGTGAACTTTAAAGTCAATACACTGTATGTACTATTGATAATGCATGTTAACTGCTGTGGGACTAGATGCTGTAGCGGTTTTAAAAAAACAAATGTATTAGTCATATTTAAGAAATACATACTGGTACCGATGCACACAAAGTAAATGTTCATCAAAGTCTCACATATAAATTGAGAGTTTGATTTGAAGGAGACTTGAAGGAGAAGGTTGACACCACTCTCAATGCGGGGAGTGGTTTCATCCTTCTTACGTAGCAGTACTTTTATTTCCTAAAAAGGTTTTTTCTTTCCACATTAAAGTTTCAGCAAAGCTTATTCCCGAGCCAGTTTTCAGTGTTTCGCCTAAAAAAAACTATACATGTAAATCACACACACATGTATTCCTGTTCAATAAAAATGTAAATCAATGAAATATTTTGTTTAACTCAATCCAAAAGCTGTGCTGGAAAAAGATATTCAGGTAAACCTTGAGTTTATAATGTTAACAGGTCACACACACTGATGAAGTAATCACACAGAAAACAAATCAGTTTTTTGAAAATACGACTTTACTCTATAATGTTCATACAACTGCTTTTATTTTTAAATAGGATTTTCACTGTTGAAGGAAGTTAAAACTCAAAGGCAGACTCCTCGCAGCATAGTACACATACTGGCAGTTAAAAGTGTAAAATGAAAACAGTCAAATTCAATTTACAACACATGATAAAAAAAAAGCTCATCAAGCTCTATATTCTGGCATTCATTCATCAGCAAACTAGAAAACGATACATTAGAGAGAAGTAAAATAGAACTGGAGCCCTTTTGGCATTCTCAGGCTCAATGCTCCTGTAATCCTGTGTTTTTATTGAATTTTTATTTGCTCAGCACCTATAAAATCAAATTAAAAACAGAGTCCCTAAAGACGTATGATACTTTGATCCCTGGCAGTCACCCATCTCCTACATGAAGAAAATAGTTCACTTGTAGCTCAAACATTGGCAGGAAGCAGATGAAGTTCAGAGACCCAGATTACGGTTTTATTACAACTTAAAAGTGCAAGAAACCTCAGTGAGCCAAAGGTAGTGTTTTATGTTTTCCGTCTTCTACAAAGCATTGTACACTCACATTATTTACAGATTCAGTATATTACAGCGCACTCTTCTTTTCTCTCAGTAGCTTGTGTGGTGCTTTTGGCGCAGTGCTCACTCTCTCTCCTTCATGGCGACGGCCCCTTCCGGTGCTTCTGGGACTAATCTATCGATATATGCCAGGTTTTACATGCGTTTGGCTGATTCAGAGTGAAAGAGGGGACCTTTGTGATGAAGTTAGATCATTGAGAATGCGGGTGTCAGTCAGGCTAATACCAATGCTTCAAATTGCACAGGGGGTAATGTGTGTTAACTGCACGGAGCACAACATTTTGAAAGGAGTAGCGTTAGCTCGGTGTGTGTGTGTGTCACAGCTGTTGTGAAGTTTGGGTTTGGTTGTTCTTTTCTTTCTAGGCACACGGTTGATTTTTAAGGTTGCAGGTTTACATGGAGTGCTGCTTTAGTCAAGAAACCAATACGATTCCAGCACCGCCCATGGCTCCCTGCAACAATGTGCAAAGTTTCTACAGGAGACAAAGTTGTGCCTAATACCGCCCACCCCTGCTGCAGTGATGGAGGGGATTCAAAAGATTGACCTAGCGCCCAATCAACCCCGAAATTCATTAGGCGCTCATGAAGATCTGAGCAGCTAGTCACACATTTTCTCTGGGTAGCTGATGAATGACTTTATTTCTGGTCCCCATTTAATCAGATGCGCACTTGATTATTTTAAGCTTCGTGACGCGGGCCTTAGGTGGCCTATATGACCACAGCTCTATCAGCTGAGCAGCTGCAGCGAAGACTCACAGCCTACAAGGTCCCAGGCAGATCGGCACAGGATGCCGGGCATAGCAGGCTGAGCCAGGAGCAACAGCTGGACACTGATCTAGAGAAGGTGCAGTGTGGGCTTGAGAGACTGCGATTCATGGGCAGTTTTTGAGGCAATGTTGTGCAGCATTTATTCCCGTATCTTCTGCCTGGCACAGGGGACAATGCTCATTGGCTGACTCACTGCCCTACAGAGTCATTATACTGGGAGTGCTTTTAAAATCCCCACAAACGCCTGTAGACCGCAGCGTCATCACAGTAATAGTAATCCTGGGCTAAGGCTCCAGCTGAACCACAGCTGCTGGTCCAGCATTTGTTTTTTTAACATTCCAATAGAAATCATCTCCCGTCAAAGCTTTTATCAATGTGTTGGGGAAGGAAAAAAAAATCCCCATTGCCTCAATGAACTGCTAATGGATCAGCGGTGGCAGACTAATGCTCTGGTCACTGGTGGGAGTCCAGCAGGGGGCAGGAGTGTGAGCGGATGTCGTTGTGTTTGTGGATGGCCTGGTCCAAGTCCAGGGGCTGTCCGTTAACACTGACCTCCATGCAGCCGCTGTAGGGCGCCGACACCAGCGTGGTCACCAGAGAAACATCTGTGGGGGAAGAAACAATGATGTGATGGAGTAGATAACAAGATAAGACTGTGTGGGACGTTTAAATGTAAACTAAGCCCACTAAACGTGTACGTAAACGTGCACGCTCTCACCAGGCAGGCCTCCTATGAAGGTGCTGGACTGTGACAGGACGTCTGTAGAAATGTCGGTTTCTTCACTACGTCCAGCTTGGCCATCCACCAGCAGCAGGGTTTGGTTGCCGGAGATCGTCACGAGGATTTCATGACTCTCACCGTCGCACAGCGGGGCAGGAGAGCTGGCGACGATGACATCACTAACAGATACCAGAACAAACTGAAGGCATACAAAAAGGCCACGGTTGATCAACACGGCAACTCATTTGGGAAACACACACAAAACAGTTTGAGTGCTCACATCTCGCCATTCATCAGTGCCGGGATGATAGTCGGCCAGCGCGATGGAGAGAGGGACTCTGTCCTGGTGAACAAGTGCAAACAGCACTCCGATCGCAGACGTTGGACGCAGGGTCAACTGCACGCTCAGACTCTGTGGTTCTGAAGCAAGAGAAGGAAAAGCATGAACTTTAGCGACAGACAAACCGTAGCTGTTAGCGGGAACAAACAGGGGAGCCACGCTACGCATAACACTCGCACACCATAGCTGATGTTGAAGAGAGCGAAGCCGGTGCCGGGGTAATACGTTCCAGGCTTCTCCGTGTTGAAGCACTGCATGTTGTCGTTGGACCGGATGGTTTCTTGTATGGACGTATCTTCGCCCGTCAACCACTTCCACTCCTTCATACAGCCATCCAGACGGGGGTTCACCTGTGCGGTGAGCACACCAGTTAAGAACATCTCTCCTGTGGGTATCTGTCCAGGATAGTACACAAGCGCATACAGGTAAAACACCTGATTGACGAGGCCGTCCTCTCTGAAAGGGACTCCTCCCACGGTGAGGTTGAGTTCGTGCATGCCTTTGTTGAGCGTAAACAGATCACCGTTCACTGCGATCTTCATGACCGCCTCCCTGTCGATCTTTATCACTAGACTCCGCCCCTGCTCCTCCACCGAGATCTGAGAAGAAGACAAGACATTGAAAAGAAGCCTTCAATCGGCTTATGTAGACAGAGTATTGCTGTTCACTACAAACACCTCCAACCTTTCTCCACTCTCCGTCATTAACCACAGGCCCGCTGCTGGTGACCCGACTGACGGTGCCGTATTTAAGCTGGAGTTCCAGCTTCCCATGGTGCATTGCAAGAACGATCCAGGAGCTATTTAAGTGACCTCCGGCGAAGAAAATCACTCCCTCGGCGTCGTAGCTGCGGAAGTCAAACTCTGCAGAGAAGCTGGGAGGTGGGTAGCAGAGACAAGAGCATTAATATAAATAAGTGTGTTTGTATGAAACATTAAATAAAAAGGACAATTAAGAAAAAAAAGCCAGGAGCAGAAAAAAGCAATTCCTCGGAGTGACAACAATTTTATCTGCGATCCACTCGGAACTCAAACAAGGTTTTCCCCAGCTAATACTTCACAGAGTGACTATGTATGCTAAAATAAAAAAACTTTTGCCCTTCTGACATCAAAGGGACTGCAGCTTGCTCTATCATTGTAATAAAAACATACGTTGAAAACATTAAGAATGAGCTAATTTCTTGTGAAATCAAAATTACGTAATCTTCTAATACTGACAAATTGACAAAAATGCAGAAACATTTATCCAAATGTTTGGGTAATGATACGACTGCTGAGGCCACATTGGGATAGTTTGTTTCCAAGAAAACACTTAACACATATTTCTTCTAATTACCAGAACCAACCAGCAGGCTGGAAGAGTCCATTTAACAGTTTATCGGTCTTTATTCGTACTATAACAAGGCTGAAAATGCAGAAACAGTGTGATGTTGTTGTTATTTTCTCACCCGGTTTGAACCCGCCGGCGGAAACGCAGCCTCACCACCGGCACGCCGCTGAACATGCGGCCGAGGTAGAGCGAACGAGAGTTCCTCCTCAAAGACGGCGACATGCACGGAGTTATAGTCTGGGAAAACATTAAACTACAGGTAACGCATGCTGCTGCTTCACGGGAACCATCATCACTGGACTCCTTGAATAGTTATCGACTGTTTGATCACATTTGTCAGGGCTGTAGTATGAAATACGCTGAATAATATTTGCCACAGTTAATGTATTTCACCTTACAGCTCCTCAGGTCCCGGCCCAGCTTCATGCCCTGACGACCATCACAGAAGCAACGGAAACTCCCCAGAGTGTTCAGGCACTGCTCCGCACACACATCTGCACCACACTCATCCACATCTGGGGAGCGACAGAGCCGGTTGAGATGTAAAAGAGAAGAAATAGAAGCCAGGACTGACGTGTAAAGGTTATAGAATAAAGGTTCATGGATTTTGTGGAGGAATCAAAAAAGGATTTCAAATTTAAAAATATATCTGCTGCCTATCAACACATCAGAGAATGTAAACAGCACTTGAGCGGAGTGGTCTTTGGCGTGGACTGCGTGGTTTCTCCCCGCTCCTCATACAACCGTACATGGCCATGAGAAGGTTGGCTATAATAAACGTTCATTCTCAGAGGGGGAACACTGAGGTTATGAAAAGTCTGGATTCCACTGCAGAGCAAAACAGGGCACAGGAGAGATTAATGGCCGTGGGTTCAGTTTTTCATTTCTACCAAAAGGCCTGATGGAGCTGTTTATCTTATTAGGTTATCTTATTGAATACCAAGACAGCGTGTTTTTGACCTTGGACATTCTTTGATTGCATGATCATTTAGCATTTAGTTAAAAACCCTTGAGCACCTTTAAAACATTTTTTTTCCCCAGAAGAAGACGTTACATATTATGCAACATGCTTTATAGAGAACTAAAGCATGTCTTGTTGGATCAGTACTTTTAAAGGAATAATTTGTATTTTAAGGGACAAACACTTCTCTAACCTGTAAACCTATGACGCGTCTTGTAATCTTCATTGGATTTTGTTTCGACCTCATTTGTCGCCCTTTAATAGCCACTTCTGTCCCATTTGAGATCCAAAACACACCAGGGAAAGGTGAATCCCAGGGCCACTCTGGGTCTATTTTTGCGTGTTTTTATCTTTCTCTAAAGCCAGGGAGACGGTGACCTGTTACCTACTTATGCAGAGCTCCTCCAAATGTCTTTGCATTCCTTTCCTGACCCCACAACACAGCTGCATTGAGTCCTGCTGGGGCTGAAGCTGCTCCTCAGTTTGCTCACATCAACCTACGAGGACAGTTTGTCTACACGCTTACCGACGCAGCTCTTGGTCTCGTTGTCGTAGACGTAGCCGACGTCGCACGAGCAGCCGAAGCCGCCCTTCTTATTCTCGCACCGGGCGGTTCCACACACACCTGGGTTATCACACTCGTCCACGTCTGAAAGATCAACAAAACGCACAGAGCGTCACGGGTCAAAGTCAACAGAACGAGGACGACTAGAAAGTAAACTGCTCAGCTGGAATGACATAAGCAGAGGAGGTTATTTATATACTTCATTAGAGTCAGGAAAAGACATCAAAATCAGTCACCAGATGGAGGATTGTAAATTCTGGTAGTGCTTAAACCAAAATGCTCATTCTCTTCCTCACTGGCACTAAGTCCCATTTACACAGAAGACACCATTTTTAGTGTCTGTATCATTTAATCAAGTGGAAGTTGTAGAATGTCTATATAATTACTTCTATGTTTAAAGAACGATAGCTTGCACAACATGAGTTTGTCAAGTTGGAATTGACCCGTTGACAACGGGTCTGAAAGGCCTCATTTATCAACTAAACCATATAATCTACACAATTATATTAATGTCATAGGACTAAAGAACACTGCTATTGGTTCACTAAAAAGGGACCTCGACCAAAAGAGCACCCATTCAAAATCCTTACAACAAATTACAAATATCTACACAATAACTGGAGAAACGTTATTTATAATTAGACATGGATTCAAAACAAAGTGTTATTGGCACGATTCCAGCTGTTAGATGGAGTACTTACCGTCGCACATGTGTCGTTCTACCAGCACGTAGCCTTGGTGACAGGAGCAGCGGTAACTGCCCATAGTATTGTTGCACTCGTGGTCACACCCTCCATTTCTCTTGCTGCACTCATCGACATCTGCAAACAGGACGACGGCAGAGTGAACGTGGACGCAGGAAAAGCCTCATCATGGCCTGGGAGCATAATTGGGCTGTTTGGGTGGTGTTAAGAGCTCCCATAGGAGCTCAGGACAGGGCTGTACTTACAGTAACTGAGCGAACGTTGAGAGCTGCCAGTTCGATGCAGTTTTCTTCGACTTCTGATGAATTTCTACTTTGTAAATATCGCTCACAAATAACTGCGGCACTGTGTCATGGCGACCGAGTGTTTATCGGAGAGAGAGAGAGCGGTCGGCAAGTGGAAAAGGCCCCGACCGAGTCTAAGCGAATCCGTTTTGGTTTGCCCTCACAGTAAGGTGGCAGGATGAGTCACAGTGGAAATGCGTGAAAGGTTGGCAGTCCTGTACATCGACATGTTTCCTTCACCAAGTGTGCGTGTGCATTGGGCTACATTTCCCTTGCGGCCGTGTTATCCTTCCTCCAACGTCCGCAGCAGGCCTCCCCTCATGTCTATGCACAGTGACTCTCTTCGACCTCTACAGAGACCAACAGATTACAGCTGGGAGTTCATATTCACACATCACTGAAGCATCAGCAACAGTTGGATATTTATGACGCATGTGAAAAAACAGCAGTAGCAACTGTACGATCACAAAACACTTTGGTGGGTAAAATACCAAAACAACAACATTCACAACGTCATTGTCACGATGACAAACAATGAAAACATTTCGCAATGATAAGCCTATCATAAAGGGATGAAGGGAAGGCGTTTCTGACGGTGCACGAGACAGCAGTCGGCTGTCAGAGGCGAGGTCAAAGACTCAGATGTGACACGGAGTGGCGGTGCAAATGTCCAGCGTTAAAGCATAAACCCTCTGTCATAGCGAGCACCGTACCTTTATCACATCTGGCTCCTGCCCAGCCCGTGAAACAGTGACACAGGAAGTCGCCCTTTTTGTCCTCGCAGCGCACCGTACCTCTGGCGTTACAGGGAGAAGGAGAGCACTGGTCTGGAATATCTTTAAAAAAGGGAGAGAGAAACAAACACAGGCAGATAAGTTCATGTTGCGTCTGCTCAAACCGGATGCAGACGATGGGTGAGCGTAAGTTGATAGCGGACAGAGGAAGGGCGTCTCTTGTGTTCTGCATATCCGGATAAATATAAATAGCCTGATGCTGGCTAGGCCTTGAATCTGTCCTTCACAGCATACCTGACATCTAGCTCACAAAAAACAACATCAAATAGAAACTCCACGTTTCTGTTTGCTTCTCCAACTGTTCGATCAAATAGTTTCACTTTAGCTCCTTTTAACTCCCAAGATGTTGCGTGAGCGCACATGAGAGTCTTTTCTCTCCCGATCCATTTTTTTTTTCCTTTTCCCAGCAGTGAAGTCTGAATGCTCGACAAGTCCGGGCATGTTAGCTGGAGTTCAGAGAGAGGCAAAGTGGCTGAAAATAAATCAGGGGAACGGGTGAGAGATATAAGCTCACATGTTAAACCTGTAACTATAACAACCTTCTTTCCAACTGTTGTTTTACACGTCGACTTTAAGGGCTTTGGCACAACGCAATCTCAGACCAGCAGCACATGGGAACTACAGCATTTAGCAGACAATCAGTGTCCACGTTAGAATCAAAGTAACTCGTGCTCATCACCTTCAGAGGTTACAGACTATGTTTATGTTACGGAAATGATGAATACGTTAAGAATCAGTGAAAATATGTTTATCATTATCAGTCCATTTCGGTTGCGTGCCTCCCTTTGATGGGCAGACCCATTTGACCAAAGCTGCTGGTTCGTAATATGTTGAGCTCTATGAACAAGCAGGGTGAAAAACCCGCAGGAGCCTCACTTGTTTCCTCTGCCCCTTAACTACCACCCATCCTCAGACTGCAATGAGGCAGACGGACGGCCAAGGAGAGAGAGAGAGAGAGAGAGAGAGAGAGGTGTCATGATGCTGCAGCTGAGTCATGGAAACCCCCTCCTCTCCCCCCTAACCCAATCGCAGTAGAGCCGGCTTGGTCGCTTGGATCCTGATGCAGCACAAATCCTGTGCTTTTCTCACGTCAGACCTTTTTTTTTTTTTTTTTTTTTCCCACGTCACTGCTCCGCTGAGCCAACTCTCTGAGATGCTGCGGCGCAGTCGCCCGGGAGAGTGTGTGAGAATGTGACGACTGAAGGGGTGTGTCACTCATTCACCATTCTGCAGCATCACTGTAGCAAAGGGCTGCAATGTCACTTACAGAAACCTGGGCTCACACGCACACTCAGAATAATTCAAAAGGCACAGAATCGCTCACATGCAAAAAACTGTGAGGGAGGGGCTGTGAAGAAGAAATTCAGCCCCCTTTCTTCCGTTCAGCTGGGAGAGAGTGTGAGTGTGCCGGTGTGATGCAGAGCATTGATGCTGCAGTGCAGCCCAACCTCACATCGAGGTGCTTCTCCCTGGATGTAGTCATATTTACTCAGTTAAAAAGACCCAAAGGAAGGAAAAGGAAAAGAGTCTCAGCCAACACGGCTATACTTACTGTGAACGCATGTGATCAGATCCTGTTTCTTCTTTTCAGCGTCTCCAAACTTCTCCATGCAGGCTAGACGAAAGCATTTTTTTTTTTTTAAAGAGATTGACAACATCTAAAACAGTCAATAATCTGACAAAGTATTGTCTTTAGAACTTACCTAAATACTTTGGATAGAAGTAGTCCTAAATCAGGGAGAAGGGGCAGAGAGGGACACAGTTAAGTATCAACCAAAATCTAGACCAGAACCAGATGATCTACATAAATACTTACAATAAGTAAGGGGGGAGTCCCGTTAATACTTGACATGAGCTATAATTTGGGTTTGTTTCATGTCTGATCCCTGTGCTCATGGCAGTAAAAGGAGACTCTTACTTTGACCTGTGTGTGCGTTTAATTTGCGCTGAGGGATCACAACATGATTACTCTAATCTCTGTGTCAGTGCGCTCTCTCTAATGGGTGCGGCCCTTCGCCAAAGGCTTCCTGAGAATTCTCTGCATTCCTGACAGTAGTAGCATCCCTCCCACCTCCTGGCTGCAGCACTCCTCCACATGTAGGTCAGAATTTGGGGATGATCTGCTCTGGAGACTTCAGAGAACTCCTACTGCAGTTGTTTCTGAATGCAGCAGGAGGTGAAAAACTATCTGCAATGAATCAGTCTTTGGATAAATCACTTTTGTTTGGTTGAAATACAGGGGGGGGAACCTAAAACTTGTTTGGGCCCATTGCTAAACATAATTCTTCACCTGTAACGCGCGTTACCAAAGAGTATCAAGGAGCATCCCTCTCTCTGCAGAGAGCAGAAAGCTGCAGCAGAGGAAAATGCAGATTTGTAACACAACATGGCAGAAAACAGCAGCTACACACACGCAGTTCTGAATCAAACCCAAAACTCCTCTTTCCCTCCGAACCCGGCTGAACTCTGGTTTAATCCTCGCTCGGCTTCCATGTCGGGCCGATTGGCTAATCTTACGAGTAATCTCTGAGTCACTGGTTGCCTCATTCACTCCCTCGCCGCTACAACTCACAACGGCAAAACTTGTTACTGGCAGGTGCAGGAGGACATTTTAGAACAACATCTGGAGACGTCCACATAATAACACCACAGATGGAGTTGGACACATTCGGCATCGCACAAGCCAAGCACAGCTCCAACTTACAAGGGGCAAGTTTGATCAAATGTTACATATTCAGACAGAAAGCAAAGACACACAAGCGACACAGTGCATACAAGAACGACGTGGCGCGCAGGGAGAAGAGCCTTCACCGTATTTCTCAAATCATAGATTAGTCAACAGCTGTGACAGAAACCAACAAAAGAGAAGAAGAAGAGCCGGTGACATGTTCTGTGACAGCTCTCAGAGGCTGTGGACTTATTGGAGCATGAACACCGGCGGCCCACTCAGCCACTCATTGTGGACTGTTGTCATCAATTCATGAACGTGATGTAGACAACAGACCTTGAAGGTTGATGTTGTTGTTGTTGTTTTCTACCAAATACCATCCATCTCAACTGGTGGGATGTGATTTGGGTTTGTGAGAACGCAACACGTACGTGTAGCTCAGAGGAGAACAACAAGGTGTGCTGGAGGTGGTGGAGGTTGTGTTTGGGTTTGATGCGTTCAACGTCGGACGGAGAGAGAAGCGCAACTCGGCGCTGGTTTGGTGCCGTCAAACACTCACCGTCTCCGGGTCGTTTTCGAACACTTCTCTGGCCTCCTCCTTGCTGCACTTTTCCTCCACGCACTCCCTCTCCAAGTGCCCTTGCTTCGTCTCCTCGAAAACTTGGTTCGCTCTCCTGGGTCTGCTCAGGAACTGCTTCGCCTCTTCGGGAGACAGCGAAACTTCAACAAAAAGGAAAGAAAAGACACCACGAGGAATACATGAATTAACCCGACATAACAGCAGAAGGTCAAACAAATGCATTTACGCGCTATTTTGGTCCCGCAAATGCGAATACAAAAACAAACACGATTTCATAAAGGTTGCGAAACGTGCAGCGTTAATGCCCCGCTAATGACGGCAATAACACGCATCACCGTCAGCCGCGGCACGCGCGTCAAAGGGGCACTTAGCCCGCTAGCTAGCCGCCTAGCATCCCGCTGTTTACTCACTGCCGTGGGACCAGCGGGCGACCAGCAGCACCAGCAGGGCTGCCGGGGGGAGCCTCGTCGTCGGGGTCAGCCGCATCGTCTCAAACCCGGTGTCCCAGCTTCAGAAACTTTCTCCCGTCCCGTGGCGTAGTCTCTCTCTCCCCCCCCCCCTCTCTCCCCGCCTCTCAATGTCACCGAGCCGAGGCTAACGACACGCCGCAGGTATTCAGGTGCTCCCGGCCGTTGGTCGTCAACGGCTTTTTGTTGTTTGTGTTGTTTTTGCTGGAGGGGGCGAAGGGGCGCTGCGACCTTAAGCTGTCGCGTGTTTCCCCCGCGTGCCGCACATCGCTCAGGGCTCAGTTTTTTGTTGTTGTTTGTTTTTAAATCACGCCGGCGTCCTCGTTCGTTCGCGGCTCAACTCGTCCCCCCCGTTTGCGGAGCGTCCTCTCGTCTGTGGCCGGACCGAGTCTCCGCGCTGCGGAGAAGCACTGCGCGCCTCTGCTGCTTCTGTGCGCGGAGAAAAGTGCAGGCAGGAGTTTGTGGCGATGCATCTCCTCCCCTTCTTCTCCGTGCGTGCGTGCGCGCGCGCGCGTGTGTGTGTGTGTGTACGTGCACTCATTACATCCCCAGTGAGAGAAAATGAATAAATATCTCTCTATATATATCTATATATTTCTACTTGGTTAAGATCATTTTATTATTTTATTCAGTGCGCCTGCGTGGACAGCCAACTCAACTCACACATTCATACAATTGATCTTTCGCTATGGAATCAACTACACAGCAGAAAATAAAGACAACTTCAAAATAATGCCTGCTCATTATTCCTTTAAAAGTGCTGATCCAACAAGACATATGCTTTAGTTTTCTATAAAACATGTTGCATTATGCATGTTGCATAATATGTATGTCTTCTGAGCTTTGGAGTGGTTTTCAATGTTGGTATCATAACTAAATTAAATAAGTGCTGAGGAAAATCCTGCACTTTAATGGGCGATCAGAGAAGTCACAGCTTAAAAAAAGGGCAGTTTATTTTAGACACGAAACTTATTTAGTAAGTAATTTTCCTTTCAGTTTTGTTTTATCTGAATCCCGCCTATTTCTTAATAATTCAGCTCACATCTTGCATTTCCTGTTTTCCCATTTCTGTCCAGGCCACTCTTGACTTTAAATTGGACCTGTGTATCACACGTGTTGAACTATTCCATTTGCACTGTACACGGTCATACAATAAAGTTCTACTGAGTTGTGATCATCCTCTCACACTGGGAAATCCAGTTGAAATCTTAAAAAAAAAAAAAATGACTAATAAGTGTGTGTGATGAACCTGATCGGTTGCAGAATTTTCATTTTGTACATTGTCTTTATGGATGGATGGACATTGTCTTTGTGTTGATGTTGTACAAAAAAAGCATTTTGCAGGTTATAATGATGTATTACCTTTTGTGTCTAATAAATCGAGCGGCGGGGGCAGAGCCGTGTTTCCTTTGGTCCCTACAGAAATGAAAGACGCTTGATGTTAATCCAAACATGACCGGGCCAAACTGTGTTTTGTAAATTACTGAATTACTGGAATTGGTTGTGTCACCAAGGACTTAGAAAAGATGGCTTGGCCACACAAGAAGTCCGTTATTGATTAAATGCAATACTATCCAGTTGCTTTAAACAATTTTATTAAAACAAACAAGTACAATTAAAATCATATATTAAAGACTGCTTGTCTGGTATACGTGGTGACTTCTGAAAACGGACCAACCAGGAAAACTCTGCTTTTGGCTGAGAAGTGTAAAACATCTGGAGAAAAGCAATGTCAGGTTCTGGGAACAATCAAACGATAGACCACATTGCAGGAAGGCAGACCTCCCGTAAGGGATACTAATTCAAACAAGAAAACGCAACAGCGTCGGGGGGGGGGGCCTCGAGGCTCTGCTTTCTCTTCTGTGGTTTTCAACACCACAATTGCTAGTTGCCTCCCAAGAAACCCAGATTGAAGGGAAGTTAGAGAAAGTACTGTGATGCATCAACGGGGAAAAGGATGCATGTGGTCTCAAAGCCTGGTCAACAGCGACCATTTGTTTGTTTTTCTACAAAAACATAACCACCTCTTTTCAACGCATGGCATGTGAGCTACAGAGCTGCGCTCTTTTTGAATGTGTCTTGGAAAGTATTTAATTCATAGCAACAGACTGCTACAACTACGTCATCCAGCGATCCAGCTTCTGCTGGCTCACCGGCAAGAAAAAAAAAATAGAATAATGCTGCCTGGACAGAAAAAAAATAATACTGTATGGCAAAAAAGCACAACACAAAGCATAAAATGAACCCATTTGAGAAAGTTGACAAAAGTGACTACAATAGTCAACCTCGGTCTTCTCTTCTTGTCACTTCCTTCTCGTTCCTTCCTCCCTTCCATCGCCTCTAAACTTCTATATACACACACATGTATATATATCTTTCCAAAATGCCCCAGGATGGGGCTGCCGTGGGATTGTGCCTAGTTTGCTGGGCTTTTTTAATGACCTGTTAATCCAGGTCACTTTCTGTATGGGAGCGTCGGCTCAGGGTGACTCTCAGGGGGAGACACAGGGGGACACGAGTGGGACCGGATGCTGTTGTGTTTGCTGAGAGCATCGTCGAAGTCCAGCTGCTGGCCGTTGATAGCGATGTCCATGCAGCCGTGGTAAAAGGCCGTCACAGGGGTGGCAGGTAACGGGACATCGACTGAAAGAGACAGTCAGTGAAAACGATTGCAATAGATTTCTGGTAAAAATAGCCCTTTCACAACCACGGCTATGACATGGTACACAATAAATGAATAGACGTTTATTGTGTATTGTAAATTGAATGTACTTTAGTTTGAGGCAAAAACATGGAGCATCATACTGGATGGCGATGAGTCATCCCTTCTTGACTTAAATATAAGTATAACTCCGATACTATATTCATAGAAAGTAAATTCCAAATTTCTAAACACACACCACGAGAGAATGAATTTGCTGAATGAATTTCATTATACAAACAACATGTTTAGAATTTTTTCAGCCCCACCACCAGGGATTACAATATCGGTCTGTGGTTTTAGTCCAGATTGAATTATCTCAACAAATGTTGGATGGTTTTGCATGAAATGTTTTTTTTAAGACATTCATGGTTCTAAGAAAATGTTTCCTGGTGATTTTGGTAATTTTAAGTAAAACATCTTCACACAAATAATTCATTTCACCCTCAAGATGAATTTTCATCACTCTCACCCCATAGTTTTTAATACAGCGCCACTATCTGGCCAAAAGAGTAACCTTTGTACTTTAACAAAAAAACAAAACCAACCTGGTATCCCACCAATGTATGTACTGATGGGGTTCTGCATGGTGCTGTTGAGCTGCTTCAGAGCCTCCTGCAGGGCATCAGACTTCACGAAGGCAACAGTGGAGGAGTTAGCTGAGATTTGGATTTCCGTGGGAGTCACATTCAGCTGCACTGTCACCCGGTCGGGGTAACACAACATCACTGAATCCAGCGTTGCCACGGAGACGCCGTCCAAGAAAACTTGCAAGTTCTGGAGCGTGGAGGTCAATGACATGACAAAGTTTAATCATGCCGGCTTTTGTGTGTGAAGACATGCAGAGGTACACGTGTTTCTTACAAACAAAAGGGTGAATTGACTCACAGCATCTTTTTCTCCCCGTGTTACCACGGCAACTGAAAGGGGGACTGTGTTGTTGTGGATTAGAGCAAAGAGGACACCTGTGCTGCTGGACGGGCGGATGTTCATCTTTATATCGATGTTCCAACTCCCAGAATCACCTACGTTGTACACACATAATTACATTACATTACATGACATGTCATTTAGCTGACGCTTTTATCCAAAGCGACTTACAATAAGTGCATTTAACCATAGGGACACACACACGCTTTTGTCAGGTGGGACATTTAGGGAGGTTGGACAGTCCAATGTAGGAGTATCTCATATTTCTCCACTCAACTCAGAGGGGTTATGGTCACTACTGCCTCAGTTGTTTATTGTGTGACTTTGTTGAATCCAAACTAACCCTTTATAATAATAAAGTGATGTGATATTATACATTGTAATAATATCGTGAGCGACTGAGGCAGCTGTAGGCTATCAGCTCTGTGCTGCGACGTACTGTTGCCCATGCTGGTTACTCCTGTCTCTTTCTCCAAACTGGGGGCATGCTGCCATCTACAGTAAGTAACACACAGATTATCCATAAGTACCCATACAAACACACTGCCTTTCAGTCGGTGTTCCTGCAGCCGTGACAGGTTTTGTCATAATATTGGTACACACACCTCTGTGTGGAATTTTATGCCCTCTCAGTGTTCTTTCAGGTTTAACCCCCCCGGCCCCCCAAAAAGTTTTAGTAAAATTAAAGTTTCAAACTACATTTGCTCCTGCGGCACTCTGCTCTGGTTGAGAACCTGGTTGAGAACTAGTTGAGAACCTTTCTATGGGAATTAATAAAGTATAACTTACTCACTGTAGTCAATGTTGAAGTGTGCCAGTCCTTCCCCCGCAAAGAAAGACCCTCGTTCCACAAACACAAAGCAATGTTTACTCTTCTTCTCCTGGATGACCTCCTTGACCCCAGACGCTCCCTGGTTCATGAGGTTCCAGCCCCGAATGCAGCCATCGAGTCGAGGGTTGATCTAATGGGTCAACACACACACACACACACACACACACACACACGCTGAGCACAACACGGGCTTGGAGCCTGATCTAGTCATTTCACAGTGTGACTCCGGCCACCTGCTTACAGGCTTGATGACGTTGTCGGTGCGGTTGGGCAGACCAGCTAAGTAGACCTTAGTCTCTAGCTTGCCGTTCACCGAAGTGAAGAGGCTGTCTGGGCTGTTGATGCTCATCACAGCTTCCATACTGATCTTCACACTGATGCTGCCCTCCAACTCATCCACGGAGATCTGCACGTTTGGGACGGAGTTCGGACAGTTCAGGTTATCCATCGCTATTTTGTAGGAGAACGAGACGAGTAAGTGCAGGGAATTACTGGACTAAAGCGAGTTCCTACCACATGCCACTGTCCGTCATTGATGGCTTTCCCTCCGCTGGTGACCTTGAACGTGTGCTGGTTCTTGAACTGGACTTCAATGCGACCGCCTCTCAGGCCCAACATGAACCAGGAGTCCTGCGAGGACTCTGCGTACAGCACGACCCCCTCCGGGTCAAATGTACGGAAGTCAAACTCTGCGGCAAACCTTGCAGCCAGACAGAAAGACAGTTAACACTGTAGTTATGTGCCACTGTACCACAAATAGTTTGGTTACCCAGAATTTGCTTGGGATAGATTTCTGTTTGACATTTGCTCAGATGGAGCACCACGCTGCATTGTATAAACCACTACCACTTTGAAAGTTACCAAAGAGACAGAATGTAATGCTCCAACTCATCGTTATTTAGTAAAAGCAAAACAAGTCCACTGGGCGTGAACGCAGGTTTGTCTCACTTTGTGTTCTCTGGCAGACGGTAGCGCAGAAAGATGACAGGAAGGCCCGCAAACTGCTCTCCCAGGTAAAGCATCTCCGGGTGTCTGTAGTCATACAGGTCCACGCAAACGGGGATCATTTTACAGTAGCGCTCGTCCGCCCCCAAATACAGATGCTGACGACCATCACAGTGGCAGGAGTAGCTGCCCGCCGTGTTTATACACTTCCCGTCGCACACGTTCAACTTGCACTCGTCTATATCTGCAAAGGAAGGAAAAGAAAAAGTTACAGCCGGGATCTTTGGGTCGGTGTCTATGGTAACTTTTTTTTTTTTTTTTAAGTCTCACCATTGCAGGTCTTGGAGGGGAAGTCATATTTGAAACCAAGGGGACACTGGCACTCGTACATGCCCAGCGTGTTGACACATTTAGCCATGTCTTTACAGATACTGGGGTACATCAGGCATTCATCAATATCTGGAAAAGAGTACGGGGTGGAAATGGAAGTCTGAGTTTTGATTAAAATACATTTCAATATGGTGTTGATTGCAGGTGTAATTTTGGTACTGGCTTTAAATGAATAGAAACGGCAGATCTTACAATAACTTCAATTGTATATACCTCCATGGTTCAAAGTTTTAGACATCCGTAGTTTGTAAAAGTTACATTTATAATAATTTGAAATGCAGCTGCAAGAGGCTGTTTTGAAAACTCATCCCTGGTTCATGGGGTCATTTGCTGAAAATAACCTGCTATCATTACATACGTTGCTGTAAAATTAAACAAAGAAATCCAACAATAATCAAAATAAACCAAAAAAGCAAAAAAATGAAGAAATCTGCTGTTTTTTTCGTTGTTGCGTTGTGACATAACATACATTTGAGGCTATATCATCTTCTAAAAAACAGTCAATCAAAAGAAAAGGGGCAAAGCAAATTTACCAAACTGACTCAGTCCATGTTTGTGAAGACTTTGCACTCAACAAGCCGCAACACACTAAAGGTAAACATTGAGTGAACATCCCACGGATACAAATATGTGGAGACAATTATCTACAAACTAGTTCGAACAGCTCAGAGATGTGAGAATGGTGGACCATCTCTTTACATAAATACTTTTCAGATTGTGTTACATAAGAGGTTACTTTAGGTCGGCTTTAGAAATAACAAATGCTTAAGGCCCCGAGCGCAACAGCTGGACAGCACAGATTTTGTTATGAATGGTTCCACGGCCCACATTAACATGATAACAAGAAGAACCAATTCCCCCTCTACAAACGTGTGTTTGCTCAGCTGCTTTGTAACGCTAAAGGTCCCTTTTCCACAGGGACATCACAAAAGCTTGATGTCTTTAGTAATGTCACATTAAAGGGTATAATACACATAAAGTACATTGCACATTTCTGTTCTCTAATGTGCTGAGTTTTAAAGTGGAAATGAATGAGTCTCACCAACGCAGTTGACTTTGTCGTTGATGAAGTAGCCCTCTTCACACATGCAGTGGAAACTCCCAGGTAAGTTGTAACATTTCTGGTTACATCCGGCTGGATACTCTGGATCTGAGCACTCGTCGATGTCTGCCCGGTCAACACGCGACACAACAGCATTCGTCAGCAGCCAGGTCAACCATTTCAAAAGGTTCAATTATTGTTTGAGTCCAAAATATCGACACAGGATGTTGGATTAAAAAGAATGCCTGTTTTATAAGATGAACTAAAAGACATAAAAACACCAAATGACGTATCGGAACTTACCGTCCTCGCAGCGCCGCCCCTTCCAGCCGGGCTTGCACTCGCACGTGAAGGACGCCTGTCCGTCCACACAGCGGTTTGAACCCTCCCTGTAGCACGGTGGTGGCGTGCATTGGTCACTGATCTCTGCCATGCAACAAACAGTTTTGGACACACACACAGTTTCAATAACAGCCTTGAAAAAAGGCCATTTCATGGGGGGGACCTTCATTAGCCTTCAATACTTTCTGCCATAAAAACGCACTCAACCCTGAAAAGCCCCTCACCCGTCACACAGGTGCGTAGATCTGACGGGATGGCGTGTGAGTTTGGATTGTTGATGCCGACGCGGTGTGAACCCAGGCAAGCTGCAACAAATCGTCTTTGTCAGGACAGACTAGTAAAGGCAAGACGGGATTGAGGAAAAAACATGGCAAACAAACAAGAGGCAAAATACATTCTGCAAACTTACCAACATATTTGGGGTAGAAGTATTCCTGTAAAAAAAAGGGTTTTAAAGTCACATTTGACAATACAGGAACAGGAAAGGAACATCTGATCTGAATATCATGTCTATGTAGAATGTATGGTGCATACATCTATAATTCAATTGTAAGGAAAGGATTGATAGATACAAATTGTTTCAGTAAAAGTGCAAAAGAATTTGGAATATGTCTCTGTTTTGGACTGTTGGAACACATGGTGGCTTTTTATTTGGCCGTTTTCATACATGTTGTAGATCTAATAAATAATCAGCATTGAATCAATGAGAAAATGAACGGTTAGCTGCCGCCCTCGTCCGATCTGTTGCTTGCATTTTATTTCACACCTCAATCCCCCTCTGAACTGGTTTCTTCCCCCTCATCCCCAGCGGATCTGGGGGGGATTGCTGCTCATCTCTTACCGTCTCCGGGTTGTTCTCAAAGATCTCCCTGGCCTCCTCCTTGTTGCACAGCTCCTCGATGCACTCCCTCTCCAGGTTGCCCTTCTTGCTCTCCTCAAACAGAGAGTTGGCTCTCCTCTGCCTGCTCAGGAACTGGGAGGCTGTGCTCTGGCTCAGGACTCAAGACAGAGAGAGAAATAGATACGCATAAACACACTGGTGTAAATAATGGAGTCATCTTTTTCTTATTTTTGTTGCATCAGTGTTGTTTCTCTCCACAACAATCAGAACTGAACGACCCAATAAGGTGCAGTTCTACTCTGGCGTGTGTGATTAATACAAGCAGGCATATGCAGTTAGTTACATTATAACAACACATGACTGATGCCAGCAGGAATCCAAGTCCTCATGACAGATGGCTGATGCCTGCACGGACAAATCTAATTACTCTTCTGTGAATTGGTTTGAAAAAATATATATTATTGCGAAACCGTTATTTCCCAGAAACGACCCCCCGGTTGTTGTAACAAGCAGATCATGTGGTCCAATCATTGGTTCACTGTGCAGAAAGGAGCTGTGACCCCACACACACGCACACTTTGTTATCATTTCTGTCTGATTGCTTAAAACTATTGTAAGAATCCCGAAACCGTTTCCAACGGGCCACATAATTCAGAAAAGCTGCTTTCAATCAGAGGCACTGGCGCGGAATGAGACCGCGACTCACTACGCAGGGTTCAAAACGCAAATAAGCCCCAAACACGTTCATACTTACATCGATACGCATCGACAAGGGTCACGAGACATACGAGCCCGGCCAAGGACTCCCCGAGCGCCCGTTTCCTTCTCCACATAGTCGGGCCGGTCTTCTGCTAGGCCTCGGCTCCGAGTAAACACTGGCCCAACTTCACGCTTCCCGAAAGTGTTTTCACAGAGGGAGAGAGAGAGAGAGAGGGAGAGAGAGAGAGAGAGGGAGAGAGAGAGAGAGAGGGAGAGAGAGAGGGGGGGAGAGAGAGACAGGGAGAGAGAGAGGGGGGCACACTGACCCACACACACACACGTTGTTCTCGTTCAGCGTCACTTGCAGGCACGTCGCCGCGCGGTTTAACGGTGTGTAGCAGGATTGCTAACACGACTCACAACACGACATGAAATCATCCCGCTGAGAAACGGGACAGGAAAGGAATAAGTAACACACACACACACACACACACACACACACAGAGCTCGCCGCCATGTTTTCCCACGTTCAAACGACGCGTTCAAAAGTCGGATAATATATTGTTGCTAGGCGACCAACTTTGTCGCTAGCTGTACAATTATTAAATACGTATTTTTACTTCATTTTTAATAGAAGGCTTCCATTCTCTGCTACTTCATACTTCTACTCTACAACAGTTCGGATAAAATATGTATAGTTTTTACTTTTATTTATCAGAAAACTTACACTAGTCAGCAGTGTTGGAAAGTATTCTAACTCATTTTAACACAAGCAGCTACTCGAGTACCTCAGAAGTACAGCTATGAGGTACTTTTATTTTATTTCCATCATGCTAGTTAGCCGGCTACATTTCAGAGACCTTTGCTGTAGACTGATTCAACATAAACAGACAAGGATTCGAATGGACGTTTTTGGCAATTTGATTGAACTGGCCGTACCTTTAAAGCAAAGTTAGATGTTTCACTGGGAATGAAAAAGCCAGGACCACAGTGCTAGCGTGACACTATTTGATTACAATTGATTTAAGATGCCAGACTTTTCATTGAAAGCAAAGCACCGTTGGAATTAATAACAGTAATCAAAGCTCCTTTTCATTTGTCCAAATAAGGAGCATACAAAGGTATTTAAATCATAGCCAACCTGTGTTTTCCCTGCTATCTCAAGTCCAAATGAACGCTGAGTTCTTTAATAGTTGAAAAACTTGGTAGCAAACAATAAACACAAAGATAGATGTATCTGGGGGGTATTCCAGAAAGGAGGTTTAACAAACTCTGAGTCTATCCCTGAACTCCGAGTTTACTCTGAGACGGGAAACTCTGCGTATCCGGTTCCAGAACAGCTGATCTGCGTTAGTTCAATCAACTCGGAGTATGTTCACCTTGAGTTAAGCGCGTGCATGACGATTATAAAAAGCCATCATCAATGGAGCCCCGATACCACGAGTCACCACGAGTCACCATGACAACAGTAAATAAAAGAGCAAGCTCACTGCGATGGAGTTGGAGGTCTTTCTGCAGGCCTACGGTGAGCATGAGCATGTATTTCGCTGCAAATGCAATACAGCTGCAGCGTAGGAGAGAGAGACTGCGTGGGGAAAAATCGCCGAAACAGCTTGAAGCAGCTAAAAATGAAATTTAAAAACATAATTCAAAAAGGTATGGCATATATTGCTAGGCTATGATTGCAGCTCACTTTAATTGTTAATTCATTTTTTTTAATTGACTTAGGCTATTAAACAAAGTAAATTTTAATTCAGTGGCTACTTGAAATAGTAAATTAAACCCCTAATAAAATGTTGTTTTTACACGTCTTTAAAATACTAAAATACTAATTAAAAAACAAAGAAACATTGAGTTCTGCTCAGCCGACAGAAAGAAGGCAGAGGCCCCGAAAAACAGGTGGACATGTACATCATAATTAAAAAATATATAATATATGATTTCTACATCAGTCACCTGCAAGAATTCCTCTTTGATGGTTCTAAGAGGTTTGTGTCCGGGAAACACGCGTTTCAGTGCGAGGTGAACTTTCCTCACAGCTCTACAAACTGTTGCTCTGCATCCCTGATGTTATAAAGAAAACTACCATTTGCAAAAAAAGTAGCAGGATGCACAAGATTTGCTCTGATGTGAGTGCACGTCCGCGGTGTGTGAGGTTGGTGATATATGGCCGGAGAATGTTATTGAGATAAATGATGCCTTGTGAGGAAAAGCAGTAGCGTTCTAACAGAAACAGAAATGATAAAACGTCTAATCTATGTCGGAAGACTCTCTCGCGACGTAAAGCATTTCGAATCAATCGGCTTGGATGTCAATTGGATTTGGTAGGAATGGGCAACCCATGTCTACCAGCTTTCTTCATGTGGGAGGAGACGGTAGAAACTCTGTGTTTCTTATAGTAAATCTGCCAGCGAGCAGTTTATGTTCAGAGTCTGTTACCATGGTGATTGACTCAGAGTTTCAGTTACCTCTCTATCTGGAACGGATAACTCAAGTTTCCCTGATCTCAGGGTTAACTTACTCTGAGTTTTCACATAACCTGCTTTCTGGAATACCCCCCCTGCTCCACAACTAGACCCAAACAAAGGGAAGCTTGTGATATGAGCGACTAGCTCTGTAATCTCCAGAGTTGGACCTTTAAATAGAGGGATTGACAAGGAGGCACCAGGTAAAGCTTATTGATTTATTGACTCTCTTCCAACCTGAGAGTCCAATGGAGGGCAGGTAGCAAGAAGCAGTGGGCAGATTGCAGGTAAATACAAAACACAGGGGAAGCTAAACAGAAACACAAGGAAAACAGGCAGGAACTCTACGCACAGGGTAAAAAGACCAACAAACAAACAAAACGGTGTCAACAAGGGGAAGGTGAAATTGATCAAGTATAAGTACAGACAATCACAAAGATGGGACAAACACAAAGGCTCCTGCCTTTGTGCTTTTTAAAACAGGATGTGACACACACGGTGCAGAAAAAACACTAAGCATGTATTAAACATCCCAAAACACAGAACTATTAACCTCACAAAACAACCAGAGTGAAAGATACATAACTCTGTATTCAGTGCGGTTCAGAGGCAGACTGCAAAGTTGACACAAAATAAAGACACTGACACCAAATTTTCATTAATATTGGTTTCATTTAGTTATTCAGGGAAAAAACACATCACATTTTCACCATTCATTCAAATGTTCTATGTACACATATAGCAGGCTTATTTTAATACTTTTAAAATATTTGTACAAAATACATTGTTTGCCCTTTATTACACGTGTTTATCTGAAGAGAAATTTCACTGCTAAGGGTCAGCGGATGTGCATTGATAATTTGGTGGGCTTTTTGAAGGGTTGTCACTATTATTGCATGCTGAAACACCATTATTGCATAAGTTATTCCCTTTGGGGCTTCTGGTGAAGGAATTGCTGACACTGTTGTAACTTACATTACTTCACCAATTCAGCCGATGTCTCCGGCAAGGTTTCACCAAAAATGATAATAAATATGATCATCAAGTTAGGGCTGAGTGACAGAGCTGTTTGGTGGTTTATACGTAAGTCAGAGTCTCCTCACTCTCTGCAACCCCCCCCGCCCAAAACATTAAAAGAACATGCAGTGCTGCAGTTTCATACACCTGAGGAGACAGTAACACTCACCAAAGTTAAGAGGTTACAGCATTACTGGTCTCTTAATGTTATCACTGTGTGCATATATAAACTGTGTGGGTAGATTATATTGGCAAAGGTTCCTTGAAATGGAACAGTGGTTCTATAAAGAGAAAAGAGGAGACACGCCATACCAGGCCAGAGTACAGCAACCGTGTTTCCCCACTGCAGCAGCCTTTCGAGGCAGTGATCTTTCTCTTGTTTTTACACGTGGGAGTCTGCCTTTGCTGACCTGTAGCACTGGGATAATACAACCCGTCATCCCAGTCACTCATGCACACACTGACAAATGTACAAACACGCACGTACACACAAAACAACACACACACCTCAGTCATTCACTTCAGCCACACAGGAGGATGTTTGTATGACATAATTAGAAAACACAGTCCAACAGTTGAGCCTCCCTTATGGTTGATAGATCAACACATTTGACAGAGAAAAAAGATGTCTCTGAATAATTGCTCATCTGTTTTTAAAACAGTATAGAGATATATGTATAAAAACATATCTAAACAACTAACTTTTTTTTGTTGTTTTTCATAAAGAGAATTTTATAAAAGTGATGACTGGCACTGTTTGTGATCCTGTGACCACAGGAGTACCCGCAAGGCTACATAACCAGGTACTTAGTTTGGGAAAATACAAAATTTGTTGAGGTTTGTAGTCACCTGGTCGCACAGAAGTGACTGTTGAGGATGCCGCCGCCGTGGCTACAACTTATTCTTCACATGCACTGGTTTTGGCAAGAGGGAGTGCTGATGACAGTGGTTGCCCTTGGAAGGCGAACAACAACACAACACAACTGGTTAACAACAATAAATCCTGTACCGGGTGCTGACCGGTAAGATTCACAGCAGGCGTGATGGGGGGAATGCATGTCAATAGTTTCAAACTACAGGGCGCAGCTATTTCCAAAGTAAGATGGAGACAACGCACAAAACAGAATAACTACATTATTAGGCAGCCGACAGTGCAACACAACCAGTAACACGCTACCCATTTCACAATCATAACTTGAGACAAGACTTGTTAAAATGTTAGTATATCAGTTAAAACCTAAAGAACATCCCTGTTCAGGAGCTGTGCTAACGCGTAGATTCTGCTTTGTGATGGGCGAATAGATATGTTGGCTCTTCTGCCTCCTTCTCATGCAGCGTGAGTGTGAGCTCAATGGATGGTTGATGAGTCAAGCTAAAGCTCAGCCACTGACCAGTGGGAAGAAATACTGGCACCCCGTAAGACCAGGCAAACACGCTGTTTTCCATTCAAATCTGCAACAGAAAAACTCATATTTATGCACCATAGATTTGTGCCACTCTCAGCCAAGTTTGGATTGCTGACTGGACAAATTGGGAAACTGCCAATGGGCCCACAGGGGCCCACAGGGGCCCACAGGGGCCCACGCCGCAATTGGTTTGGGGCAATTTAATGTAGTTGCAAAAAGCGTTTCTTTAATCTATTATACACTCATTGGCTACTTATTTGTGTACATCTGAAGCAGGGTTGTTATTAGATGTATAAATAGAACTCATTTGACCCATACAGTGTCATGCAATCACACACAACTGTTCTGCCATAACGTCTGCTTTTATGATGCCAACAATATTCACTTTTCTTCTTTTTACACTGTTGGTGTTAGGTTGTATATTTATTACTGAGGTGATTGTGATGTGACTGCCCTTTATAAAGCTTTCCTGATATTCTGCCAAACTCATGTACAGCTGTACTGTGAATAAGAAAGACAAACACATTAGAGGCCAGAACAACCTTAATCCTGCTTTGCCTTAATGGCAATAGATTGTACTGGTGCACCTAATAAAGTGGCCACTGAGTTTATATTGCTAGCACATAATTATTTGTTTTAAAGCGCAGATGTAGAATTTACAAGGGAGGGAACGGGGGCCATCTGCACGCAGTTGGGCGTTATTAAATGTCTTTGTTCAGATGGCGATTAAGATGTTCAGCTAAAAATAGAAGCTGCAATTTGACTCCCATTGTGATACAAAAAAGGCATCCATGGGTTTTTCTAACTCTCCAAAAAGAAGAAGCTAGTGATTCATCCCAGGTACTGGTCAGACAGGAGCATGATATCCCACCACAGCAGAACAAGGCTTCAAATGAAACGTGAAAACATGATCCTAAACGTCTGTGAGAGCGTCGTTGATAATGATTAAAAATGAGGGATGAAATTGAAAGATAACGTTGATAACATCAAGTGCCTCTCGTCTCTGCTTGGTCCCGCCAATCCTTTCCTTCCCTCGACCTTCACAGCCTTCCTGAGGAGGTACGGGACCAAGGAACTACAAAAACATGGGGACAACACCACCCAAAGAGGGCAAAGTACAGTCCTAACTTCCTTCTGGGGTGAAATACAATACATCTCAACATGTCAGCCATTATAATAACCAAACACAAATCAAACAGATAAAATGAGCTTTTGAACGTGTGCTGCGATGCTTGTTCATCCATTGGTGTGGAGGCGAGTAAAGTGCGTGTTGGTCACTGTCAAAACTGTCCAGTGAAAAAACGTTGGCTTGTTCTCTCGTCTCATCACCGACCGGAGATCCACATACAGTAGATGTCTTATTAGCATCCTTCCTTTCCTCCACAACTGTTCCTGTATTTTTCATGCAGAACGGAGGTCTGTTCTCCACATTTGGAGTGATGCATCTTGAGACGCTGCAGAAAAAAAAGTCCATGTATGGACTCTTATTTTCCTAAAACTGCACAGATGCACCAGTCAGGTGACACTTATTTCCAAAACAGAAGTCTGTTTCCTCAGAAGGGGTTAAAAAAGTGAAACATGGATCCTGCTTTGGAAATAAGTGAAATTATCTCACCTTAAAATCTCGATTTGGAGGGAAATAAAAACTCAATCCTAGACCCGGCGCATTGTCAAGACGGAATTATTCTCTAGTAATGAAAATAATGCTGGTTCTAGGCATTGTGGGAAACCGAGCACAAGCTAGATGGAGTAGGTGGAGCTCTCAGACTGCTGGCGGATGTAGCACTGGAAACTTTTATCTCCAATTGGATGCTCCCTGGGGAAAGAAAGAAGAGATAGTGTTTATATAAGGCAGTGGCTTTTGCTGCTAAAAATAAAACATCAATAAAAGAAATTTTCTGTGCATATTTTAAGGGGCTGAGCATAGCAGATGGCCAAAATAAAGATGCCAATATAACGTTATTTGAACTGTGTTTTATTTAATCTCCAAAATACTGAAAAACTGCCACACCTGCTGGGGAAGGGGAAATACAATTTACCCGCCAGTTATTACTCTCAATTGCATTGAATATACAATAACTGTCATTTGGATCACATCACAATCTGAGCTACAAGCGTGAACAACAAACCACTTACTGGCTGCCAATCTTTGTCTTCTTGAACTTGTCACGTTTGTACTTGGTGTGCTGCTGCTCTAAGGTCTGCACCGCTGAAACAATCAGTTTCAGGGTCTTGTAGGTCTCCTGGGGGTCATCGATGACGAAGCTGGAGTACTCCTCCTGTTCGGGACCGTCGTACACCGATTTACTGCCGCAGGCCTCTGCGGGCAAAGACAGACCAGCGGCAGAGTGAGCGACGGCACAAAAGGGTGAAAACAAACGTGGGGAATGCGCTCTGGTCGGCGTCTGACCTTGCATCTTGATCAGTTTGGTCATGTATGTGCTAAACAGGGAATAAATCCTCTCGGTCTCTCTGTCTCCATCCACGTCCAGCTGGATGTTTGCTGGGAGGCCGCTGCAGGATGAGAGAGAGTGGAAACAAAGTAAGAGGAACCCTGACGCAGGGTGGGTTTTCTGACAACCCCACGTACCCGGTGCAGGGCGTACAGCCGCTGGCTGTGTCTGCCGAGAGCTTGCAGCAAAGCCAGTGGCCGTTGAGGTAGGCTGAGGGATGGTAGGTGCTCAGGCGTTTGCGGTTGCACTGGCTGACTTTGGTCAGGATGTCGATCCAGTCGCGAGCCTCGACGCAGTTGTTGGCCTGGATATAGAGCGCCCGCTCCGGCTGGATGACCTGGAACATCTGGAGAAGGGAAAAAGAAAGGAAAGCAAGTGAGGGAAGAATCTTAACAATTGTAGGAGGGATTTGGGTAAAATGATGAAAGCTCTAAAATGGTCCGTTGCTTACATTTTTCATCTTGAAAGACTCCTCCTCTAGCCTCTCTACAGCCAAAATGTTCTCTATGGGAATGCTGCAGAGAGCGCTCTCGCCTTGACATAAAAGAAAACACATCAGACACGAGAAAGGACAGAAAACAGTAGGCAGAAGGGTCGAGGAACGTGTAACAGCACATCACAACAAGAACCTCATGTTATTTGGTATTTTGAAGACAGATGCAAACCTGTTATGCAGTATGCCATTTAGAAACAGCTCAGGTGTAAGTTTTGGCCCGAGGTTGTTTGGATGCAGCACGAGTGTTTTGGGTGCTCAGTAACTTAATCTCCACCACGTGTGTCAAGATGCTCATTGTGTGCAAAGTAAATGTACATTCAGTAGATTCGCTCCCTCCTGCTGATTCTTACAAAAGCGCACATAGCGGCAGAAATAGACGTGGAAACAATGCGAGGAGATCCCGAGGGACCTTTCACTCTACCTTTTGTTTTGTGGTAGGTAAACTCGTGATTGGTGAGGCGAAACCATCTCTTCTTGAAGTTCTTTATTCCGAACCGCTTTCTCCCCTGTGCCCTCTTTATCATGAATCTGAGGGAAAATGAAAATAGCACTGAAAGCATTGAAAGATGAGCTCATGTTTCACAGAATCATTTAAAATATTTCACAATATTTTTCATTTATCTGGCAGAACGCATCCCATTTATATGTATGCAGTAGGAAAATGTTAAAAGAGTGTAAATGAATGGCTTTGTATGAAGCTATTAGTAACTAGCATTTCATGGTCGTTGAAGGAATCGTGTGCAGTCATCAGTCTACATTCATCATTCTGTTTTCATGCTTGCAGTTCCTTGTTTTCATTGCTGCTGTTCATGTAAAAAGCTTAGGGGAGATTTACGTCTATGGGCCTGAATAAAAAATGGGTCAGCAGATCCATAAGCTTTTGCATATTTTACCCCAATATCTACATTTTTACTATATTATAAATAAATCCCCACTTTGCTTTTTGGGATTTCCTTTTTGTGTCAGAACATTAAGAAAAGCGGTTTGCAGAAACCCTTGAGAAAGATAATCTATAATACTGAATGATGTTTTGAATTACTTTAGCCTGTATTTATTTTTGTTCTGATGCTTGAACAAAACAATGCGATTTAAGTCGTCACATGATTAAACGGGAAAAAGATCAGCAGATGAATTAATAATGAAAATTAATGTTAGTTAGTACACATTAAGAAATAAACGGAATATGGATTTATATAGTTTCTTAATTCTGGGCTGGAAATTCTGAAAACATTCAAAAGCTCATGAATGTTACTCTGTCTGCAGCTTATTTGTCACTAAATAATGCATAAATCCACTATGATGGATTATCAATCTCAAGGAAATGTCTGTGCAAGTACAATAAAATAAAATAAAATAAAATAAAATAAAATAAAATAAAATAAAATAAAATAAAATAAAATAAAATAAATGGATGCCTGTAACTCCAAAAAATGTCTGACAGTAAGTAAGCCTACACTATTTGTTGTTTATGGGCTAAAACATGTAAAACAACCAGCACAGTCCTCTAAGGGAGAGTAAACACCAGGACGTCTTTTGTTTATAGAGTTTGAAAGGCCAGAGCATGAAATATGAAGCACAAGGGTTCTAAACACCAGTCCCAACCCTCCCACAGGGAGGCCTCACATCTGCCGTACCGCCGGCAGCTGTGCTGGAAACACTAACGCGTGCGGCGGTGATATGTCCACAGTCTGAGGTATAAAGGGCTCAGGATGCGGACAGATATGAGACCCCAGAAATGTTTGTAGCGTGACCAACCGTACTGTCACATCCAGCATGTCTGGCGTGGCCAAAATGTGGAAAGGCAATCAGCACCAGTGACTTAAAGGTTAACACTTTACTTTATACCATTATAGTCAGAATGTGCACAAGACGCAAACCCACCACACGGTGCCGGACAATAGCAGAGAGGTGCCGTGTGTGTCGTTCGGGTATAAAGTAAAGTGCAGCAGCATTTACAGCATCGCATGATGTTGGTGGGAGAGAAACATGGCCGGCTTGGTTCGGGGGGGCGGGGGGGGGGGGTTGCAGTGCACACACAGGGGGTCACAAGGGCAATGCCTTAACACAGAGAAGCTCTTACCTGCCCTTCGTGCCTTTTGACCCCTTACCATTACCCCTCTTTATATAGAGTTTTACACTCCTACGCCCGGTAGCAGAAACAAAAGAGGGTGGAGATGTTGATGAGCAACGAGCTGCCACGACTAACGTCCAACACTGGGAGCGCTCCTCGCTTTTGCAGCGTCATCAGAAGTATCATCAAAACAACGGCCCATGTGCTGGTAGAAGGGCTCAGTTTACAGCAGCGGCATCTGTGCTGTAACTATTATATATAGGTTATATACTGTATACTGGACTATTTCTTCTTGCTATTACTGGCGGATAACTGGCGGATTCTCCAGCAGGCTATTTACTTTGATCCAGTCAAGAAATACTACCTCGTAGTACTAACCCTGATTGTTGTACGGATTATACATAACATAACATGTGACATAACTGTAATAAGTTAATAAGTAAGTGGACAGAACCATGCTAGTTGTGTTGTGGAGTTTCTCATTCAACTCTCTGGCAGAAAGAGAATATTTTCTAAAATGATTCCTTTAAGGTAGTCTGGACAGTTGAGACTCAATAGTACTTTTAGTAAGAAAAAAATGACAGGACAGCCTTTATAAAGTGGTTAAAAGACTAACACCGCAGCTCCAGAAAGGTTACTTCCCCTAAACATGAAAAAGGACTACAAAATCTCAAATTAGCGTCCAAGCAATTCTCTAAATCAACCAAATATAAGATACATAAGACTTTTTAGGAGTGGTATTGAGAGAGCTGTTTATGGGCGTTTCTTCTTCCCATGAATGTCAGTTTAACAGTAAGCTGGCTCCTTACCCCTCTTTCAGCATGATCGGTGTTTCAATACTTCTCTGATCCCATTTGCCAGAGGTGGAGATCAGGTCCAGGAACTGTGGGAGAAGTAATGGACGCCATATTTCATTCTCATGGGACATCCGAGGAATTCCAACCATGAAAGCCACGCTTTAAGTATTCCAATACGCAGAAGTTTTATGTACACCAAAGCTTAGCTCCACTTTTTGCTTTTATTTTATTTTCAAATGTATCCTCTCCTTCATTACTCATCCATGAGTTTGTCTTCTGACATACAAGACAAAGAGAATACTGATCTTGTGTCCAACAACTGGAGATTTATAGCATGAGAAAAGAAACGAAACACTCACATTCTTCACAGCGTCCGAATATTTCTGCTCATTGAAGTAGTCGTAAAATGCCGCCATATAAGACTCTTTGAAATTGGCCTTGAAAGGAATACAAGTACATAAAGAGAGAGTGACTAGATTAGAACATTTTTAGAATAAAATACAAAAAAGAGTCAAAGACCCGCGCAGAAGAATAGATTTTGCTCAGAGAAACTCACAGATTTAGATTTGGCGAGACTTCCCAGGGTCTGGATGGTCTTGGAGATTAGGGTTAGGGTTCGAGAGGTGGCCGGATCCTAGGGAGACAAAAAGACTTTATCTCCAATCTCAAAAAGTCATCACACATGATCACATCCTAAACACTTGAAAAAACGACTTGAAAAACAAAGAAATGTTTGTGTCTTCAGTCAAGAATAAACTTTGAACTTCCGCTTTTATGCCAACCGGTATAAGACGTCTTAAATATGGTATACATGCAGATGTTCATACGTTGGCTGCGTGTATGTTTGTGTTGCATATCGGACTCACCGGATGGTGCGGCCGTAGATGGAACAAGTTGGGGGAGAGTATGGCTGGAGCGAAGAAACGCAGGAAAATAAAACTGCTCACTGCTGTGTATCGGACATCTTGGTCGACTTGAGAGCAGAAAGGGAGAAAGTGTCATAGTAACAATCTACTATCTATAATTCCTCAACTACAGTCAGTCTGGAGTAAGAGCAGACTGTGTGCTGTGCTGCTTGTGACTGCAGTACTCTGTGGCGGCCAACAGGAGGCAGCACAGTATGGCTAACATGCTCACATGACCATAATGAGTGTGTGGGAGGCTTAAGTGTTTTCAGCTTTGACACAAATAGCAGTGCACAAGAAAAGTGTCCTTGGACGTCTTGCACATCCCGTTCTTTATTGTCTATTTCCTGTTACTTAACAGCAGCTTGCTCTCTTTCCTCATCACTGGGGAGTCATTGAGAGGGTGAGTTACCTTGGAAACGGGTGGCAGCAGACTCTCTCAAAGAGAAGAAGATGTCACACATGACGGTGGGACAGCGAACGCCAGAGGTGGTGATAACGTTGAAGATCCGGTCCACATACTGACGAAGATTTTCCTGTCGAGGGCGGGAAGGTTAGAAGAAGGTCAGATAACACTGACCCCACACGCACAGACACACAAGCAAACACACTCATCTTCTTACCCTGTTTGTCTCCAGGTTCTCAGATTCTTTGAGCTTGACCGGGTCAATTTCGCAGGATTTGTGGTCCGTGCAGATCTGTGAAAATTGAGAAAAGTATTAAAACAACCATTATTATCTGATTCAGCAAAAGTACTCAGAGAGCTGCTGCAGAGAGAGAGAGAGAGAGAGAGAGAGAGATGAAATCCAGAAAAGGGTAATAACAAAGAAAAAAACACCAGAGCTGATCGCAGTGCCATACCTCATCGATGATGGGTTTGAGTGTCACTTGCAGATAGTGCATTCCTGCCAGTTTCATGGTCTCGTCAATGCACTTGGAAGTCAGCGAGTTTCCCCGGAAAATGGTGTTAGGATCCCTACGCAGAGAGATTCAACGACATTACTGCTGCTGCCTTTATACTCGCAGTCAAATAGAAATGCAAGCTATTTGATTTTCGGGGACTACATGATGACCTAATTCCTACAATCACTTAGATGCATTATTGAACCGAGAAAGATTTCCTGGCTAAAACCAGAAAAGTCATTTTCTCAGCACGGGACTCGTCCAACGTCTGCTACGCCCTCCAGTGACGAGACACTCACTGCGTGCGGTTGACTTCGGCGTGAGCGATGGTGCTGATGAAAGGCACAATCTTGCCGTAGTGGAGAAACAGCCGCACGAGGGGGATGGCGGCTTCCTGTTTCTCTCGACACACCTCCCCCAGAGTGTGAGCCGGGGACGCCGACACGGGCTGAACAGAGAGGCGTGACACGGAGAGTCAACACACAGCGGTGAATGGGCACGAGGCGCCGCGGGACACCGGGCATGTGCGAGCAGAGCAGAGGCCCGGTCATGTGCGCTCACCGCTACATTGGCAGATTGCAGCAGCAGGTCTCTGAGGGGCGTGTAGTGTTCGGAGGGGAAGACGTGGTCCTCGGTGTAGACGATGTTCAGACGCAGAGAGCCGAGCTCCTCTACCTTCACCGACTTCCCCCCGTTCTCCCGGGGCTGCAGGAAGTACCTGGAGAAGAGCAAAGATCAGATGCCGGATCGGACGCTGGTCGACCTCGAAGGTTGATAATGGGCAAGGGTTGTTCCTCATTTTGAAAAGTTGTGATAAAATAGAGCTGTTGAGTCAATATTTTCCATTATCAATATTCCTCGTATGAAATTGCACCGCGGCTTCCTTTGTAGCATCTCTCTAACTTCCTGCAACTGTATTGTTTTGGTAAACTCTCACTTCCGCCAGATATTTCCTTCAGGAGTTGGTGGATACAAAAACCCCAGAAACCCAATGTCAAATGAAAATGTAGAAAACTGAGTAAGTGAATTGATTCTTATTCAGTGGAAGGAGGTGATTACTGCACTCTGTATTGGACTACATTGAAAACACATTTTTTATTACCTCCGTTTGTATTTCCAAAGCGGCCCTCCCATCATTCATGAGGGCAAAGAAATCGAATACACAAAGAGGCGCTGTTGGAATGCTTTCGACCCTGGTCAATAAGAACTGTAACTGTTGTCACTGTTGACACTTGTTTCTCTGCTGTTGCTGTGGCAACACATGCTCAGAATGTCAACTGACGTACAGCACGTGTCCGGTGTAAAAAACCCAAAATGAAAGACTGAAAGCCGATGGTGCTACGTGTGCGTAAGGCTCCTCTCACCACGCGTCATGGACACCGGCCTGACCCAACGCCCGCAGAGGGACTCGCACCCCTCCCAGGAACTCGTCCCCGAACTTCAGGTTGCTGGCGTTCCACAGGTCCACCCTGATCACAAACCACAGCGCACAGTTCAGCCCGAGGAGGCGCCTTACGTTCAGCACCGGCGCGAGGAACCCAAGCGGCTGTGCGGACTCACCTCAGCGCCAGCTTGTCGACGTCCTCCTCTTCAACGTCGAACTGACGCTTGGTGTAGCTCAGCGGTCGCGTCACCTGGAAATGGAAGCAGGGTGAGAGGTGTTCACACGGAACATGGAGACTCCACCACATGGCTGATTAATCGATCAACACTATTTTGATAATGGATCACTCATTTTTGTCATGGATTCAGCTTCACTAATTATAGTTGTTTTTCATTCCATGTCATCCAAGTTTAAGATGCTTCTAAATTTGAATCATTTTGTTAAAACTAGTTGTTTGTTTCTAATTCACCCAAAATAAATACAAATGTGATCAATCAGAGATAAGAATGTGTCGTAAGTTTGGAGCATCGAGAAAGTTAAATCCAAAACAATAAAAAAAGGACAACCCCATGACAGAGACATGATGAATGGCCCGTGTTTGCGTGTGGATCGGGGGCCTCAGAAGGGGGGCTGCATGCAGACAGCACCACAGGCTACGAGTCCTCCTCATGTGAATAAATGAGACGGTCTTGTCGGATAGAAATCAATGGGCCAGATTGTTTGGTGGCGGTTTGTCCGAATCAATCATACTCTTGTCCTGCTGTCTTCTAGTGCTGCGGCGAGGAGGCCAGAAGGAGGAGTGACACAAAAATCTGGCAGCGGAGCGGCTGGTGAGCGGAGGGGTTAACGGGGTCAGCGTGAAAGGAGGTTTGTGTGCCTATATCAAAAAATATGTGGAATTGTGAATATAAAATTGCACGAGAAGCGTGAAGTTTTTGGAGACATTCAGAGAAAGAAAATTTTGCCAAATTGTCTGTGTTTCCAGTTGCTTTTGTAACACTAATACCAATAATTACAGAAGTAATGGCATAACAAATACTCTGTGAGGGTGTTTGGACAAAAATAACTATTGAATAAGTATTAAATAATGCTAGAGATGTTTTTTTTACTTGGTACTGCATTATGGCATTATGACACAATGATACTGATACTGTAACAATAGGATAATACCCAGGTAAGTTTTAGCTTGTTACCCCCTGAACCTTTTAGTGCTAACTTCAGTGTGATGTGAACGGAGTGCAGCCCAATAACTTAGGCAGTGCGATTAGGTGCAATAAAATGATCAGGATGGACAGAGAGATTAGCCCGGCTCGAGGAACCAAATACTAGATCTACAGCTTTGACTCAACATGCAAACACTTCTTTTCAATGAGAAACTGAATGTTCAGAAAAGGATGTTTGTGTATAACATACAACAACTAACAAGCAGACATGCTTACCTCAAAATAGAAAACCTCATCAAACTGTGGATTATTGGTTTTCCTCTTCACTTTGGTCTTCTTGGCTTCCGACCTGGGAGAAGCAGCACCACATGTTTATCACAAGTTCACATGAAAAACAAAGTTGTGTCAGGTTCAAACACAAGTCTAATCGTGTGCGCGATCTGACCTTGACGGTCCTAGTAAGGAGACGGCCGCATAGGGATCACATTGGCCGTTGACGATTGGAAGACCTTGGCACTCCAAAACGCTGTTTAGAAACACACACAAACCATGAATGAATAAGCACGCTGCTGCAAAAGCATAAGCACACACACACACACACAAACCTGTAACACATTAACATAATGCTAATTAGCAATGCGTAATCTCGTCCCGCGCCAGGTGTCAGGTGTGATGGTGACAACAGTTGAATGGTCTCTGATTATATACAACTGAACGCTTTTCATATTTTCTTTATTATGCTGCCTTATTCTTCATTACATGGTAACATGGTACCTGCCATGTTAGGAGGCTTAGCTATTACCTTTTGGCAGCACGAAAAATACAGGAAACCGGGTAACACGATCTCCAAACGCCAAAAGCCAGGCGCCATACTTAGTATGGAGAATATGAGCCTCCTCCCAGAGGGCTCCTAAAGCTCTATTAAGTTATCACATAATCAAATGACTAATGTAAACGGGTCACTAGATCTGTGGGACCACTGAGAATTGACATACGATCTTCCACCTACACAGGCGGCAGGAATGTCGTTGCCCTCATCAACCCTCATATACTGTATAAAGCACTATGCAGCAATTTAGAGTAAACAAGACGATATGCACAGCATGATACAGCAGAAAAGACATGAACATCTAGCAGCTCAATACACAGACATTTTTACACGAGTTGGTGAAGACCAAAGAGCTGAAAGGTCTGTTGGACCTTCATTATCAAATTAGCAAAAACACGACTCACGATTCTGAAACTAAAAGGCTTTCATCTCGGCAATTGATAAAAAACTGTCTAAATGCAGCTTTCACCTCACTTCATGAATTCTGATATGATTACACTAAGTTAACAGTTACACAGAGCTGGTAAACGAGAAAGAACTTAAGACACGGGACACAGCTTTGTTTGAATAGAAGGAACTTGCTGCTGCTTTCCAAAAGACATTTTTCACAGCAGACATTTTGCCTGAAAAAAGAAAAAGTGCTACCAAAAAAGACACCTTTGGCCCATTAGGTCTGCCAGTAAGCAAAGCCTTGAAATGTGCACACCCAAACAGCACACATCCGTGACTAATGTTAAGAATTGTCCCTCTACAGCATGTCAAATTATCTGAATAGAATGTTTAAAAAATAATAATTACAAAAAAACAACATCTAATGAGAGCATCCACTCAACCGCCCCCTTTTCACAGACATAAAACATCTGGTCCATTCATGCGGCTGACTCCTACGCTGGGACTACTTGCTAGCAAATTTAAGAGTTTCCTCAGTACGTGAAACGGTCCCTGGTGTCAATGTTAGGTGTGTCTGTAAGAACAGCAGAAGCAGAGAGAGAGCAGAGATGAAAAGAGACGCAGGGAAGTAATTCCATTTGAGCTGTTGGCCGAGACTTGTGCCAATTTTAAATCCTGTGTGATCCAGCAACTGCAAACACAGAACATAGACCACGGACCATACGGAGAAAAAAATAAAACAAAGAAAGCATATTCCTCTGACACTGAGAGCCAGGGAGAAATAGGAAACACAGCTCAGAAGTGACTATAAAGGAAGAGAAAAGCAGAAAACATTTTGCTTTTCCAGTTCTGCAGAAATTCCCTTTTGCAAATCACATATGAAGATGCATTTGCTTTCTCATTGCAAGGATTCTTGCTGCTGGCTGTTGTTTTATAAGCTTCCAACACAGATGAAAAGCTGAGAGACATGTGTGTTTTGTTCCTGTCCGTCCATCCTTCTATTGCGTCCTGTGTCCAATGACATCATGCATCCAGGGGATTAGCAAACACCCAGTGGGACGAATCCCTTCCTGTGTGTCACAGCGATCCACCACTACTCATGTTGATGAATTACGCAGCAAATCGCAGCTTTGCCCACAACTGAACTGACTAAACACACACAAACCGACACACACAGAGACGCACGCGGCCACACACTGGTTCCTAATAAGGAATAAGGAGAGGGTTGGGTTAAGCATCACTAATACCAGAGCGCTTCCTGTCCAATAAGCTTGTTTATGTAACCCCCGCTCGGCCTCTCTCCCCCTCGCCCCGCTGTGAGCTCGGACAAGCAGACAGTGGTGGTGAAGCCAGACTTATTTGTTCTTGTCGGCATTACTCATATTTGGTCAATGTGCTTCTATGTTGTGTCCACGTAACGTGTCGAGAACAATTTGGCTCAAGCGCGAGGGAAACGACTAACGTCACGGTGCCAAAACCACAGACAAAAGAAAAGGGGATATGATTATGAGTGTGTGTCACTCATGGGTGCACTATTACAAGTAAGTGAAATATTTTACGTGTTTCCACGAGGTTTCTTGTTCTGAGACTTGTAGAATAAACCACAAGTTAACCACATTGTTGAAAATCTTTCACACGTACATTCAGACTATTACTTTAAGGGGAACCCCATCGATATTCACACATCTATGTCTGTTCACAGGTTTTGGGTGGCTTTGTGGCCCCGGGGGCGGAGAATCTGAAGAACAATTTCAAGTGATGCCCTTTGAGTCAGCTTGAGTTTGGGCTTAAGACAATAAGTTTGAAGGAGGAAATTAGAGGGCGTGACATTAGTAGGAAATGAGTCCTCCTTACTGCTCCTCATCTCTGCTCAAGGCTGGCGGTTTGAGGCTAGCAGTGAGACGGACACACCCGAATGTCCGGCCAAACTGTCAGGGGTCGGGTTGCATTGGGTTTCATGTAGGCGTCATTTTGACAAGGCAGAAGAATGTCTCGACTAAAAAAGACAATTTTGTTATTATTAAGTGAATGTATAGTACTAGTATAGAGTAGAAGTACTTGTGAGAGAAGGGCCGAATTTATCAATCAGTTAGTTTTATCGGTAGAGTTCAATGCACGCCGCCATGTCTCCGTCCCGCTTGCAGTAGATCAGCTGCTGCTCTAAGCTCCTCCCCCACATTGTGCTCTGGGAACGAGCCACGCCGGCTCTTCAATGGACTTCTCACACAAACGTTCACGCACTGAATAATCCATCCAGGTCAAAAGCACGTCATTGATCCACCGCCAGCGCTGAAGTTCACACATCACGCACGCGGCAACGCGGGCACACTGACACAATGAGCGGGTGTAACGGCATGTGTGTGAGTCAATGACATCCATCATACATACTGGTTCGCACATTCAAAAAAACAGATATATTTTAAACAATGTGTTCTAGCCTCCAGCCCGCTCACTGCCTGTCAAAAGCTGTTGCTGGGCAACAAGGCCACGCATGACAGCAGCACAATGCATCAAAAACAGGTGTGCACAGCGCTGGATCTAAATTTGACATGAGTACCGGTCCATATCCAGATAGCCGTGTGCTGCGTTGTGTCTGCCCATGTTGTTCATATGAATGTGAGTCTGTAGTTTGACACAGCAGCACGTTGAGCCAGCCTAGCTTAGCATGTTAACATTTAATTATTAGTGCTAAATATAAAGTACAGTTGTAGCTGATGGGAATGTGAATAAAGTCCCATTTTAACTTTACGATGGCCCGAGAAGAAAAGTCAGGGGATCAACAAAGTCTCTGCGATACATCTTCTGGCGACCATGAAAGCATGAACAGCCTCCACAGTCTAGAAGATATTTCATTGTGGAACAACGCGTGGAGCAACTGATATTGCAGTCTCTGACACCTCGTTTATTTTAGACTACACTACACGAGTCAAATAAACATTGTATTGAATTGTGTGTGTGTGTGTGTGTGTGTGTGTGTGTGTGTGAGTGAGAGACTCACCGTGTGGCTAGTTTATGGTTAATGACCCCACTGTCTGTGATGACCTCACTCAGACGCAGCTCCAGGTGCACTTTTCCCTGTGGAACGCAAACACACAAACATGTACTTGTCATGCACCGAAACATCCGACGTCCTGCAGAGAAGCTCCCGAGCGCTTCAACGTCAGCCAGGCAGGCCAGGCGCCCAATCACAGGTTTAGACCATGCGTTTGTTTACAACAGAGCTGTCTTGTGACGCAAGAGGAACTTTTACTGACAACAGCATCAATCCAATCCCTGAAATGTTAAACTTCAAGCTTGTTTTATGCTTTGGGTGACAATCCCACTCTCACAATAAAAAATGCAACAGGTACTGTCATGGGTCTCAGCTTGTACAAATGTGTAATCCTCGTTATTGTCCCTCTCTGAAGTGAGTGGATTAATGACATTACGACAGTGCCGTGGTCCAGGTGTCCAGAAAAGCTCCATTAAACATTAAACAGCATCAGTATGCAAACTCACAAGTAGTGAACAAACATGCACACTTACACATGTCAAACAATGTGTCCTCTGTGGAAAAGAGAAGAGGGACACTCTATCTTCCTACATCATTTGATCCGTCTCCCTCGCTTGCTCTCTTTTCTCCCATTCTCTCACACATCCTTCCTCTCCCCGGCTCCTCGGATGAATGTGTCTCTGTTTCGGATCGCTGGTCCAGGGCTGCACACACCCATCTGTCTGCAGATGTTACCGTGTCACTGTGCGTGACATGCGCTGGGTGTGTGCGTACATGTGTGTGTGTGTAGCCATGCGTGAGGGTATGTGAGACTTACTGAAGCACTCAATGGTTGAAAATGTTGCACATATGTCAAATGAGCGTGTGGGACATGTGGGGGGGGGGGGGCGCATCAGCTCGCAGCTGGATTACTAGAGGTGGAACAAAGTTGTTTGTTTTTTTATGTATAAAATGAAATTGACTATTTGGTTTGTTAACAATTTGTGAAGTGGATGCCAGATGAAAAGATTAAAAGCTACAAGTTCACTTTTAAATGCTTCTATGAATTGTGCAGATCAGCAGACAGGAAAACATGTCGTTTTTGGATTTACTTTTGATTCACATACGTAGATGTGTAGACATCTAGGTAGAAGTGCACACATTTCTAATGGTAAAAATTAACATTTCAGTCAACATCTCAAAAAATAAAGGGGTGATTTGCTTTGATGTACTTTTTCCTCCATCGTATAAGAACCGTGAACATATTAGCAACGTTCACTGATATCTTATTATTTGTCTCAATAGCAAATCCAAACCACAACCATACGACCCAAACACACACGTTTTTATCACAGCCAACCTTTCATCAAAAAAAAGAATAAGAGAAGAAGGAAAGTATAGTGATCTTGATCATAACTGCATGTTCACTCTTTACCAGCTGATGGAAAGTGGGTACACGCACAGAGACGCAGGTGACTTTGACCCTGCAGGCTCAGGTGTTTCAGGTGCACACATTCTGTATTTGTTTGGATTCTGCTCTGCTTCAAACATTGAAATGCAAAAACACTATCACACCTCGTAGCACGTACAGTATGCAGGCGTCTGCTGGGTGTCGCTTGAAACCCCCAAATGAGTCTTATCTTGATTTAAGGAATAAGAAGGTTTTCTTCCAAATGATTTAGTTTTCAATTAAAGGAGACAAATTTATCTCCAATTCTAATGCATATATATGTAACTTTTGCTGAACAGCACATTATGAGATTATGTGATTAAAATGCTGAAATGTAGTGTTAATGTAGAATAGGTATAACAAGGTCATTTAGTAATAAACAAAGAAGCTCAGACCAGCTCAGTGATTTTAACATCTTTCTAAACTTACACTAAAATGAAAGTGTGGAAGGTTGTATTATTACAATTAGAAAGGTTGTATTGGATTTAACTTTTCCACAGAACTTATTGCATGAGTAAAGAGTCATATTATACTCACCCCTCTGCCATTCCAGTTTCTATAAAAGGAAATGTTGCAATTCAAGGCAGCTCAATGTTGGTTGGGTGAAGTGGAACATGTGTTGCTGTACTGATGGCATTAGTGCATTGGTGGGAGAACAGGGGAAATTAGAAATATAACCCATGTTTCTGGTATATGCCTGTCAAAGTAATCTGAGCATGCGGCCCACACCAGTCCACTTTGGTCAATATCAAACCGTATCTAGCCCTGAAACTTACTGCCATGTGGTTTCTGCGGAAAGGCTGAGAAGCCAAAAAACAACAGGAGGATCTGTGAGAAAAGAGGAAGAGAGGCGCGCTTTGTTTTCTGTCTGTGTGTCACTGCTTTTCTCTCTGTACTGACCTGCACTTCTGAGTCAGCGCTGACAGGTTGTAGCTGGAACCAGGTGTCTTTGCCGTGATATTTCTGCAAGTCCTCTTTCTTCACTGCAACCTTGCCTGCACGCACACACACACACACACACACACACACACACACAAACACACACATTAATACACAAAATCGAACTTCTTCAGTGTTTCTCCTTGGGTTTTGCAGGGTGCCTCCCCGATATAACGACACTGGCCTTTCCTAAAAGATCTATGTGCTTAGATAGAAGCTTTAACAACTTGGATAGATCACACACACCTGCTGTCAATACACACACTTCATCTCATGCAGGCCCCTGGTGGAAGAATACTGTGCAATAAGCGTGCTGTCGGTGGCCTGGAAATGACCCTGACATTTCCACCCTGAAACTAACTAACAACTTCTCTGTTAACTACACCCATGAAGAAACGGGAGGTGTTGATACAAATCACATCCTGAGAAAGATTCTTCAGTTTGTGGTCCGTCGTATGCACACAAATACAAACCCACCACGATGCACACTGACACGCCCGATGGCACGTACAGAAACATCCGCCCTCACACAAACGGGCACACACCTTTATACAAGAGCCGGCTGACAGGAGTGATATAATCTCCACTTCTGTGAATACTGTTTATTTAAGTAGAATATTTTGAATATCAAATATTTATACCATTTAAAATATATAGTTGTACAGTTTTTGTTCATTTTTAAAAGTGTTATTACTTAGCAGACATATAATCTGGTTGCTGGGTAAACACTATATTTAGGCAAAAACACCTTAAATACAATTTAATATTTTCAATTCATCTGCAAATTTTCACTTTTATAAAAGACGAACCCGGATACATATACAATTCTTTGGAAAACTGGCCTTTTAATTGTTTGTTTACTTATTCGGTTCAGAAGTATTTAATAATTCAAAGCATATTAATGATTGAGAGATTTCCTGAACGTGGCTACGGCTGAGTGGCGGATTTACGGCAAAGCTCAAAGAATGCCAGATACCACCACGGCCTGGGCAGCGACTTCTGCAGCTGCTTACTCACCGATGCTAAAGTCCCTCCTGAAGACGTCCCTGTCGAAGATGTAGAAGGAGAGGTGTCTGAAGCTGCGTGGAATCTCACAGTAGAAGTCCTCCCCGTAGAACGGACTGCAGATTAGAGGAGACACAAGGCCAGCTGGGATTACACACTCCTCTTGTTTGAGTGAATACGTTTCACCACAAAGTATTTATATGTTGAAATATCACAAGAAAGCATGCTGGGAGGGAATTGACTAAACTAAACTAAACTTCCTATTTCCTTCCTATTAGGAACGTTTAACGAGTTATAAAACAGTTTAATTGTAATATTGATGCCTCTATATGACCAAAGTGAACAAGATCTCCAGTGAGAAAATGTTGTATTTCTGTGCCATCAGGTCCAATTCTGGCAAAATCCCACAAAATCATTCAAGTTCTCCAGGAACTCAGGCTGCAGCGGGGCCTCCAGCAGACGGAGCCGAATCAACAGAGAAAGCAGCTTCAGTGTGATAATAACCTTCTAATAATCTGTGTGATCAACCTCGTTTTCATCTCTCTCTCACGCATTTCTTTATCCACCAACTAAGTGACTGATTGATTGGTTAATCTGTAAACCGCTCGTGCCTCGTCCTTAGAAGTCGGGCAGTTGAACCTCCAAACATCATAGACTAAATTCTTTCTTCATTCTTACCCCATAGATGATTGATTTTGTCCCCTGGCCAGACATTTAGAAAACCGATCACATGCCTTTACATGTTGCCGTGAGTCACGTGGACGCTACAACAATGGGCCCGTTTGTGACCACTGGCTGGAAGGTACATCCACTGCCGTGCTCGGCCGTACCTCAACATAGATGAATTACTGATATGAGAAGCTCGTGAGCTGAGCCCTCAGGGTCGCTGCTGACAATTACTGACGTCCCCCGGAACTCCTCCGACATTAAGACAGACCAGTGGACGGACGGGCAGGCAGAACCGCGCTTGAAACTCCAAATGTAATTCAATTAAGTCAACTATGCGAGAGAAGAAGGGGACGTACTCTTTATGTTTTGATTGAATCGGAAATCAAATTTCACTTCGAGTACTTTGTCTTCCTAGCATTTTCCCTTTAGTGTGTTTTCAACATATTTACACTCTCTGTACAGAGGTCTGCTGTGTTTATAATAACACCCAAGTACGGATTCATTCTGCGGCCAAAGAATGCGTGGAATCTTTGTACATAATTAACAGGAGTGAGATCTAGCTGGTAAAAAAACACTTCATCTTTATTAATGTTCAATAGCATCATCTCGACAAAACATTGGCTGAACTAAACTACAGCTCTAACCTGCTGAAGTAAATGTTTTATTCATACTAGTCATTGAGGCACGAAGGTACTGTTTGTGACTAAAATTGGCTGTAATTTTCCTCACTTATCAACCTTTATGTTTTAACCGAAGTGATTTAAATTTGACTTTCACTTTAACTGCGCCTTCCTGTAAATACGGAGTGATGGGATGACAAAAAAAAAAAAAAGGCACGAGGTTGCGTGAACGTACCAAAGCGACTTCTCTATGATCTTGGTCCTGAAGACCTCTTCTTGGTCCAGGTTGACGGTGCAGAAGCAGTCCCTCATCTTGTTTGGCCCCGGGTACGGAGGGATGTTTTTCGCTTCTCCTGCACAAAGAAAAAAGGGAGAGTGGGCGGTTATTATTTAGAAACGCTGCTGTAAGCAGTAGCATCGTGTTAATTCAGGCACACTGCTCTATGCCATTACTTATTTATTAACACTGGAAGCACGCTGGGTTTAAAATGGAACGCTATTATGTAAGTTCACACCTGTTCTGGCTTTGAATAATCTGACCGCCTCACATATAATGAGCTTGGCTCTGCCAGGTAGACTTCTTCTCAAGTGGTCGCAAAGACAACTGCAACATGTTTGTCGTGGTGAAGTGTGATGTGCGCGAGACACATCCTGAATCCTGAGCCCAATGTGTCAAACACGTGTGACAGATAGCACTCCCTCTGTCGAGAATGTGGTCCAGCCACATACACACACACACACACACACACACGCAAACACACACACACCGCACAAAGGTGGTGCTCCACTCAGTCCCTACGGGGCAATTTTGTCCTTGGTGAAGCCGTGCATTCACATTAGTCAGTACTCGGTTCCCTTACTGGGTTTCTCTTCACCCTGAGGACCACAGAGGCTAAAGTAGGCTTAAGTTACGTGCACGTTCGTGCCGCCGCGTCCTTGTTTGCTGCAGTGACGCGCCGTTATCTGCATGCGAATCTGACGCCGCCGTTCGGGCCGACGTCTCGCGCGGTTATTTCTGGCCTTAAATGAGTAACTCTTTAACAATGGCAGCATGGGTGTGCGGCTGGGTTACAATGTTTGCATACTGACACTTTTCTTCGAACTCCAAACATTTTCCGAACACTCGAGGCGCCATTAAATCAATCAATCGATCTTGAGTGATGCTGTAGAAATCTACCACTGCTGTGGCTTTTTCCTAGTGTCTTTTGTTTTAGGCTGTTAACACTTCATCCTTCCTACGGCCTTACCAATAAGTCAAGTTTATGTCCTGCAGCTCTGACGCCTCATGTTTGGGATTGCACAACACAACCAGTTTGAACAACAATGAAAAGGAGTGCGTTTGGGAAACAAGGCGAGTTATCACATTAACGTCACGTCCTAAAGCGCTCAATAACATGCAATTACACAGAACCTGTGATTTATTTACATGCTGGTAGGTCCAATCAGTTAAACGGGCGTCCCTGCACTGAACTGTGACTATTTAACGGTTACGCCTTGTGATATGTGATGTTGTCTTGAACATATGAAAATATGTTGTTGGAATCAATTGTTTTCTTTGTAGCGTGACCCTGAAATCAGGAACAAATACCAGGTGTATGTTTTTAGCTCTTCTACACGTTGAGCAGTTCCTCCAAGCGACGCTCTTTCTCTATTTGCTCACTTGAATATGCAATAAGAGTGACTAATGGCCAGCGTATCTGCTAAATGTCCACTTCCGATGCGTCACTCTGCAAAGAGGGGGAGCAAAGTGTAGAACACGCTGAGACAAACAGAGACGATCGGGTGTCTCTCTTTAGGGTTTGTGGCCCGACGCGGTGCAACAACGCGACAATTCACGGCAACGTGAATTCACAAACGAAAACGACACCTGCGCTGTGAAAGAAGCGGAGCGATGACGCAAGTCTCCCTTATCGCCGTCTTCATCCCTCATCTCCCCCGCCTGCGTCTCTGATCGTCCCTCGTTTATTCTCGCACATTTATTTTACCTCCCTCCTGTAATCCTCCTCTTCTCACCTCTGCTGCGCCCGGATTCTCTCCCATCTGTTTTTTTCCCCCTCCGGCTCTCATTCATGACCTGCGAGGTCCCTTGATTGGATTGCACCATTCAAGTCACCCGAGTAACCAAAACATCACGGGGATTAGCACAGCTTTCGCAGCTCTTTGTGTGTGTGTGTGTGTGTGTGCGTGTGCGTGCTTAATGACTCAAATCACAGTGCAGAAACAAACGTCTGTGCCAAAATCAGAGTTACAGGAGAAAGTTTATATATTGTACGTCACATTCACGCCACAGTTCAACCACTGTTTGAGTGGTTAAGCATGTATAAGCACAATTCTACTCCTAATATTGTATGTTTTCTCAAAATTACTGGTGACCTTTCCACAAACTCTCCTCTTTTTTTTACCCAGCAGCCAGAAGATTCAACTCAACAACATTCAACAATAGGGCATGAAAATCAACGTGCGGGGACTTGCTGGAGATAAGTAATCCATTACAGAGAACATCTATTTGTGTTGAGTCATTCTAAAACACTTCAGAAATGTTGGTTAAAAGTATTCTTTGCAAGTGTGACATGTGAGAATCACAGGCCGAACACTATCGGACGATTACATCTCATCACAGATCGGTATCAGCGTCAAGAAGGCAGAGAAGACAGATTTGATTATTCGTGAACAGCATCACATTACATCGTTTGTCCACCAACGTGAGGTTAGAAGTCCATGTTTCCACCGTAAAAAGACAACTCAATTCATGTTAGTCACGATGCTTAAATGAGCACCGTAGTAAATCAATAGGATCACAATAACAGCTGAATGGAAGCGCTGTGAAATGTGGATAAACATCCTTCAAATGAATATATAAAACACAGAGAAACAGCATGCGGCCGTCATGATTTGTTTGGTGTTTGTTTGGTGTTCCTTTCACTCCCTCCGATTGCAAAACCATGCAATGTAGAGGCCACTTCAATCTACAATGCAGTCTGTAGGTATGAGTCCTCCAGTAGAGTCTCCTGAGCAGCACCGGCCCACTAAGAACCACCGCCACAGACTGAGGGTGACATGTGGCTGCTTCCTGTTTGGGGGAAAAGGAAGTGCTGGGCAGTTGTCTTTCTGGAGGAGACGATAAGCGGCAGAGTTATTCAGTTTGGAGGGAAGTTTATAACAACAGCGATATTGCTTGTGAGTGTGTGTGTTTTTCTGCGATGGAGAGTGAGTCGGATGCAAAAGGAAAGGATGATACTGTCTCAGCTCATTTCTATATTTCTCTCTTACTTTCGTTTCATCCTGGTTCATGTGCTGCCATTTTAATGGTTTCCCTTTTTGTCTTAGCCAACTTTTTCTTTTATTCAGAGAGGGGGGGAGTGTTGTCGGGCTCGCGTTTCTCCACATTGTCCTTTTTGTTTCCCTTTCAAAATTAACCTCAACCTGATTTCACTCTCCTCTATTTCTGGTTACATCCTCTTTTTCTCCCCTTCCTCTCATTTACTTTCTCCAGAGGCGATGCGCTGTTTCTACCCAAGATTCAGAATAAGCATTAAAGCCTCTCTCTTCTCATCAAGCGTCGCTGCCCTTGGAGAATACGTTGCCTTTGGGATCTTTGGGAAAACACAGTGCAAAGACAACTGCAGCGAAATAATGATGACACCCCAAAGAGGGTGAGAGTGAAGGGGAGCGCTTTGGCACATCAACAAAAAAAAGGTTGTCTCCCCGCCTCATTCCTGCAGAGGAAAGTGACGAAAAGGAGGCGAAGACGGAAGAAACGAGGAAGCACAAGCGATGGAAGCGATGGACGGTTGGCTCGTTTCATTCGGCCTCTCTGCTGCGTGAAGTCACAAGTCGTCCTTCTAATCTCCTCGGACATGAACGCGTTTGGACGCGAGCGCTTTCGGTGGCTGCTGCGCGCTCGACCTCGCAGGCCTGGGGAACACAGGCTTGCAGGGAAGGAGAGCAGGGAGGGGGGAGGGGGGGGGGGGGGATTGTCTGTGAGCAAAATACAAGCAGTGTACTCTACTCAATCAAGGGCGAGAGAGAGAGAGAAAGTCACACAGAGAGAAAGTCGACAGAAAACTGGAGAGTGGTTAGTTTTGGAGAAAGCTACAACAGGAAATGATATGAGGGGAAAGGAATTCCAACTGGGTCCAAGATGTAGTTTAAAAGGCAGTGAACAACCCCGTTACCCCTGTGTGTGTGTGTGTGTGTGTGTTTGAGATAGAGAGACACCGTGAGAATGGAAATAAGGACGATTTATTATCCTACAGTTCCTCTGAAGGCCCTAATTAGAGACTCAGAACAAGAAGTGAAATAAACCTGTAAGTCATTAGTGTCTTTCCAAAAAGGACACACACGGAGCCGCACTCTTTGGATGTATAGAGCGGCAGCTTTGATCCCACAGTAAAATGTGTGTGCTGTGTCGTTGGAACAAGAGCTGCAACCCCGATTTAAATTCAACACGAGGACGTTTCTTCATCATTTACTGCGTGAAAGGAGAAACAGCACTCATTAGCAGTGTTCGGATCCCCCGGTCACATGTTAGAATGTGTCACAAACAACCACACGTCTGACTGTGGGCCAAACTCCAAAACTTCCCATGGTGCAACGCAATGTTTCTTAGGCCTCCGCTGCCTGCATTTGTCAAACAGACTTGAACTCACAGTGAAGCAATTTATGTGTATTTCACAGTCGTAAATGCAGATGGTGTGAGGCCTCGTGCGGGCTCAAAAACACTGTACGAAAAGTAAATAAACTTTTATGATTGTCGCAAACCCTTTAACTGATGATTTCTTTGTAGTCGTAGTAGAACGATGAAAGTTAAATGGTCATCTTACTACTACCAAAGAGTTCCTTCCCGTCGGCAGTCGGGCTCATCAACAGAGCCGCTGACATCCCACCTTCACGCTGCACATGCACCTGTCACTTTCACTTGTCACTTTCTGTTCGCTGGTGCACGTTATTTTTGACTTTTTAAACTTTTTAACTATTTTTAATTTAAATTCATTGGCATGTTTGTCTTGCACTATGTTGTCTTATCTGTCTTGTTGGCCATTGTCTTACTGTATGTATGATGTTGTGCACCAACCGCCTAGTCAAATTCCTTGTATGTGTATGTGGTAATAAATGGTCCTGATTCCTGATTTCTTGTGGGTTTCACGTATGCAGAAGCCTGAAAACCATCTTCAGCAAATGCATCCAACAAGAAAATGCCATTGAAATGAAGGGCGCGTCGTCTTGGTGTTCTGTTCTCTTGAAACCTCCACATGTCCGGATTATAGCAGAAACTTTCCATTAAGGAGTCCATTGAAGAGCCAACCTCTCCAGAGCACACCTCATCACAAGTTAACTGCCCGTGAACTACGTCAAAACAGAAAAACAAACACCAATGTGATTATTTGGGGCAAAAAACACAAATGTATTAACCGCCATGAGGCCCAAATCAGCACTAATTCACCAATTCTTAAAAAGCAATCAGCAACAGGCAAACACACACACACACACACACACACACACACACGCTCACGTTGAAACCCACAATCAATAAAAACCTGTTAACCCCTGAAACCATGGTTTCCCTCTTCCTCCATCTTTTCAATATTCATGAGTCAGACTTGTCGCAAATAGTGTGTAGAAACGTTGTTGAGCAGCTCGAGGAGGAAAAGCTTGGGGGGTGGGGGGGCACAGTTACAGGCTGCGATAAAACACCTTTCGGTTACTGATCAAACTCGCTCTCCATCTAGTGCGTCCCGGAGCTAATGTTCAAACAGATCCGTTAGACTCAATGGAAAACTTGGTAGTCCAGTGAAGTCAACACTGCGTGTGGGAAAAATCTGCATTAAAATCTGCTCAAAAGTTCCAAATCGGGGTCTGACACCTGGTGTGTTCCCATAGAATGTGTCTTTCAGACCAGTGTGGTGCTTAAAAGTACATGGAGCTGCTCTCACAGGTTGCCATGGCCCCATATATGTCCATTTACACAATACTCGTCTTAAGCAAATGAAAACAAACAGATGAGTACAAGCCTCCCCTGTAGCCGCGCTCACACACACACACACACACAGTGATGTGGCGATACGATATCTTTTGCACGCACAGGAAAGGGAGAGCAGGTCGGCTGTAGCCCGTGTGTGGCAAGCTGACATTGCTCGTGTTGCCATAGGAGAGCAACACTGTTGCAAAATCCGATTTAATCAGCGTGTTTTTTACCACATTTTTCACCACTTTTCTGTTAAACCCATTCGGCCCCCAAGATGGAAACGATACGTAGACGCGCTTACGCCAATTCCAGGGTTTCTCTCTCTGCAGAGCGGCATGGCGAGTGTTTCCCAGCAGGTGGAGGTCAGGGGGGGGGGCGTGAAGGACGTCCTGGAGGAGCTGTGCTCCTTTGTTTACCCCCCCGCTGACCCTGCATGCTGGCCCTACGCCGTCACTTCCCCGTTGTTTCTGGTACTGTTTTCTGGCGGAGGAGGGGGGTGGGGGGGGCGTTACCGACAGCGGCTGTACTCGGCCCGGATTATTCCACCAGCCCCGAAGACGCCCGCGGCGAAACACGGCGCGCGTCTCAACAGTCAACAAATGTGTTTACAGCCAACGACTTCCCAGAGAGCCCCGTCCTTTCCCGTCCCCTCTCCTGTCACTCCGTGTTTCCTAGTCATTCTGGACAGGAGGGAGTTTGGGAACCCCCGGTTGGCCAGGGGGGAGGCAGTGAGAGAGGGGGGAGGGGGGAGGTGTTCTCTGTCACTCTAGAGTCCTCCAAATTCTTCCGACCTCCACGATGTGTACGTGTTTCACTCCTTCCGACAGGGGTCAGCGGCCTGGTGCGTTCAGGTGGAGCAGCTTACAGGCAGAGCTGCACGTTCACTGGAGATCATCTACTCTCAGGCCAATCCAATAACCCACAGAGCTCCGGGAAGACCTGAACCTTTCATTCGGGGGTCAAACCTCGAACTGTAAACGACGCTGCAACATTTATCGGAATGAATAAACCGCACACCGACTAGCGCGTGGTCGGGGGCCCGAGCACGTCAAAACCACGACTCCGGCTGTGGTCCCGGGGGATCCCCCCCCCCCCTCCCGCCCCCGTCTCCGCGCGGGGCCGTCGGATGAGTCTCAGCCCGCTATCCACGCGCGAGACGCCACCTTCTGTCCCTCGCCCCGTGTCTCCCGCGCATCTGCTTTGCATTAGCCTGTTGCCATGCAGGAAAAAACACAATTCTTTTGTAGTCTATCCCAGCCAATCAGGAAGTGAATCGGGGGGGATGTTTCCTGTTTCCTGTGGCAGCCAGACTGAACGGACTCGGGGCCATGTAGCGACGCACGTTTTTTTCTATGCAAAAAGCGTCATGACCTGGCGGAGGGAGAAGAACACAAGTCCTCCCTGTTTATCCCTCTCTTCTACAGATACCTGCAGACTACGAGCTGTGACTCATACGCCAGCCTCAGTGGTTATACATGGGTCACACAGACAGGAGCGGAGCGCCTTGGGGGGATCAGACTGACAGCCAGTGTGACTGCTGCTAGGTAACAAGTGCAGAGTCTCCTCTACCGGGCTCCCCGTGCCACACCAACAAGGAACTCCGGCGACGTTGATGTTCTTCAACAAGTCGTCACATACAATAAAGCTTGTGAGATATTTTTCCAGATATTATTCTTGCCTATGAAGGAATTAATTCAGTTGTGGTTGTTGTGCAGGTGTTGGCAGGGTGTCGCAATTGGTGTTATTAACAATTTATTTGTATTTAAAATGTAATGAAAATGTTTTCAAGGGTGTCTTGTTTTTGTCTAATCAACAGCTCAGACCTAAAGATATGAACTCAAACATATCAAATTAAAATCTTTCAATTTCAGAGGCAGAAAATAGCTAATTTGTGGCGTTTTTGCTCGAAATAACGAAACCCATAGTTTTCTATTATTTTTAAGGTATTTTACTTATAAAAAAAGATTTACTTACTTTATTTACTCTCATTTAAAATTTAAAAACAAATTCAGCTCAACCAACTACAACAGTGAAATATGACATAAATACATTTTCACTAATTCAGTATTTATTGATATAATAACTCACAGGGGGGATTTCTTTCAGCATTGTGTCCTTACATTTTGGGCACATTCTACTTAAGTAACATTTTCAAAACTAGATTTGAACTTGGACAAGTATTTGACCATTACCTAAACAATGGATGTGAATGCTTCCGGCACCACTGCACTTCGCTGGCGTGATTAGTAAGCGCGATCGTATCTCGGAAAGAAGTTCGCCGTCCTCCGCTCACTTTTCCTACACAGGAACTCACCGCTGCTGGCTGACTGAACATTCATTCACAAAGTGCTGCAATCGACAAAGGCCTTTGTGAGTTAACACAACAACTCCCCTCCAGCCTCCCTGGGGCTGCACGATTTGATCAACTCAGGGCGCTTCTCCCTGCAGCTGTTTACCGACGATTCTAACGGCAGACAAGAGCTCCAAAACGCGCTTAACTTTGAGCATCGACTCGACTGAGAAAAGGTCTAAATGCTGGCTGGCATCAACGCACGGCATCGCAGCTAGTGTGAGTGTTTGTTGTCATTTTTCTTCTTCCTCTTCTTCTTCTACGCTCATCCCGCCTGTCGCATGGGTGATGGGCCCGACAGATGTCAAGGGAAACTGCAGCAGACGCTTCCAAAACGTCCCGTGTTGACCCGACAAGCCAGTTTAGAGCAGACGGAGGAAATGACTGTTTGCTTTAAATGTTTTGATGTAAAAAAAAAGGCAAAGACAATATAAACACCATAGTGACACAGTACAGGAGTAAGATTACTAACACTGCAGGAACAGTTGGTTAACAATGGTTTGACAGAAACTTCATTTCAATCACTTTCATTAAAATACTGAAACCACCGCCCCAAATTCTCAGAAAACGGTATCTCAAATATGAATTCCTACAGCTTTTGTAGGTTTTAATTGACTGTACATATAAAATGTTTGGCTTTTCAACTATGGATTAATAAAAAACTATTTGATGGCAACAAATGACTTGATTTATCAAGAAAACTACATTCAGATTAGTGACAATATTGATAATCACCCTAACTTAAATAAAGTAAAGATCACGAGTGCACTTCAAGCTTAAGAGTAATGTGATTTCTCCCTCCTGATATTACAACTATTTCCACAGTATGACGACCTAGTGTAATCCATGAGAAACAGAGGGCTGTTGTGTAGTTACAGTTTTACAACAAATAAAAACAAGAAGACCAACTTCTCTCCACTAAATGCTCCATGGCTCACTGTAAGCCTCCTCAGATATGAATGCACCACATTCCTCCTGCAAACCAAGGGTGCTCACTGGAGACCAGCTAGATATCTAAAAATAGATATGTGGGTTAGCGATCAATAGCTAGACGGTTTAACATAAAGGTGTTTCGTGGGGGGCTGGGTGGGAGGAGTGGCGGGGGTTGTGTTCAATAACATGAATGGTGTAATAAAGGCGTATTTGAGCTCAAGTGTCAAGTGAAAGCATCTGGATGTGTGCAGCTGTGGAGTAAGAGTCTCCATACGTGGACCTCTGACACATGATTTGGGTTCTTCTGCCAGCTGCCTAATTCCCACAAAGCTTCGAATCCCTCGATTATTACACTTTTTATTTACTATTCTTTCTTTTTGTATCAATCTGCAGTTTACAGCGCTGGGAGGAACGCGTGTGATTGGAATCACAATAACAGACGGAACGAGACGGATCAGCATTCAGCCCCCCCCCTTCCTCCTCTCCCCCCCGCGCACCCCGATCCCCCTCACCCGCCTGGCCTGTTAACACGGAGCCATCCATAAAGGCGCTCAGACTGGGGGGGTGGGGATTTTTCGTTTTCGTCTTACCTATTTTTATTTTAACGCTCTGGAAAACCCGGAGACCTTCCTCTTCTACCGCCATGCTTTCCACCGTGGCTCTTTCCCTTTTCTTTTTTGACGACTAGATAAACACAGCCGTCCACGGTGGTCGGTTCTGGCCTCTCCAGCGCACGGATAATCCAGGGGTTTTGCACATCTATGCTCTGCGGACAGCGATCATACTCCGGTCCCGATCACTTGCCTCTGCTGTGTGGTTGCGAATAAACGGGCAGATTCGGCTTCAGTCCCGCAGCAGCAGCGCAAAAGGAGGCGTGGCTCCATATGACACCGCCCACACAGTGTATGGAGGGTGATCCGTGCTGCTTGGGGGGGAGTGGTGCCATAGAGGAAACCGAGGACAGCCTCCCACTGTCATGTCATAATGGTTAAAAAAAAAATTCTGGTTGTGAAAATAAAAAGATTCTTAATAATAATGATAAACAAATAATATGGGTGTATAGCAGAAATGCATGCGTTTTTAAGATTAAAAGGATTAAAAGGTGGCAGTATGACGTTTGCCTGGCTCCAGACCTTTGAACACACCCACTCCACAAATTCAAGTTGACTGCTCGTGACATTAAAGCCAGGCTGGGTTCAAATTGTCAAATTTTCTTATGGAGGTTCCTAACTGAGTGAAATGACCCCGAAGTGGTGTAAGTGGCGGCCATGATAAGAGCTGTTTGAATTGTCTAATGCTAAGGAAAACAGCTTCAGTGCTTTCCTACTTAGCTCCTTTAGCATAGGAACCACTGGACCATCCTTTACGAAAGGAAAGGAGTCAATTCCCAACAGAACTATGTAGCTTAGTGAAAATGCAGTCGGATTCCCTAAACACTTTCTTTTCCTAACTCCTCATGAATTCTGCTAACCATCCAGCGCTCCGGTGGTAATACCAATTAGCGAATCAGCTCAAGGGGCGGGACCAACGCCATTATCAAGATCAACATGGTAGTGTCTTCCTATCTAGCTGTGCTCCACTCTTCAAACCCTAGCTAAACCAGTGACGATTTAAAATGGCGTTCCCGTTTTCAGGCAAATACTTAATAATGCCTTTCTACTTAAGTATCACCAATTTTAGAACTTGAAACAGGAATATTGTGTACGAATCACAAACAAATATATGAAGGCTTCACACCGTTCAAAATGTTATCTTGGCTCCAATCTCCACTGTTTGAAAATGCTCCAAACACAACTCAAATAAGTTAAAAAATGTGTTGCGCAAACTAGTCAACAAAATGTGAGCCCAGTGGTTCTTATATACATGTTTTTCATTGAAGCTATAAGCTGAAAACTAGACACCACATCATTAACGCTGATTCCAGTGATATTTGTATTATTTCTCCCAGACTAAGCATGCCAAATTTCCAACAAGTTACAGCATGGCAAATTAAAATGACTATAGTTTTCAGACAAAAAAGATATTTCAGATTTAACTGATGTAGTGGCTCAATAAATATACACTATAAATAAGTAAGGGATCATGTTGACCAGAGTTCCCCCTTAAAAGGTGTCTATCCTTTTTCATGTCTGGCACATATGTCAATCATTAGTAAGCAGACTAAATTATTTATTTATTTTTACATATAACTCTCACTACTGCGTTAATAGGAATTAGAGCTATTGTCTAGAAATATGTTTCGGATCAGCATGTATAGTGTCTATGTCATGTCTGTACATTGTCATGTTGGAATATTTGACCTCTCAGATTGACCTTGGAAATAGAAGCACTAGTTTTGGTGACACTAGTTCTTCTCTTCCTATTTCTCTTCCAATCACCTCTCATACAGGCTTTGATGCTCCTGCTCCTCTTTGGCATTAATCACCCCCTATAGAACTACTACGTCACCAGGCTAGCCTCTGAATTGACAGGAACTGACTTATATGTTATGTATGTTGAACAATTTAGAAATATTCAATTGTAGCCGCTGACAAAGCTGGGTCACTGCACTCAAATGCTTCAGCATCATATGTGTACCCTCCCCCTCTGAAACATTGGCGATGCATGTTCGGTGGCTGTGCAGCGTTAGTCCCCCTTTATGAGCCCCACATGCAGCAGCACCAGGTCTGACTCTACTGGGTCCCTCCAGATTGTTTCCTTCATCAAATAAAATACAAAACAGCTTCAAACGCTCATTACTGTGCCGCAAATGATCTATTGCTGTTGCCGTGTGCTGAGCTTTAGAGGCCGTATACCACTAAGGATTAGCCTCTTTCATTAAGGTCACTGCCAAACGGAGGATATGCTGCACAATACCATCCTTTCAAACGTGAAGCTCAGTGACATGTCAGGCTGTCGCAGGAAGAGGAAACTGCTTTGACCTCTGGAAACTAAATGAATGGATCAATATGTGACAACCAGCAAAACGTTCACTAGAGTTGAGGAGGGGACTTTTTGGTTTCCCTAAAGCATGGCCTCACGAGGACAGAAAAGTGAGACAGATGAAGAATAGAAACCGTTACCACTTTAAGTCATTATTGAATGTCATGTGATGTCATGTGTTACATTTCAAATAACCACAAATTCCTCTGCAAACGGATAATGCACATCAACCATAGTGAGCATTAATAGAGTTAACCTATCTCAACGGTTTGCATTCTGTTAAAAAAAAGGTTGCCAGACTCTTGTAACTGTTGTAGTCAATCAATATTTCTTGAATGGCCAAATGATTTAAAATGGGTCACCGGCACATTAAAAAATGCTAATGCTTTAACCGAATCTATGCTGACGGCGAGCTAATGGAAACAAGGTCATTAAAAAATCACGAAAATTGTTTGTTGTGTTTTGAGAAAAATCGACCAGATGGAAGAATGGACGAGGTCTCTTGGTGGGAGGGAAGGCTGGAAAAGGGTTTAACGTCCATTCAGGTGAATGACACGGGATCATCATCAGCCCGCACTTGAGGCTGTCGGACCACGCCTCTGAGGTCATGACCACGTTCCTCTAAATAGCCTGACTGCGGTCTGGAGCGCTCTGCAAGCCCAGCTGGCCGGACCCAACCCAGAGGAGACGTGGGACTGAAAGAACAGTCGGGGCGGTCTCTCCACCGGGAAGGACGGTTGGCTGCAGTGCTTTCTCTGCCAGCTCAAGTGTTAGGATTAGCTGTGACTCCTTTGGAACCGCTCTAAATCTAATTACGCTATATGTCCCATTGCTACCGTCAGCTTGTGAGACGGTTCTGTTAAAGGGAAATGACCCATCTCCAAACAACAACAACAACAGCCCCTGCAGGCACTAAAGTGACTAAAAACTAATTGCATTAATGCCTCATATACTTCTACTCAAGTACATTTTAGAAGGAATTATTGTATATTTTACTCCACTGCATCATTTGACCCATTCAGTCTCTGGCTACATGGCAGATTCAGATCATCAGTGGAGGGAAGCATCATCAAACATTAGTCAATATTTCACAAAAAAGTTGTGTAATTGTGTATAAAGTTGCAAAATGAAAACAGATTGAGGAGGATAAGGTTGTTTTTTCTAAACATCTGACTTCCCCTCAGTTTTCTCCTGTGACCCTTTGGTGGGAACCTGACAGTAAAATGCTGCTTACACTGATGCATTATTATAACGTAACTAAAATGTCTCATAATAGTATAACACTCACAGAACAAGTTCTTTAACTTGCAGTAAGTTTTGCTTATAACTCATTTGGGAAGTAATTTTACAATGTTGTATTGAAACTTCTTCCATCAGTGCAAATCATCAATATAAAAACACAAATAGCAAAAATGCTATGATACATTGTATTAGAAAAGCTGCCCAACAGTATATCAATTTGTTCAAAATCAGCTCTTAAATTGTACCAGCTAAAAAATTAGCAACTTTACACGTTGATGATCCATATGTAATCATTGCATATTCCAATATTTTGATGCTAAAATGCTACAGAAATGTATTTTTAATGCATGTATTTCACTTACAGTACCAGTGAAAAGTATACTGGTGTATCTGAGCACCTTTCCTACCACATAGTGAATGTGTATTCTGTGCCTGCGTATCAGTGACCGTTAATCCAATTTGCCTGACTTTGGTTATCTCCTCTCAAATAATTTTGACACTATTTACACATAACCATGGTGTATACGCAACCCTAGCACGGCTTAACAGGGCAACAATGTGGGTTCTTTATGTTGGCCACATCCTGCCAGCTGCATGTTTGTGCAGCTTGTGGTTACATGGGAGAGAGATTTTGGGCTCTACCTTTACTCAAAGTCTATTTAGCACGGCAGGTAACCCGTGAACTCTCCTCTTATCTATACATTTTCATGCACAGACGCAACACCAGTCAAATCAGCAAAATATAACACACTGCAAGAGTAGAAGGGTTGCCTCTATCCTACAACACCAACCAAGGTACCGTCATATCCGCCAGTCAAAATTATAGTTGGAGAACACTGTTTTTTTTGTGGCTGTGAATGCGCGGCATCACAAAGAGAAATAACGTTTTAAAGACGTTAATGACGTGTGTTTATTTCAGTTTAGCTGAACTGGCTACGCCCTGTGGTGAACTACCACAAGCCTGTGTGTGTGTGTGTGACACTGAATCTGTGTGTGTGTGTGTGTGTGTGTGCAAATGCTATAAAACAAAAAAACAGAAACAGGCCCTCCTGTTGTGGATCTCTAACTTACCACGGGCAAAGAAAAGTGAACAAGGATGTCAAAACAAGCGTCAGCTTGGCATCAAACAGCGCGTGTGTTTGCATTTGTACGCCTGACAATGAAGAGCCACGGACGGATAGAGGAAGAGAAGGCAGATGCTGTCTCTAAGCAGATTAGTGAAAGGATGCTCACTGTTGTTTTATTGTGCACGAGCCAGCCACCGGAGGAGGGCGCGGCACACTTAAAATAACTGCACACCAACAATTTACTCTCCCAACCGTGGCTTACTCTGTATTTTTTTTGTGGTACGAGCACCCACCGTAATATACAGTGTACGCCTGTGAATGTATACGGTATACATGACACAGACGGGGAGTTCTGAGTTGAACAGATGGTGATTGACATGTGCTAAATTAATCGGGTACTATGGGGGGGGGGCATAAAATCCCAGTACATAGGACCTGAATCAAGGATTAAAAGATTGAATGTGATCTAGCGTTGAGGACAGATCACCAATGCAACTTTATCTCTATTATTTCCAGCTTACATATTTGCAGAACGTCCAAGTCGATTGTTTCCCCATCGCAGCATTCTCAACATCTGGAGAAGATAAAAATACTAAAAGTAGAAATCCTGTTCCCCATAGTTATTAATTGGGTTACAGAAAAACTAATCAGACACATATGCAGATATGGGCAGTCATTGCTCCACAAAGATTTGTACAAAAATCAACCTTTTGTAAATGTCCTACAGTCTCTGATTTGCAGGGGTGACTATTTTCATTATGTAATCCTTCCAACCACTTAAGCGAGTTTGAGTTACAGTCTAACGATATACAGCAATATGGGATTTTTGATTTGTGCAAGCGGCGACAAAGTTGCATGACTTGTTTAGATAAACATAAAACTTTAAAAAGCTAAATCCTTAGCCGTCAATGTCCATTATGTCGTCCATAAATATATTGTACAAAAGTCATTTATTTTCAATTGCCAAAGCAGAACTGACCAACTTGGCCACACATCCCTTCCGTTCAGTTTAATAAGCCCTTTGGAACAAGGAGAACAGTGTGTGACAAAAGCAATGCCACAACTATCGGTGTTATAGCGCCACCTAGTGTGCATTGTGGGCCAGACAGAGGCAACAGTCATAAAGAATATTTTAAACTTGTCTGAGGGTTTATGCCGTTGTTAATTTGGACTGGCTGGTCTAATGCAAACCAGTCAGTTTCACCTTTAACTTGGTCCTCTTTGTTAATGGGGGCCACTGGTCAGTTGGTGTCACGGCTCGTTGCCATGGAGACATGAGTTAGGCCTGGGGCAGGGAGCACTAAAGATCAGCAGCTCAGCTCTGCGCCGTGTTCAGACAGTTGAACAAGTCCACATACCGACACACGTGGCACCGATGCAGCACAAGGCATCTGCTGTTTTAGCTCTGTGTTCAATATATCACAATACATGTAATTTTCATTCATATTTTGTGTCACATGGTGAACTCGGAGCTTTCACCCAGAAAAGCCAGGGTACGGGCTTTGAATGCTAGATAAGACGGCATTGGGCATGATCAGCCAAATGCTGTCATATGCAGTATATAATGTCGAATGTCCGGTTCAACCAAGGTTACAGAGGGTCGGCTTGCACTGCCGCTTTAAACGGCTCTCCGCCCGGTCTATCTCACCCGGTGGTTCTCTTCCCTCATTTCGCCGCTTTGTTTTCACTGTCGCTCTTTTGACCATGGCTGCTCATTCCACCGAAGAACCGTTCCCCTTCCACGGGCTGCTCCCCAAAAAAGAAACGGGTGCCGTGTCTTATCTTACCAGGTTCCCCGAGTACGATGGCCGAGGGGTCCTCGTCGCCATCCTCGACACGGGCGTGGATCCCGGGGCCCCCGGCATGCAGGTAAATCTGACCCGCTGCCTCACGTTAGCTACTCACATAGCTGGTGCTAGCTAGCAATGCTAAAGGCCCCGCTCGTTCACGTTAGTTGTAATTAAGGTAACACACTGTCTACCAACGCTGGTAGCTACATGGCTAGCAAAGACAAGAACACCGACTCTGACGGTTAGCCACGTAGCTGGTTTGACAACCAAATGAACAGAAAGTAATGGATAGCAGGCACTTTCTCCCTGCTGTCTAATCGTGTGTCGGTGTTAAAACAAATGTACGAGCACCAACGGTAACGGTTAGCTCGGTGGTTTATCTGCTAGCATGTTAGCCTGACAGCTAACGGTTGGATTTGTGTTGGCCGTCATTCTCCTCAGTCACTTCGGTTTCCCTGCCAGGTGCTTCCAGTACATTAATCACCCGCGATCTCTTAGTTGTGGTGAAGTGAGACGTGAGGTCAAGTGGTCCACGAGTAGATGTTTTAACTTGACGTTACTGCCAAGTCACACCGTAATTATTTAATTAAATAATCATTCTTTTAAGCTGAAGTTAATGTCTATGTAACCACTTGCGTTAGTTACGTACGTAAACGTGTTTGACGTATCGTTGCATTAAACTTAAGGGCGATCGTTTCATTTTCAGTCAAATGTCACCTATCAAATATGTACGTTACATGGACAATTCTGTTACACGCCATTACAACGGTATTCAGCAGGGTTAGTACATCATTTAATTTAATTCAAGTTGAGTTGACAGCCCTCCCTGATTAAGATGTGCTGTTGCCCTGAATCCCTCTCAGCCTTAATTTTGTGATTTAAGGTCCTGATTATTTTCTTAATTCCTGCTTCTTTAGGTCACAACTGAGGGGAAGCCAAAGATCGTCGACATCATCGATACGACGGGCAGCGGGGACGTGAACATGAGCACGGTGGCCGAGTCTAAAGACGGGACAATCCTCGGCCTCTCTGGTAGAACGCTTAAGGTCAGTGGCCACCCCAAATACTAATAATAGAAACAAAACAAAATGAATAACAGCTGTCACATAGGACATGTTCCAACGCAGGTATTTGTCCTACATCATTTTTAATTCAATCTGTGTGGCCCCTTTTTAAATCTAATTATACTCTACTAGATTCTGAGAGCAACACTTTGTTTCCGTCTTCATATTATCGTGGTCTTTTTATGTCTTCCAGATCCCTCCTGCCTGGGTCAACCCGACAGGGAAGTACCGCATTGGAGTTAAAAATGGCTATGAGTTCTTCCCTAAGGCTCTCAAAGAAAGAATGCAGGTAGATAGCACGTCCCAGTGTTGGATTACTACAACGTAATAGGTTTATTTATTATTACTAAAACTATAATACACAATGAATGAAAAACAATTCGCTCGCCATCCTGTGTGGATCTCTCATGTTACTTTTGTTTTGCTTTGATCCACTAGAAAGAGCGAAAGGAGAAGATGTGGGACCCACCACACCGAGCAGCAGTAGCTGAAGTCTCTCAGAAGACGGAAGAGTTTGACCTCTCTCACCCAACACCCTCACAGGTCAGCCACGGACCTGAGTTCTTTGTGAACCCGTCATGCAGTTTCTAGTCACAGTGCTTTGTGTTTAAAAAAAAAAAAGTCTCTCCCTCCTGTTATTCTCCTCCTTTCTCTCTCAAGGTGGAGAAGTTGCAGAAGGAAGAGCTGCAGAGTCAGTCAGAGTTGCTGGCATCGTTGGAAAAGAAGTACAGTGATCCTGGTCCTGTGTATGACTGTGTGCTTTGGCACGATGGCGTCACATGGAGGCAAGCAAAAAACGTTTTTTCCCTTTCATACGTGATCTTTTTATTATTTTTCCTTTTTTTTATTTTGAACCTTTCTTATGTTTTATCATTCTTGTTCGTTCTCCTTAGGGCTGTAGTCGATACTTTAGAGAGTGGAGAACTGTCCCAGTGCACCGTGCTGAGCGCCTACAAAGAGACGCAAGAGTACGCAACGTTGGGCAATGCTGAGATGCTTAACTACTCTGTTAACATCTACGACGAGGGAAACACACTCTGCATTGTCACCAGTGGAGGTGAGCTGTCCCGAAGCACACAGGATCTATTTCCTCTAAAATCTTCATAAGATTCAGTCAGTGGCCACAGACGGCTGTACACCTTCACCTTTAAAGGTCGCATTATATGTAGAAGTCCACTACATATTTTCCACTTCAACTTGTTTGTGCGCTTTTTAAAGGCGCTCACGGGACACATGTGGCAAGCATTGCAGCCGGCTACTTCCCAGAAGAACCTGAGCGTAACGGCGTGGCCCCCGGTGCCCAAATCCTGGCCCTGAAGATTGGAGACACCCGCCTCAGCACCATGGAAACAGGCACAGGACTCATCCGAGCGGTATATTGCTGAGACAAATATAGATTATCAGTTGGCTTACCCTTTTTTCCATCCCACCCTTTAATTTTTTTTCTTCTCCATTCTCTCTCTTGTCACTCAAAGATGATTGAAGTCATCAACTACAAGTGTGACCTGGTTAACTATAGCTACGGAGAAGCCACCCACTGGCCCAACACGGGGTAAGTATTGCAACAGCATATATGTGGGGGGGGCGGCTTCACAACAATGTCTGAATTGATGTCAATCTGTCCCCTTTCAGGAGGATTTGTGAGGTGATCACAGAGGCTACGCAGAAGCACAATGTCATATTCGTTTCGAGTGCAGGAAACAACGGGCCGTGCCTCTCCACCGTCGGCTGCCCCGGGGGAACCACCAGCAGTGTCATAGGTACGTTCACTGAGGACCTCCAATCACTTGATTATCCTTGGTCTACAACTTGACTGGTCTACCACGTTTTTGACCGTCATTACAATAAAACATTGGTCTGTTTTTATAATTGAAATTGCGATGGCAGTTAAAAGACAAAACAAATATATTGTCAGCTTTAAATGTCTGTATTCATTTTCTTTTCATGCCTCCTTAATCCCACTCCCTTCTTTCCACAGGAGTTGGGGCATATGTGACTCCGGACATGATGGTGGCAGAGTATTCTCTTAGGGAGAAGCTACCTCCCAATCAGTACACCTGGTCATCCAGGGGCCCGAGCACAGACGGGGCCCTGGGTGTCAGCATCAGCGCGCCGGGCGGGGCCATCGCCTCCGTACCCAACTGGACACTTCGTGGCACCCAGCTGATGAACGGCACGTCCATGTCCTCCCCTAATGCTTGTGGCGGCATCGCACTAATCCTCTCAGGTGAGTGCGGGTTCATATTCGACACGGGAACAAACTTTCCTGGTATGGAAATGCAAATCTAATGCCAGCGTCTGTTTTTTTTTCTCTGTGCTTTTAAAGGAATGAAGCAGAGCGGGATCCGTCCCTCTGTTCCTGCGGTGAGGAGAGCGCTGGAGCACACGGCTCTGAAGATTGACGACATCGAGGTGTTTGCACAGGGTCATGGAATAATCCAGGTAACTCTTAGTCCATAGTCATTTTCATTTGTTTGGCCAGTTCTTTGGACGTTTCTGTGTGCCATCCCGTGACCTACTCCCTTTCTTCCTCCCAGGTGGACAAGGCATTAGACTACCTCACTCAACACGCCACTTTACCCACAAGCCACCTTGGCTTCTCAATAAGTGTGGGATCACAAAGAGGCATCTACCTCAGGGACCCAGCCCACGTTCTCGCCCCCTCAGATCACGGAGTAGGAATTGAACCCGTCTTTCCGGAGAACACGGGTACCGGTCACATTTAGAAGCACAATCATTTACAACAACGGCATTTTCAGTGTTTTCTCGTCTTTTCACACCATCTGTCTTCTTTCAACGCCCACCGCAGGAAACTCTGAGCGAATCTCCTTGCAGCTCCACTTGGCGCTCACGTGTGCCGCCCCGTGGGTCCAGTGCCCCTCCCATCTAGAGCTGATGAACCAGTGTCGCCACGTGAATGTACGCGTTGATCCTGTGGGACTGAAAGAGGGAGTGCACTACACAGAGGTAGGGACGGGAAGGAGAGCAGGGCGGAAATAATCACTTCGTCTATTGATGCTAATCTGGACACTTTGAACACGTGCTGCTTATTTTTAGGTCTGCGGGTATGATACAGCAGCACCAAGCTGTGGCCCCTTATTCAGAGTCCCAATCACATGCATTATCCCCACCAAGTAAGTCCTTGCATCATATTGTTTCTTTTTTTCCTTTCTGTCTGTCGCCACCACAAGAGGTTTAAAATGTGTCTGATGTGTCTCTCTTTCATCTGACAGAGTGACGGATACCCGTAATCAGGAGGTGGGTTTCACAGACGTCCACTTCAGGCCCGGCCAGATCAGACGCCACTTCATCACCGTTCCTCAGGGAGCCTCCTGGGCAGGTCGGTGGGCTTGAGAAACTTATCATACATTTCTTTCATTTGATCCAACGTTCAGCTCCAGTAAAGTGTCTCTCCTGCAGAGATCACGCTGACCTCTCATTCGGGAGACGTCTCATCAAAGTTTGTCCTCCATGCGGTGCACTTGGTCAAGCAAAAAGCGTATAGAGCTAATGAATTCTACAAGTTTTCCTCTCTGTTGGAAAGAGGCTCCCTTACTGAGGCTTTCCCTGTGCTGGTACGTATATTTTATTATAATATACGCTCAATTGCTCAAAAGAGTCCCCTTTTTTAAAAAAAGACACAAGTATCTGTAATGGAAGTCACTTTATTCTGTAGATGCATAATAAATAACACGACGGTGGACTAATTTCTACATGCTTCTTGTCTCCAGTCCGGAAAGATAGTCGAGTTCTGCATTGCACGCTGGTGGGCGAGCCTGGGCGACGTCACAGTGGACTACAGCATCTCGTTCCACGGACTCCACACTTCACCTGCACCGCTGCACATAGTGAGGAGACGACGTGAACGAGTAAACTTGGGCCGGAGCGCTCTCCGTTCTCTGTGCGTGACTTGTCATTTGTCTCCGCGTAGCACGCCTCAGAAGGAGTGACGAGTTTTGATGTGTCGTCGCCTCTGAGGTACGAGGAGGTGTCCCCCACTATTACCCTCAAGTCTTGGGTTCAGCCTCTCCGGTAACTGCACACAAAACACACACATGCAAACTGGAACGTACGTGCATGTGCAGGTCATTGAGTGATCCTCGTTCTTGTTCTAGGCCCTTAAATTCAAAGATCAAAGCGCTGGGAATGAGGGACGTTCTGCCTAACAACAGACAACTCTACGAGATTGTCCTCACCTACAGCTTCCACCAGGTAGGACCAACCAATCGTCAGAGTGGAATGCAAGATTTTTCGGCCCGGTTTTCCACGCGTTGTGTATAATCTTTGTCTGTTCTATCCTCAGCCAAAGAGTGGCGAGGTCACCCCCAGCTGCCCCATGCTGTGTGAGCTACTGTACGAGTCCGAGTTTGACAGTCAGCTCTGGATGCTGTTCGATCAGAACAAGAGACTACTGGGCTCAGGGGACGCTTATCCACACCAGGTACGCTTGGCCACATTTAGGAGCTCGCCCCTGAAGAGGACACCCTTTCTCTCTATTTAACACGACTCCCTGCTGTCTGTTTTCCCCTCTTCAGTACTCTCTGAAGCTGGAGAAGGGGGACTACAGTGTGCGCCTGCAGGTCCGCCACGAGCAGTCCAGCGAACTGGAGCGCCTGAAGGACCTACCGTTTGTGGTCTCTCACCGTCTATCCACCACGCTGAGCCTGGACGTCTACGAGTCGCACCGCGCTGCCCTGATGGCCAAGAAGAAGGCGAACTCTGTCACCTTGTGCCCAGGGGCTACGCAGCCCTTCTATGTCACAGCCCTGCCCGACGACAAGTGAGTCCATTTGGCGAGCGACTTTTCATGTGTGTTGTATCAAAGAGCAGCAGAGAAATAACAAACAAAAAAAGCTGTGACACAAGAAACCCCTTAAATATGTTTCGAGATGATACTATACAGTGTGTGTTAACATAATTGCTTAAATATGAGGCAGTGGTGTCTTCTTGTTTCCTGCTTGTGCTAATTAGTTCACCTAAAAGAAGTCAGGGAATGTATCCGGGTGCTCCAAGGTCGGACCACTGCTGGAAATGTGTGATCAAATGGAGTTTAATGTTCCCATCTGTCGCTCTCTTTCTCCCTTTTTTTCCCAGGATCCCAAAGGGGACGAGTCCAGGAGGTTATCTTTCAGGCTCTCTGGTTGTCCCCAAGAGCGAGTATGGCAAGAAAGCAGTGAGTTGTTACCCTCTGTCCTCAAACAGTAGTCAGTCCTGCTGCTCGGGCTCTGAAGTCGTGGTAGTTTTTCCTCTCCTCCTGTAATGAGGCTCATTCCCATATCGTTAGGTGAACACATAACACACTACACTGCAGTGCCTGTTGGTTATGTTGACCAGTGTGCTATTTAGTTTGAGCTGATTAATATAACAATGTGGAACTGTACATGTCGTCCCGAGGATCAGGATTTAAGACGAGTGATCCCATATTGCTTCCTCTTTTATTATGTTTGTCATCACCTTCAGCGCTGTTTCGACTCTGGTGTGTGTTGCTTCTAAAATTGGTTGCTTTTTTTTCCTCTTTTGCTTTTGTCCATGCTTTTGCTGCTCGGCCAAAAACCCAATTTGATCTTGCTCAATCCGTCCCTTGGATTCTAACACACTGGATCTGGCTAGTTTCCGGTTTGTTATGTTGCAGATTAGTAGGAATTCTATAGCCAACACTATCATATAAGTTGTCACTCTTTTAGCCAGTTGGGACTTCAAGAAATTAGAAGGATATTTAGAATTACAAAGAAAACAACATTAATTTGGTTTGTGTTCCCTTAGAGTATTTATTTATTTCAATGCAAGTACAGATACAATGCCTGTTATTTTGGCCCAAATAATAAATTGATCATTTATTTTAAACATTACTTAAACCTATTTTGTCTTTAATCTAAGAAAAGAAGCCAATATTCAGTTAAATGTCTAATTACAAGAATAATGAGTCTGACCATCCTCAACAGTTAAAGATGCATTTTGGTAGTTATTGCAAAAAAGCATTCAGGATTGATACCAAATCCAAAGCTTTTACATGCAAAAGAAAATGGCTTTTATTATTACTTCAGCTAGCATGTGTTTCTTACCTTTTGGAAGGGAATAACAAACCTTTTGTATGTGTGCAATACAACAGCAAATGCATTTCTGGAGCTTCTCTGTGGGCTGCAGGCTTTCCACTGCTCGATGGTTGTCTCATCGCACACGTCCACGTTCTTTTTGTTTTGAACAGCTGTGTGTGTCTTTGGCTGGACGTTCTGACCGGGCAGCCCTGATGACAATATCTTGTCAAACTTCAGCACCCATTTAGAAATATCTATTCAATGTTTTTCTTTTTGTTTCACATTGCACTCCTGAAGACGTTTCATTGCTTTGAGTGTCACGCACAGATCCAAAGTTTACCGTCTTCCAAGTCAGATTCACTGTGAAACATTGTATAGTGTCGTGTTCAGAAAACTTGAGCTTTGATTTCTACACTGTAGCATTTATTCAAATCCGACCGTTAGGTGGATTTAACTCTGTTTGAGTGAGGATGAAAGAAGAAGAAGAGACCGAATCCTTTTTGTTATGTTTTTGTTGTCTCTTCCTTACTGTGTGTTATTCTGACCACCAGGGGCAGGCCTCTGCAAAACGACAAGGGAAGTTTAAAAAGGTACTGGATGAGCTAGAAACTACAACAGAGCGTCCACCGCTCTCCTACCAGCAAGAAATGGCTTATTGCTTACCTTCAGATGGAATCTGTTACATCCTCATTAATTATGTCAAAGCATGTCATCACTGAAGTATGCAACTGGTCATAATGGGACTTTCATTTTGATATAGATATAGACATTTTCTGGTGGTCAGTTCAAATTAATAATACCTAATAATATATTCATGGTCAATACCACAACATTTAATTGATAATGAGCATCAATTTAAACTTGTATCACCATATTTAAAAGGGACACAACTAAAAGAGTTGGGAGTCACGGGACAATGGTAGGAAGAGAGGGAGATTTTGAGTTGGAGAAGAGGTCATGGATTTTATTCCATGTATTGGTTATCATTATTGGACTGATCTATATGTTTTCTTTGGTATTCATACAGGATATTGTGCCAGTCGTCTACCACTTAATTCCTGCTCCCAACAAATCAAAGAATGGCGGGAAGGAGAAGGACAAGGAGGGGGACAAAGAGAAGGATGTGAACGAGGAGTTTGCAGAAGCTCTGAGGGACTTAAAGATTCAGTGGATGACAAAGTGAGCACAGTAGCTCTTTCCTTTTTCTTAGCCACACTTTGCTCGCTTTACCTTTGTTTTTAATAATCTTTTTTGGTTCATCGAACCAATCATCACGTTCTCTCTTTGCTGTTCAGATTGGACTCAAGCGCCATCTATGAGGAGCTGAAAGAGACCTACCTGGATTACCTCCCGCTGCACGTGCAAAGGCTTCACCAGCTGGACTCTGAAAAGGTAACGCTTCACGCTGGGGAGAGACCAGGCGCGACGAAGCATTTAATTATTCGGCTCTGGGAGGAGTTTGTCTGAACTCTGCTCAGTTCTTTTCTACGCCTTCTGTTTGTTGTTCAGGAGCGCGTGAAGCGTCTCAAAGAGGTGGCATCAGCTGCCGATATCGTCATATCCCACATCGACCAGACGGCCCTGGCCGTTTACCTCACCATGAAGACGGACCCTCGGCCCGACGCCGCCTCTATCAAGACGTATGTCGACACAGTATTAACGGGAGAAAGATGATCGTTGTTGGTAAAGAGAAGGACAAACATTGTTTAACCACATAAAAAGTGAATTGAAGCGGAGCCTTTGACTGCGATGAACATTACAGACATGGGATGTTTAAAAGTTCTTCAATAACTGCAGTTTGATTGTCCTTTAACATATATCAAATGTGGAACGTCAACACATAGATACAGTATAAATCACAACCTGAAGGTGGTTAGTGTTCAACAATAAACTACACAGTGTAGCTTTTGAAAGTAGAACTGGAAGAGGAGATGTTAAATGAATAAGGGATAAAAGCGTAACTCGGGAATTGATCATTTATAGCCAAAGTATGTTAGTCATTCAGGGAATTTGGCCTGGCAGGTCGTGCATAACATTAGCAAGAAGACCATGAGACGATGGACAACGAGACAAATTCAGGCAGAAAAAAATATATATATATATTTTACAACTTAAATGTACACTATAATATATAAACTAATATAAGGTGAAACAAATTATATTACATGCACACTCTTTGTAGCCCGGTGTGACCAGTGAATTATGTTAGCAAAGGTATGATAAACATCACGGTGTAACTGACATTTGTGAGTTTGTACTCCTCCACATCACATACATTACATCCAGTCACGTGTGGTCAGTGATCAATGTTTGTTGTGTGAAAAAGTGCCTTTTTGATCATTTAAGATGTCAGCAGAAGTGGTCTCTGTTTCCGGTGTCTCACACTGGGACCGAGACACCCGAGTAGATCGTCCCATTTAAGGAAAGATGCTTAATCTTCAGGCCTCGATTGTGAGCTGTCCTTTTTAACGTCTGCGTTTCAGGGACATGGAGAAGCAGAAGTCGTCTCTACTGGACGCGCTGTGCAGGAAGGGCTGCGCTCTGGCCGACCAGCTGCTGCTGCTGCTGCCCGCCGTGCCGCAGGACGGCGCCGGTGCCGTCTCCACGGGACGGGTAGAGGCAGCAGGAGAACAGGAGGAGCCGCAGCAGCAGGAGGAGGAGGCTGGGGAAGAGGTGGCCAGCAGTTCTGGCGACACCACGCACATTGTGGTTAAAGCTCTGACGGATACGTTTTGGGAGGTGCAGAAGTGGGCGGAGCTAACTGACTCCAAGGTGAGCCAGATGTTTTTAGAAAATGAAAGCAGCCAAATGTTAAGAACAAATGTGTACTTAATCCCCACTTACGCCGTTTTTATGAAGATTCTGGCATTCACCAATGTTTTCTTATTTGGGATTTGTTGTTCGGTAAGAACACAACCAAGAGAACTCCTACACAAAATAAGTATAGTAGTAAAGTTATACCGTTTTCTAATTTAAAATAGAATATTTCTCTCCTTTATAATTTTGCAACTAATTATTTTTATCATTTTACACATAGTCTTTGCTTTAAGAAATACACATTGCATTCCATGCATCGGACGGGACACAAGCTTTCAATTTACAACATATTGGAATTCAGCCTCACCTGCAAACAATTCCGCTGTTTAGGAACACGTCATGAATCACGCGTAGACTTCTTAGGAACAAATGTAAGAAATATCTTGGGAAGATATTGGTGAATGAGGCCCATTGTTAGTTAACCAGTGTGAACAACAGTGTGTCTGTTTCTCAGTACTTACTGACTTTACACCGGTTCTAGACTGAAAATGCCACTTTGTATAAATTAAATGAATCTTCAGCTAATCTACATCTATCATTTTGCGTTGCTCAGGTGTTGATGTTTTCATACAAACACGCTCTGGTGAACAAGATGTACGGCCGAGCCTTAAAGTACGCCTCAAAGATGGTGGAGGAGAAGCCCAGCAAAGACAACATGAAGAACTGCATTCAGGTATGGGAGCCATCTGTCTTCTGCCTCGTCTCCAAAGACTCCTGCTTCCCTTTAAATCACCTCTTGTTTTATTTTGTTTTCCAGCTCATGCGGCACCTTCAATGGACGCACTGTGCCACCTTCAGTGAGAACTGGCTCCCCGTCATGTACCCCGCAGAATACACGCTGTTCTAGACACATCACATTCATGCAGCACGAGCAGCATGGCCATACATGGTCAATTGGATATCATGTCCCTCAGGGTCACATGATCTATGCATCTGGGTTTTCAGATGTAGGTGGACATCAAAATGAGGGACGACGCAGAGTGTGAACGTCATTCAGCGCTGCAGACCATGTGGCATCGCTGTTCATTTTAATGCCACCAACACATTTCTTTTTTTTTTTTTTTTACACGCTTGACAGCCTGTAGTTATCGCTGAATACTTTTATATTGGGTGTTCTTCATTTTTAGTGTCATCTACACATTTAGAAGCTTTTCACGTCTGCACTCATCCTCAGCTGCCTGGGCGCCACTTCACAATGACCTCATTCTTTCGTGTAAATACTGTAGAAGTCCAGGGACGCATCCCTGGTCTTAAAAAAGGAAAGTCGTGTCCCCGTCTCCTCACACAAACAAATGAAGAGCAGAAACAGCCGTAGCTGATGGTTTTGATACTTCAGTGAGGCCTGGAGGACCTGCTGTGCATGAAGTTCGGACATACGGGATCTCCGACCTTAAAAGGGAGACAGAACCTTTTCTTTTTTTTTTTTGATTGTTCCAACCGGGCCAGATTGATAAAGTTAATATTTAGTCTAGTCTGTGTTGTTAGACTTTGACTGATGTACACAGAGCAGTGTTGAGGTGCCTTCCTACATCCACCGGACCTTTTTTCTGGTCGGATGACAAACGATGCGAGGCCCTCTTGCAGTTGTTTCATCCCCCGGCATTTGGTGTCAAATGTGTGTCTATAGCTCACGTGCTCAGTGGGACGAGGAAGCCAAAAAAACCACACCGTCTCAGCCTGGGCTCACCTCCAGAGGTGTTCCACACAGCAGCGAGCCGAGGTGCACATCTGCCGTGAGAGATGCAGTTGTGGGCAGCGGAAGGATGTTTAGTTTTCATCGTTAAATGTTCACCCAGGATTGGATGTTTCTCTGCAGCCGTCGAAATGTTGCATTTGTACATACAATAATGTACATACACACATAACATCAAGATGCAATAGGTCTATAGTGCAAATATTATTGGAGTTGATGTATTTTGCATAAATGCATGTCTTCTAGGATGTAACGAAAAACACCCTGAACAAGATTTTGGGGATAATCCATGAATTAGAGTTGTGTGTGTAAGTGTAAAAACAGAACTGAAATGAGGGGTTTAATTATATTTTATTTTTCTCTTTTTGTCGGATGCATTAACATCCGACCACATTAACCTTATTTACCTTTAAAGGACAATCGCAATGCTTTTGTATGTTTTATCGTTTTTTACTGCAAATTGTATACTTTACATCAAAGATGACCATTCGACATGTGTTATTTAGAATGTTTATGGAATTTTCCATAGAACCATTTATCAACATGATCATTTTAAAACGTCCATAGTGAACACCAAGTCTGCATTAAAGGCCCTTAAAACATTTCTAAATCATCTTTGTACTTTGAGTGATTTGCTTCTAAATGAACATTCAAGGGAAAAGTTAGTTTTCATTATTTCTCTTGAACATTTTTTTTGCTTGTTCTGTCCAACTGGGTGGTGTGGGCTTATTTACAAGTATGAATCCTTACTAATCCATATTTCATCAAAACACGATGACAGGCGCTGTGTGTTTGTTTTCCCTGTTGATTTAAAAAAAAAAAAAAAAGCTTAAACCTCAAGGCAATTTATCAGACTTGTCGCATCTCAATACCCCCAAAAGCTTTTAAACACCCTTTTTTTTCACCACATATGCAGCAATCGCCATTTGCTACTTTAAGCTTACGTGAGTGATTTAACAAATGGGGACATCTGCCTGCTAGTTTTTCAGTGCAAATGAGGACCATGACACTAACTACACGATCACGTTTCAGCTTTTATAACTAAGATTTTAGGCCGAGGCCTTTCGTCCTCATACGAGTAGAAAATCTTTCCTGACGACAGAACTGTTCATATACACAGCGAATCCGTGGTCAGAGCTCAAGGTCACCTCGTTTTCATTGTTTTTAGCTCGGACTTGCACTCGCGTGTTTATTCCTGCGTCTTCGTCCGTCTATTCTCCTCTCTTCCTGCGTTGGGTTCGGGCAGATGTCGACTGTAAGTGCAATTCAGACGCAGTAAGCGCGGCCTTAACTGTTCGCTGCAGGACTGTAGCGTCTTTTTCTGGCACCAGACTGCTGCTATCTGTTGCTTCTGCTGGATGTCTGGGGTTTATATTTGCAGTCATACAATCTAGTAATCGCCAATATTTTACAGAAAGTTCTGAAACAAGGTTGTATGCTCTTATTATTTTATACCCATTCTTCCTGATGATGTGGGGAAGACTCAAGCTGTCACACTATTTTGTGTTTGCATGGAAGTACGTCACACACAAGGAAAACAACACTGAATAAAACTGAGCTTTGCGTGGACGGTTCTACCATATTACTCTTGATTTTACTCTGCGTCTGCTGGACCACAGTTTGTCCAGAAATGACAAAGCAGAGGACGTGAAGAAGGTCGTGCACAGGCTGTACAGTGTGTATCTGTGGGCCGACACGGAAGGGAACCCTCACTCAACCCATTACTGGCCCGCTGACACAACCACGTGCCACCGATCCTCCATGCCCGTGATCATTGCGATCAGGTCCTCGCCCTTCCAGAGCGCGATGTGAGTGTAAACACTTCAAACAGAAGCTCTGACTAAGCACTCTGAGCCTGTCGGGCTCGTGGAGTTATCTATCCATACGTTTCTATCTCTCCCTCTCCACATGCCGCCATGGAGTCTTTTTATAGCGTTTTATTGCCCTCCACGTCTTCGTCCTCTTCCTCCTCCTCACTCGTCAGATCTCCCTCTTCCTCCTTGCATGTTGCCATGAAGATCTTCATCTCTCCGTGTTCAACCAGCAGCGTCGTGTGAAAAGCCTTCTTAAAGTTCTCCGTGAAAGTCAGATCGCTTTCAAACCTCACCTTGTTGGCCCAGATCACTTTGGTTCCCGGTTGGCAGAAATGCTTCATGGCGTCCAGGAGCCCGTCCAGGTAGTCGTGATGGTAGACCACGTCGGCTGCCAGCACGTAGTCGTAGCGGTAGACGGATGCGGGGTAGGTGCTCTCCAGGTCCTGGCCCCAGGACAGAGCTGCCACCTGGGGGGAGGATCTGCAACGACCCCTGGTGTTCCTCATCACGTTGGCCAGCAGGTTACCCAACACCTCAGGCAGGTCTGTAGCTGTGACTGAAGCTCCTGAAGAAAACGAGACACCTGATGTCAGTTTGACTATCACAACAGGAATGTATGGGGACCTTTCGTTCAGGAGTTTCTTGTGTGCAAATGCAGTTCAAGTAACTGGAAAAATGCATCCAAATACATACTTTTGTCCTGCAATTGATAAATATAATATTGCTAAAAATAAGGCAATAGTTCACACACAGGTGTGCACATTATAGACTGTGTGTGTGTGTGTGTGTGTGTGTCATATGCACGCAGACACCGTGTTTTGTGTAGAGGTTTGTATATCACGTCACGGTTACTTTCACTTTCACTGATTGTGCTCATTGTGTAATTTAACCATGACGCTGCTCACCCAGCAGACTGGCCACGATGGTCACCAGTCCAGTTCCTGCTCCGAGCTCCAGGACCTCCTTCCCCTGCATGTTCACCTTCGTCCTGTTGTTCTCCAGGAAGGAGCACAGGGCCAACGCCTGCGGGGAAAAGGACATACACATCTGTTATACATCTTCAGAAAAACAGTGGAAAACGGTAATGACGTGTTAAGCGCTCACCGCCGGCCACATCACCGCTCCGAAGGAGTCTATGGACTCGTGAATAAGTATGTCGTGTCCCGCGTAGTGGTAGACGTCCCTACCGATGCGGAGGTTGATACTGGGAACCCAGGCGGGAGTTCTGTCCCGCCGTTCATCTGCTTTGATGTCTGGATGGGATTGTTGAGAATTGAATAAGAACATTGAGATGAATCACACACGATGCCACAATATGCAAGTTGAGCACGCGATTAAAAGAAAAGGCCTGCAGCTTGATGTGATACAAGGAAAAAAGTGCAATTCAGACGCACTACACCGGTGGGAGAAGCACACCGGCCCTCTGGTTGTACTGACTGCAGAGGTCAAAGGTTTTAGCTTTAGCACGCTCTGGGTGTGTCACACCTCAAGTCTAAGATGTTACGTTTGTTACTACTGTTTCCAAATATTATAAGAAGCCCCAGAGCAGCTTTTTAACTGAGGAGTAAACTGACAAACCAACACAACGTTTCAGGTCATTTGTATTAAACGGCCTTTCTCTCCGTCAAAACCTGTGAAAAACTCTGCCTGGGTTGGTTGTTTCTTCACTTGTTGTAGCTTAGTGATATCTAGCAGACCATCTAGCTTAATGATTATTTGTGGAAGTCTCTTATTTTCACTGCCTCACTAAAAAAAATAGGCTTAGACAAATTGTGATTTGCATCAAAGCTCATTCAATTTAAAACAATAGTAAGAGTGTACAGCTATTCTAACAGCTCCATGAGGCCCGGTCACAGCACCCGTCTGTCATGGCTACATGGTTCTTCCCACTCGGCCACGTTCCCGGCTTGCCTTTGTGTGTGTGCGTGTGTGTGTGTGTGTGTCTCTCTGTCTGGCGGTCAACCAGGGGCCAAGTCACTGCTCAAACCTGCTCCTCACCTCCCTCAGTCCACATAGCTGCCACTAATCCTCTCATCTTCTCGGAAGCACATCTACCCCGGCTCTGTCTTGAGCAGCCGGAGGAGTTCATTTCAGGTTTTGCTTGTCGTCTGTTGCCCTGTTTCTGTGCTAACCAGCGTTGCTCTGTGTGAGACTCGCCCTCCTGCAGCTTTACCCTCTCGCAGCCGGCCAGCTGTGTTAAGTGGCTCGGCTTGAAGATCAGCGTTCTACATTTCAGCCTTTCAGGATTCCTGGCCACACATCAACACCTTGTTCTCCGCCAGCCGTGAAAGCTGTGACAGGCCTACGTTGCATTGGAAAATTGTTCATCTCTGTACTGTATATTTGTCCAAACCAAATAAAACAAAATGATACATGATCAGGTAGTGGACTCACCTGTTACTTCTTCCCCACTGTCCGTCTCCTCGTCCTCTTCATAGTCGTTGTCTTTAGGGCGCGTGATCCCCTCTATCTCTTCCTCACAATCAGACTCAGGCTTGTTATTTTCTTCCTTGTCTTCTCTTACTGGCTCTACCACGAGGGGTTCTTCGGTTACATTATCTTTTCCTTTACTTCTTTCTGTATTGACATTTTGAAGCTCAAGCTCTTTATTGCTCCCCTCCACCACGTCCTCCTCCTGCTCCTCATTTTCTTCCTCTTCCTCACTCGTCAGATCTTGTGTTTCCAGATCTCCTTCTCCCTCTTCCTCCTTGCATGTTGCCATGAAGATCTTCATCTCTCCGTGTTCAACCAGCAGCGTCGTGTGAAAAGCCTTCTTAAACTTCTCTGTGAAAGTCAGATCGTTCTCAAACCTCACCTTGTTGGCCCAGATCACTTTGGTTCCCGGTTGGCAGAAATACTTCATGGCGTCCAGGAGCCCGTCCAGGTAGTCGTGATGGTAGACCACGTCGGCTGCCAGCACGTAGTCGTAGCGGTAGACGGATGCGGGGTAGGTGCTCTCCAGGTCCTGGCCCCAGGACAGAGCTGCCACCTGGGGGAAGGATCTGCAACGACCCCTGGTGTTCCTCATCACGTTGTACTGGAGTTTACCCAACACCTCAGGCAGGTCTGTAGCTGTGACTGAAGCTCCTGAAGAAAACAAGACACCTGGCATCACGGAGCTGCAGATCTACATTTCTTTTTCTCAGCTAGATGTTTCTAGTAAGTTCTGCTTTAAAGGGTTGAAACCAAACACAGTTTTCAAGGCACGCGCTGAGCGTATAGAAGAGTAATGGACGCTGGGAAGAGCCCTGTCTCGTTCCCATTCCTTTTATTTTCCCTTACTTGTTCTCTGAAACTGTGCAAAAGACAAATAATGTTGTACGTGAATGTTAAGCGTCTTACCAAGGAGCGCTGCTACAACAGACAGGAGGCCAGTTCCTGCTCCCATCTCCAGGACCGCCTTGTCCACAAGACTCAGCTGTTCACGATGAGTGTCCAGGTAGTGACAGAGAGCCAGAGCCTGAGGGCAGCAAAGCCAACTTTGATCATCGGGAGGCATATGCGCTTTAGGATTTGGGAAACTGAAGGATCACTAGAGAAGGTTGAATGTGGAGCGAAGGTTCAGAACAGCATCAGCAGACAAGGTGTTTCTAGATGGAAAAACAGCCAGCCAATTCACAAAAAAGGGGCTTACTCACCGCTGGCCATACCGTGCCCGCATAGCAGTCAAGGACCCCGTCGATGAAAATCTCCTGGCCGGCATAGTAGTACACCTCCCTGTTGGATCTGCAGTAGAACCCTGGAGACCAGTCCGGTTTTCGTTGCTTCTGGGCGGCTGACTCATCTGAATGAAAAAGTCACACTCTCAGTTCTTTGAGGTCTTTCTGCGTGATTTTCTGAAGTTTTAAATCCAGATTTTTCTTGTATCCTTGATCTTACCTTTCACTTCTTCTTTATCTTCTGCAACCCCATCCTTCTCATCCTCCTCCATCTCCTCTTCTTCCTCCTCCTCCTCCTCCTCCTCCTCTACCTCTGTATTTCTGCTGTAATAGGGTTCCCCCAAAAGGTGTGTGGACAAATTCTCCATTTGAGATCCTGTATACTGTTGAACTTAAAGAGATTTACAGAGTTTAACCTTCAATTCAACTTTTCTTTTACTAACTTTTTTGTTGAAACAATAGTAAAATCATTATTATTAAAACAAGATCAATCAAAGGTATTAAGATTATACAAGGTTTTCAAGTGCTGATACGCCACAGTAATTTCACCCGTCTTCTCATAATTGCTTACTTATTGCATAATTGCATACTTGCTGTGTTTATAAAATAGTTTATTTTCTTTAACTCTTAATTGCAGTCCTTCGATTTACATTTAGGAAAAACTAAGCATGCAATTTCTTGATTAAAAAGTTCTGAAAGTACTTTGCAGATAAGTTTGGTAAATATAAGCAAAGGTTAGCTTTTGAAAGCCCTGCCTGACGTCTGTGACCTACCTGCTTCTGCTTCGTTTCCCTGTGAAGGATCTCAGAAGCAACCCGACTGCATCTGGGGACCTCTGACTTTGAGGTTATAGCATCCTGCTGGTCACACCCATCACCATCACACGGGCACAAGGGTATTTTTAGAGCCGTGCCCAAATGAACACAAGCAAAATATAATATTAGCACGCACGTATACACACACACGCAAACAGCAATAACAAAAATGAGACTGTGAGGAAGCCAAAATGACGGGGACATCATGACACCGGCAGGCATGTGTCGTTGCTAGAAGTATGGACTTCTGCTTCATGGAATCCTTCACGGTCTGCAAGCTCATACTGGATGTCATTTGAAATGATGTAATATGAAGTAATACTAAACCTGCATTAAACGGCACCTGCGTTTACTCTGCCGAATGATTTCCAGCCACTCGGTGGTCCACAAATAGTCACATCGGTAAACCAGACCAAAACCTTATTTGTGCTTGGCTGCCAGGGGAATATTGGCAGACAGCCCTTGAATGTGTATGTTGTCAACCAAACATTTATAACCCTAAAGCCTCGAGTCACTTAACTGCTATTGAGTTTTTTACACTTTTAACCGACTATGTAGACCATTCAAAACGTAAAGATGTCAGACGATGCAACGTAACACGATCAGGTTGGCATGCAACATAACCCCAAGCAAAGAAGGGGGCTCCTGTAACGTAAACCTCAATCTTTCTCTGTTATATTTGACGTCTTTGGCCATGAAGTATGAGCTCACAGTTTCAGATATCATCAAACTAAATTCACTCACATCCCAGAGCTTGAAACCCATCCAGGACCTCGGGAAGGTCCGGCCTGTTGATGGGCAGTGTGCGGTGGTTAGGTCATTCCTGAACCATGTGTTGTCAATGTGGCGCAGCCTTACTTGGACAAAAGATAAGGGTTTTTAAGCTCGAGTTTGTTGGCAACATGTTGGCTCTGCCTCTCGGGGGAAAGGTTGTTTGTTATCAAGAGACTGTTGACGGAGTGATGAGGTTAACCGATGCCTCTGTTGAGTATTTGTTGGTCCGGACGATGATATGCGGACCATCACAGCCCCCAGCATGGATAAGCCTCATTGGCCCCCCTTCCACCCAGCGGGCAAAGAGACAGGGAATGAAAGGACGGGAAAATGTTGGATGATGGAAATCACAAATTGGATATCAGATTTAATAGGTCACATTCATATCAGTTTATATCAACTTTTAGGCAATTAGTCTAACTGGTGACTTTCCAAAATATGTCATAAGTCTGTGCGTCACTCGTGTTACTGAAGCAGCAAATGCTGCCCAATATGGATGTGATCTTTTAATTTGACCTTGTTTATGTGTTGGGCAGCATAATGTTCTGTAAAGTCTCAGTCTGGTACAAACCTTGATGTTGCAAAGAAATATTAAACGTGTTGGACTTATGGCAAACTTGGTAGCAAACAGTTGCTAATTAACACACCCAGAGGTTATAGATCTACATAATATTCCTTTATTTTTATTCATTCACCAATATTGACTCGTATGGCTCTGTTTTTGGTCTCTACTGACAAGAAGATATCGGGCAGCTCTGCAGCTAAATGTCATGTACGGCATCTTGCAGCTGTTCACCTGCTGTTTGGTGCTGAGCAGGTATCTGCACAGAGAGTTATTAAAGCTTTTTAGCTGAAAGTGAATCGACATTGAAAGCAGTAAAAGTAAAAGAGTTAAAGGGCAAAGCCCAGCTTTGCTCGGCATGACTGACTGCATTTGCTGACTGCATTCACATTATCAGATTAAGGCTCAGAACATTCATTGTCCCAGCGTGCCATTCAGTGACTGATCGACCTTCATAGAAGAACGCGATTAGATAACAAATCCACAAAGTCCACTAAATATAAATTAAAAAACGTGGGTGTCCAAACGTACATTTTCCAGTTTATTAAATGATCAGAGCAGCAATAACAGACTTTTTCTTGACCCCTCGTCAAATCGAATTCAATGACCATTTTGGAGTCAGGGGTTTGTAAAATAAAAATGAGTCTCCTCAGTAGATAAATTCACCTGTCAATACTGTAAATAAAATGGGACATTTAAACATTTGCACATGAGATCCATAAAAAACAAACATTCCCAATCAGCAAAACCATTATCACATTTTACTGGCTCGCTCTTGAAATTACCAACACAGCGAACAAGCATTCAGGCGGCGGCCCCTCCCCGATCCTCAGTCATCTTGTCCCTCCTCCAGGCTCGGTACAGCTTGATGCTCAGACTCGGCAGGTCGTACAGCTCCTCCAGGTGGAAGCGCCGCCGAAAGCGCTCGACGAAGCTGTTCTCCCGGTCCAGACGAAAGCGCATGGCCCACAGGATCTGCGTGTTCTCCTGGCACAGGTGGTCAAACGTGTCCATCAGCTCCTCCAGGTAGGGATGGGCGTACACCACGTCGGCCGCCAGGATGTAATCGAAACGATGTGTGGCCCGCGGGAAGCGCTGCTCCACCCCCTGACCCCAGGTCAGCTCCGTGACCTTGGAACAGAGGAAAACGTCGAACACAATGCAACAAACCTCGCTGGCCGGATGTAAGATCGACCCGACCGTATGACGAGTGCAAAGGACGATACCAGAGGGATGTACTTGCATCGGCCCTTGGTGTTCCGTGTGACGTTGTACTGAAGGTTCCCCAGCAAATCCGGCAGGTCAGTGGAGGTCACCTTTGCACCTGGACACAGACACAGGAGGGGGGGGGGTTATAGGGAGCGAGCTGCAAACAGCACCCGAGAGAGGAACAAATCCAGAGCTGCAGACGGGGACAGCAGTTACAGCTGATCCCCAGATGTGTTTTGTTTCCGTACCCAACAAGCTGGACACGATGGAGACAAGCCCAGTTCCAGCACCAAGTTCGATCACATTTTTGTCCGTCAGGTTGTGTTGGTCTCGGTTGGTCTCTAAGAAATGACACAACACCATCGCCTGTTGGGGAAACACAGGTTTACGGTTCGCTGGCGGCGGAGCCCAGCAGCTAATTGTTTGTTTTGATGCATAAGTCGGAGGGCGTACTGAGGGCCAGAGCACAGCGCCATAGAGGTCTGTGGACTCCTTGATACGGATCTCCATGTCAGAAAAGACGTATCCCTCCCAGGCCTCCGGACCAATCAAGGAAGGGTGGAAACAGCGAGCCATTATGGCTTCAGCCAGCTCTGCACACGCAGCAGGGAGGAGAAGAAATGAAACGCAGTGTAAAGTGTGAGGAAAATGAAGAGCCTAGAACGACAAGACGGACAATTAGACTCTCTCCCAGCGGGCATTTTGACATCACAGCAGCAGGTGCGCGGCGGTAATTCATCATACTGGCTCGCTGGTATGCTCCAATGTTACGGAGCTAAAAATAATGGTATTTTTTTTGCACTGAGCTTTTCATGTCAAACATTTTGCTTCAAAAAAGGTCATAAGAATAAACAGTTAACCTACACAATGCTACTGGGGCTAAATAACAGACATTGCTCATAGCAGAGTTCAGTACTTTTATAATAGTTTTTGTTAAAGTTTTATTTGATGAAATTAATGGCTAAATTTACAAAAAGGAACTTTTTTGGCACAGTGAGAGCTGTGGATTATCCAGGCTAACAAGAAGATCTGGAATTAAATTTGATTTGTTTTCATGCGAGGCTATCTTAAGACTTGTTGACCAGTTTTGCAAAACAATTTGAAACAGGTTGAAATGTTCCAACCATAAAAAAAGCAGATGTCATGCAGCTTGTTTTTCTTTTATATCACATTACAGGTAACGCTTGATTCTCTGCTCTATAAATGAATCCGATGTAGGCTCGTGAATCTGATCCCGCCATTTGTGTGTCAGACTCCAGCTGTGGTTCAGTGCCAACGGACACTCAACTTCTGTTATGCAACACAGATCTGGAGAAAAGGTCAGGGGAGACCACAGAGCCACACAAAGGTTGGGGAGCCCGCTTATAAAATATGATGTTTATACACACAGAAAATGTCATTAACGAGCAGAGAGGCACTTGTTTCCATGGAACTAATATTTCAGCATACTGTGAGCATCACATTATGGCATTTAGGATTAATTGTGCATGCATACCTCCTTGGAAAGGAACTTTGGTTTATAGGTATGCATTACTAATTCTCACCTTCTCCTTTAGTCTTGGACTGTTGAGTCTCCATGTTTGAACGAGTCCAACCAGGAGGGAAAAAACGCCCCCAACTGAATTCTTTGGCCCCAGATCCTTTGGATTTGAGTCATCTGGATCCAGATGTATGGAATAGTGGTTAGCTGTTCTAATTTTCACCCAAGTAAAGTGTTTCCAACAACTTCAACTCCACCCAGTACTTGCCGTCTCTCTCTCTGGACTTGCTTACACACCCGTCTCTGTTGCGGTAGAGTGACGTACAGCAACAGCTGCTCTGTCAAACTGGAGCTGGGGAGGGACGGGGATTTCAAAAGCCTGATCCGAAATACACCCAATTGATTTCACCAGTTAAAATACAACATTCTCATCCCTCCCACAGATTGTAAAACCTCCAAATATTTGAAAAAAATATGTTCAATCCGGTCAACAATAAAGAAAATACATATTCTTTAATACAAAAAGGTTCAATTCATTAAGGCATTCGTTCACCCGTTTCCCTTGTAAGGATCAAACGTGATCTCACAAAGTTTCAACCGCTTGAAGGATTTATGTCCGTAGTCGAGTCAAAACTTCTTCCGCCGTGCCTTTCCTCTCCTGCCTCCTCGGCCTCCTGCGCTTTTTGCTCCACGGCCTCGTCGGCTGCCTTCGAAGATGGATCGGGCTGTAACCATAGCGACGTCCGCCCCACCGTCGCTGTCTTCACTGGAGCTGCTGCCTCTCCGAGGTGCGGCCTCCGCAGGCTGCGGGGCGGCTTTGGCCGAGCGAGACTCCCGGCGGGTGCTGCTCGCCTCCTTCAGCGATGGGAGAGGTGATTCAAGAATCGCCTGCGATCCCAGGAAGCCTCCTCCTGCCACAGGCCGCGGCTCCGCTCCCTCCTTTGGGCTCTTGCTTGCCGCCTTGCCTTTCTTAGCTGTGGATGGGGACGGCCTTTCCTCGCCGCTGCCCCCCTCTTCATCCTCCTCCTCTCCTTCTCTCCTCTCCTTTCTCTTTAGGCAGGTGACAGCTCTGCGCAGACGCTCGCTGCGAATCGCCTGCTTCTCCCGTTGCTCCATGCGGAAGAACGAGTCGATCCGCAGCTGAGTCTGGACCACAGCCGTGAGGGATGGAGGGGAGAGGATGAGCGAGATTAGAGAACGCGGCGGTGTCCCCTCCATTAACGGGTGTCTCAGCTCCGCACAACAGAGTGTGACCACGATCAAGAGACGGGGACTGAGGACAAGTGTCTCTCACCCTGTTTTACTCTCAAGCTCTCGTGAGTTAAGTCATTAGCTGGCATTTCCCTGCTATGCTATCATTTGAGGTACAAGTACACCGGCTTACCTGCTGGCTGCTGAGCTGCTTGATCACGGGCATAAGAGCCTCCTCCGTCCTCCGGCTGCTCCAGCCGAAGCGATTGAGACAGAATGTAAAAGGCCGGTTAAGGAGGCGTGACGCTGTGATGGACACGCACAGACACACAAACACATAGAAAGGATATTCTTTGATCAAGTCGGGCTGCGGGCGTCCCCAGCTGAAGAAGTTATCCGACTGGTCCACGGCGGGTTGCAGGTAAGCCTGAGCCACCGCCGGGTTTGGGAAACCAGGATACAGTTTCAGAGCCTTCAACTTTTTCTTAACCTTCGTGTCCCGAGGATCAGCCACCAGGCGCTTCTTCTCCTGAACCTCGGACCACCATTCACTAGAGGGAACAGCAACGAGGAAGCACAGCTAATTCATAGTTTGGCTTTAGCAATAAGTCTATGGAGGAATTAGGCGTGAAAATATATAATCAGGAACCTTTGTTAACTCAAACCCGGAGGAACACACCTGAACTGTGTGAGTGGCTCCAGGCCGGACCCTGGGAACTCATTCAGTATCTCCATGCCAGTCACATATCCGACCCCCGGAACGCCCTCTGTGTAGTCACTTCCCAGCAGGTACGCCAGGTTTATCAGTTTGGTCCTGTCCAGACCTGAGACGGAGACGGAGGTCGGATTGGAGACGGAGAAGACCAAAAGAGACCAAAAAAAAGGCTGTGTGCTCTCTGCTCAATTTGCAGACCATCGCGACACAATTCAATACAAGATCAGCAGAGGAGCAACAACGTGCAGCCCAGCAGGCCACGTGACAGCCAAACAGCACCATCTGCAGCATCATTTCACCCGAAACGATTAGTCTGTTTTCTTCTCTTTTTTACATTAAACAGGATATTAAGAAGTGACCTGATTGGACGGAGCGTTGGCTTAATTTCCCCCAAAACACAACAGTTTCGCATGAGCATCTCTAAAAGATTTTTTTAGATTTTACAATAAAAGGATAATGATAATAGAACAAGTTCTGACGAAAGATATATATTCATGTATATAGTGTGTATGTATTTGACATCTTCAGTCAACATTTTGTCTGTGATCATGTGTCACGTGATCTGCTAAACTCAAAACATTGAAACTTCTACCAATTAAAATAACCCCAAAAAGGAACTAGGACAAGAAGAAATGACGCAGGAATAACGGCTGAATGCTTGACGAGGCCATGTGACCGGGAGCACCGACCCAGTTGGTTCTGCAGGTCGCTGTACTGGTAGTGTTCCACATATTTGTCCTGGCTGAAGAAGTTCCTGTAGACGTGTCTCCCCCCAAACAGCCACACGTCCGAGTCGTCCGTGATGGTCCCGTTGGTGTGGTCAGCGCGGTCCAGCGCGGCACACTGCGCCTCGGCCTCCATCGGCGCCACCATGAACGGCACGCCGAACAGCCGCAGCAGCTCCTGGGCTCAGAGAGGGAGAAGGTTGTTCACGTCAACCCCCCCCCCACCTCATGCACTTTTAGGTGTTTAGGTGTGATTTCACTGGGTCTTCGGCTCACCTGGCTCTCCAGGTGCATCTGCCCGGTGACCGTGTTCGCCATCCTCTCCTGCTGCTGTTTCAGCTCCCTCAGGTTGCTCTGCTCCACCTGCAGAGAGCTCTCCAGAGCCTCCAGCTCCTCCTGCAGCACAACACACACACACACACACTCTGCATGAGCCTTGTGTCATACACACATTAAACTGCTACACAGCTCAGCCTCAAACCACCAAACGGTGTGCAGTGTTAACTGAGAAGGTGAGGCACAATAAAACGGCGGCTCGTTCCACTCCTGAGGCCACATTCTTGGTTTTCTTAAAGAGAAGCAACGATGAAGTTCTCTGTGTCTAAACCATCATGACAGGAAGTCTCACCACGTCAAAGTGTTCCCATTCATTTATTGCGTGAGTTGAGGTGGATTCTGTCTCTGTTCCGTCCTTTAACTCAGTCTGTCTCTCTGTGTCGTCTTCTTCCTCCTCTTCCTCCTCCTCCTCTTCCTCCTCCTCCTCCAAAGCAGCAGCTGGACTGAGAGCCTTCTCCAAACCGTCCTCTGGTCTTTCTTCTGGCTTGGTCTCATCTTTACAGGCCTCAGGTGGAGATCCTTTCTGTCCAGCCATTACAAGTGAACCGTCTGCACCGCCCTCTTTCAATTCTTCGTCCGACACCTCGATGAAGCTCTCTGAGAGAGAAAAAAAAAACACGCAAAAGTAAGACTTTTTGTTATTGTCTGCGGTTTCGGGAGTCACCAGTGAGTTGCCCTCTTCCCTCGACTGCCACCGTACCTTCTGACTCGCTCTCCTCACGGCCCTCCGACTTCACGTCGTCTCCTTTCCTCTCCTCCGCGGCCTCGACCGCCTCGTCGCTCCTCTGCTTTAACGGCCCGGGGGGCTTTTGGGCCTCCCCGCTGAGGGGTTCCCCACCTGGCTGAGCAGAGAGATTGCTGGACAACGTGTTCCGACCGAAGGCAGCAGCACAGTTCGCCTCTGTGGTCGGCGCTTGTTGTTTCTCCGTGTGGCCTCTACTTCCCCGCCGCGTTTCCTCTGTCGACTGTTTTTTCTGTTCCGAGTCCGCTCCTCTGTCGTTGGGCTTTTGCGCCGTCGCTTCAGTTCTCCGAACAACTGCGGCCCCCGTCTCGTCTCCGGAGCCGCCGGCGAGCAAACTGCGTTTCACCTGCAAACCCCGGACCGCGGGGTTCCCCGTGAAGTCACGGTTCTCACGAGGCAGCATCCCGCCATCGGGTTCGCCCTCCTCCTCGGAGCTGCTGACTACAACTGGCGGCACAGCGCGACGGATGTCGGCCGGCGCTTTAGCAGGTGAGCTAAAGATCAGAGTCCTGTGCTCGGTGTCCTCCTCCTCAGCTAGAGCTCGTTGGATCGCCAGCCGGGTACGCGGGGACACGCTGCCATCCATCTGGTCCCGGTCCGCCGTCTCCTCCTCCTCCTCCTCTGAGCTGTCGTTCATCGCAGCCCGGATCGCCTCCAGTGTACGAGGCGAGGGCGGCGACGCGTCTCCCCGGCTCGGTTGGGACGCGGAGGCTTTGGGTTCCGCGGACGACGGACCCGGCACTTGTGCCTTTGCCTCACAGGGCGGACGCCACAGGGGCTCGGGCCGGTCTGCCGCTCGCCTGGAGCCGCCTGCCGCCGAGCTGCCGGACCAAGCCGCAGCTGCCGGTCGGCTCTCGGGCGCCGCCTCCTTCGTTTTGGAGCCTGCGTGGGAAAAGCAGGGCGGTGTTTCACGTACCAAAACAAAAGACGGGTTTGCAGGATTTAAATCACGATGACGCCTTGATGGCCGCCGGTTGCGTTCAACCATGGAATGAAATATGGAACCAAAGATGCAGTTATGATCATCCCTTTGCTGTAAAAACACAGAACCCCTCCTCTGACCCAGTAAACACACCAGCATGACCTCCCCCACCTTTAATAAGGATGTAGTGAGAGTAGTCCTCTGAAACCAGCCGCTGGGACTCCACGCTGCGACCCTGCTCCTCCCCGTCGCGTTGGCCGAGCTGCGGAGCGCCGCCGGCGCTCTGCTGGCTCATCTCTTTCTCCACGCCGCGCAGACGCTGATTCAGGTGGTTCCTCTGCAGCAGGCCGGCCAACTGGTAGTTGGAAAATTCTCCTGACCGCTGAGAGGAAGTGAAGAAGAGTCAATGATGAAGAGCAGGAAATGTGTGTGTGTGTGTGTGTGTGTGTGTGTGTAAACGGTACCTCTGGGGGTTTGTGGTACATGGTACGGCGTCTTTTGGCAAACTCTTTCATGTCTTTGAGTATCTCGTGTTTCATTTCAGGAGGCAGGCCGGTGAACTCCTCCGAGTTGATGTCCACGGAGTTTGGGTCCCCGTGCGAGTCTCCCTGAGAGACAGCGAGCCGCCGACCAACATATGACTTTGTTGTGGATGTGACTCCAAATAACTCGTGGAGTAGAGTTTTTATAAAGCAATCAAAGCAAAACGTGGCCACAGAGAGGCTTTCACACTGGCGAGGACAAGACCAGGTTTAAACAACAACCAAGTACCAAAGTACCATCAATATTTGCTTGAACAAACTATATGAAGCGAAGCCATTCATTCGTTCATGTGGTGACTTTACCTGATACATCTGATAGCCGTCATCCGTCTGCTCCAACTCCTCGTCCTCCTCTGAACTGAATAAATGAAACAAATATAAATGGTCTATGTTCCAGTATTATGGGTGAATTAACAGCATAAAGGAAAATATCTTTTGCAAAGTGCTTCTTCGTGCAAGGTTTACGTCTCATTGATTGACTTGATTCTCCCATCACATGCATATCGAACCTTTACCAGCCCCCACTAAGCGGATGTGTGCTAACCCGAGGAGCGGACTTCAACTACAACAATACCAGTGACCAGTGACCTTCTCTGACCTGCTTTTTTCAGCCTCCTCTGAAGCTGGCAGGGCCGGTAGAACATACATGTCGTCAACCTCATCTCTCCTCACAGTGGAGAGGCTGGGAAGAGGATCCTTACTGGGGCCGGATGACAGGGAGAGGAACTTCAGACGACTGAAATAGACAGATCATTGTGTGCATAGAGAGAGAGAGACCTGTGGTCTCCAAGTGCAGCTTTGACAGCCTGTCTCTTCAGGAACGTCTTCAGGAGTTTCTCATTAGTCTCTTTGGACTCCCGGCTCAACTCCTCTTTCCTCTGCCTCCTCACCGCCTGCAGGAGGAGACCACAGAGAACACTGTGGAGAATCACACGCGTTTGGACGAATCGCCCCAAATGATGCAGGTGTTTGTCCAGGACCCCCCCGCTGGCCGTACCAGGGTCTGTCTCTTCAGCAGCGGCGCGTCCCCGTCAAACACAAAGATCGGCCTGATGCGGAAGAAGAGCAGCTTACAGATGCGGTGGAAGAGAGTGAGCAGGTGGGCGTTTTGGACGCTGTTGCCGTCGCGGTCCCTCACCCCCTTCACGGCCTGGTTCAGCCATATGCTGATGTCTGGAGGGGGGTCCGGTTAAGGTTCACGCAGTAGTTTGACACAATATGCGCTCGGTCGCGTCAGTGCATCCGAGCGGAGACGTGCAGGCGAGGGGATGGAGACCTGCTCGATGACGGACGGATGTGGGAGGATAAAATGAATGGATCACATGCAGGTTGTAAAAGGATACCGACGGCCAGGATCTTTCCCTCCAGGGTCTCGGGGTTGATGGGCTTCCCCGTGGTCTCCAGCAGCCTCCACAGTCCATGCACTCCCATGATCACTGCAGTCCACGACTCTCACGACGAGTAAAAAGAAGAAAAAAAGAAATCGCGACTAGTTACCTGTTCAGGACCATTGCGAGCGTTTTATTGAATCAACTTCGAAATGACTGAGGCGAGTGAAGAAGAGAGGGGGCATTGTAGAGGTACTTTTCAACGTTCGATGTAACACTATTTTTTGTCCGGAGAGCATTAATGGTCCGCGCGCGAAGGTTCCGTGTTGTTTCCGTCGGGTCATATTTAGGTGTTGCACCACTAGCTCCGGTGTAGCACCCATTTACCGGATCGGTTTCTGTTAATTCTGTTAATCCACGATGTAAAGCTACAGAGTAACCGATTGGAGATCAGTTGTGTGTTCAGTAGACAAAGGGGAGGAAGGGGGGCATTTATTGTATCCACACGTTTGCAAACCAGGTAGCGTCCCTTGGCCGGAAGTGTTGCCTGAAACACCGATCCCAGGGAAAATAATAATCACTTCCTCCTCTAAGGCCAACTGTGTCCGGTAACACAACAAACAGCTGACTGCTGCTTACACGGATTACTGCTGGTTTGCTTCCATTCTTTCCCGGTATGTTGTCTAATAATTTCTCTGAATACCAAAATCCGATCCCCAGGTGTGGGCTAGCTACCGATAGCAGGGTAGCGCTGACGCTACTTTAACTCGGGATTGTTAAACTTCCCGTTAAAGCGCCTGGGCGAACAGAAGCTACCGAGTTAGCTTCTCTGCTAACGTGTGTATCGTTATCGGCCCCTCAGCTGTAAACCCCGACCTTTGACCCGCGGCATTATTTGCTCGACCTCCCGAGCGCTGAATGATGAATGGCGTTAATAACAGATTGCATTTTTCTTCTGTTCACCGTCTCAGGATGACCAGTCCCCCGGGTTCCCCCTGAGCCACAGACTGCCCTCTCGACTGACACCTCCACCTCCACCTCCTCCACCATGACCGCTGCTGTGAGAGGTAACGTCACCCATTGTTTTCAATTAACCTCCTGGAATTTACGTCTCCTTCCTGTTCATCAAGTTTCATGAAATGGATGAAACGTCTTGTATTGAGGTTGCTTTTACATTTGGGCTTCGGGTTCGTGTATTGTTTTAATATGCAGGGGAAGTGGTGTCTTCTCATCCAGCATGCATAGTAAAAGCCAATTCTCAGGGTCTAATTTGGACCGATCACAAGCAGCTGTACAGCTGCATGTTAAACCTGGACCTTTATGGTAATCTACCCAACCGCTACCAATAACGTATTACGGCTCAATATCCAGCCCTTAAAGGCTGCTTGGGAGGGTCTGTGGCTACACGCTGGCATCTATTTGACACCTTGAAGTTTTTGTCCCATCTTGTTTTGGCAAATCAACGTGTGCAATACGACGGTGTTTATAGGAATGTAAGAGTAATCTGCTTTGAAGTGCAAACGTGACTGTATTAATTTTGTCCAGGCCCCACCGGTGTGCCTATCCGAGGAGCTGGCGATGGCATGGAAACTGAAAAACCGCCCACCGCCATTCTGGAGGTAAACACCGATACACCGCCGCCGCCGGGTCCGCCCGCGGTTTCCCTCCTGAAGGTGGCGAGCCCTAAACGCAGCCCCAAATCCACCCAGCCCGCTCCTCCTGCGGCTCCCCAGCCCCTCGGGGTGCTCTACCTGGGCAAGGTGAGTCGAGAGGCCTGCACGGAGGTGGAGGCTGTGAGGATCCTCATCCCCCGCTCTGCTATCAGCCGGCACACCCGTACAGGACCCGCTGAGGGCAAAGGGGAGGCCGGGCAGCAGGGCCAGGGCTCTCCCCCGCTGCCTCTGGTGGAGGACTGGAGAGGACAGATGGAGAAGCTGCAGAACTCTGAACGCCGGCTGCTGCAGGACAAGGAAGGCCTTTCCAATCAGCTCCGTGTGCAGACCGAGGTAAGGCCCCAAACGAAGAGGATAGATTCTGTTTAGTCGATGCGGCGGGCTTTGCCACGGCAGGTTTCATGTACCGAAACATGCAAGGCGTCTTGATATGTTGCACAGCGATCAGAATCAATGAATTTTAATGTGTCCTGTGAAATGTCTTGACTTCATAATTCCGTACAGTTGATACAATACAGTCATTTGTCTTATCTTAGAAATGAGCCCACTGTATTGTTGGGTCATCCTTTCAGCAATATTTCTGTATTTCAGCAAAATTTCTGTGCACCAGGTAAACCGTGAGCTAAAGAAACTGCTGGTGGCGTCGGTGGGTGACGACCTTCAGTACCACTTTGAGCGTCTGTCGCGGGAGAAGAACCATCTGATTCTGGAGAATGAGGCCCTCGGCCGGAGTCTGGCCCACACGGCCGAGCAGCTGGAGCGGATGAGCATCCAGTGTGACGTGTGGAGGAGCAAGTTCCTGGCCAGCAGGTTTGAAATGCACCAAAACAAAAGCCGTAACAAAAAACCCTGCAACCGTATGTCTGGGACAAGACCCCCCAAAACAATGAGGATTACATGAAGAATATCAACAATAATCATGCTGAATAAACGCTCTGTTCAGGGTCATGGCCGAGGAGTTGACGAGTGCCAGAGCGGCTCTGCAGAGGCAAACCAGAGAGGCACAAGGCGCCATTCAAGACCTGCTGTCGGAGAGAGAAGAGTTCTCCAGCGACATGGTGCTCACTCACAGGTAACATTAGTACATTTATTATTTAGAAAACTAGCGGGACATTTATCGATGGCTGAGAAGAGAGGACACACAAACCAACATGCGTGTTTTTAAAAACGTCAGTATTCTGCTCTTGATGTCCACAGTCTAGTGGGTTTGTTTAGAAATAAAATGCCATTTGGTCAAATACAAAGAGACAAATCTTTTTGCTCAACATTGACTCGTATATATATTTTTTCTGATTGGCACAGCTTAGTAGTAAGAACTTGACCAACACTCATGTTAATGTGGAATGAAATGGCCTTTCCCTTCTTTTTACATGTTAAGCTTTACGTAAACATTTACAGCTTCAGTCGTTTCCATCGGTTCCATAGTATTCATTTGCATGTAGGATAAACATACTTTAATTCTGAAACCTTTTGTTACATAAAACTATTTTAACATAAAGTGGCTGCTTTTCAAAGTAACTTTTGATGAAGCTGCACAGCTTCAAAGAACTTGAGCTGGAGCAAACTCAAGTTTGCCCGTTTGTTTTGTTTCCGTCGTCAGGTCTCTGGAGCAGCTCCTCGTCTCCCTGCAGTGGGGCAGACAGCAGACGTACTACCCCAGTGCACAGCCCCTTAGCACAGGAGAGCTGGCAGCAGCCAATCACAAGCTGGCAGTCGCCATCAACTCCCATCTGTTGGGAAACACCAGCAGCAGCATCAGCGTGGTTAAGAGCAGCACCGTCACGGCTGAGCTGCTCTGCAGCACTCCGGCTGAGAAGATGGCTGAAAAGGTGGGAAGTCCACACCTGTGTGGAAATCTGAGCCTTTTCTATTATTCGTTGTAAAATCCAGCGCTTCACACACGTTTTTATCCGTGTTCTCTCCCAGGTGCTGAAGATTTTGGATCCAATTTCCTGTTCGGAAAACCAAGAAGACCCTCCGCTCACTGACTCCTCCCCCTCGAGCTTTCTGAGCAGCAAGAAGAGCATCGGCAGGTTCCACCCATACACCCGCTACGAGAACATTACTTTTAACTGCTGCGAGCGCTGCTCGGGGGACATCCTGGTGCTGTAGGGGCCCAACGAGTGATATCAGGAGATAACTGCTGCTGTGTGTTAAGGGACGTCATCCCTCAGCAACGAAAGGTCGCTGCTCCAGCAGACGCCATTCGTAGTAAGAGGCCTTTGCTACACACTGACTGTTGCGTTTCCACAGTTTCTGATGTTTTAAAATTGTATTTTAATTAGGAGGAAAAAAAGCTGATAAATGGATTGGAGGAATAATGCTGAATTACAGCCTGGTTTAAATAATGTAAAGGGCTATTTATTGTTGAGATGTGAGGTCAGTGTTACATGATGAACAGACGGTGAGGCCTTTCTGCTTATTTATACCTGAACATTAGACTAGTGTTTCATTTCAATTATATGAGTAATGTGCTGTCAGAGCGAATAGGCTGTAATCAGACGCGCGAGGAAGTTCACAAAGGGGCTAACGTGCTAATTGAACTGTCACGATGCCGCTCACACCGCAAGGGCCCAGATGTCTCAGTGTGAAGGTGCTGTCATATTTCAAAAATAGTGTATCGATATTTTGTATTACGCTTGTAAAAGTGGTGTCGTATACATTCAATGTCTTGGAGGGGTTTGATGGTACTACCACATGTATTATACACAAAGAGAAGCATTCAATGCAGAGTTTAACTTTTCTGGTGTTACAAAAGATTGGTGCATTTTTCTAAAATAAAAATTCCATAAAATGTCATATTTTAAATATTTTTTATTGAATCATGTCATTTATTTTGGGTGATTCTATTTAAAATGCTGTTCAAAACCAAGCTGTATCGATGGTTTGGTATATTTGGTCTGTGGAATTGATGGTGACTGGTTTACTCTAAAGGCACACCAGAAAATTATTTATACATTTTGTTTTCCATGTTGGACCAAAAATAAAGACCAAAGTAGCTACCACTTTGTTTTTAATGTCTTGTTCTTGTAATAACTCTGAAATAAAGCAGTCAGTGAGCCCCATCGACTGCCTATTACAATTTTAACCGCTTGTCTCAGATTTTGACATTTTCTCAGACGCCACTTGTTATCCTTCTTATCCCAAGTTACAATTTGTATCGACTTTACTCCGTATCCCACCACATGTTGCCTCCGCCAGCACCTTTCTTCCCCCCCATGGTGCTCTTCAGCGATGTCCGTATTCTGGTTGCGGCTGGTTTGTTTTCTCTGTCGCGGGGGCGTCCGGCCAACCGGTCGCTCCCACTGAGCCCAGACTCTTGAGCGGGTCTGGGAAGAGTTTGGCCCTCGTATTTAAACTTCCTGTCACCGTTTCTTTCTTCAAACCTAAGCGGCCTGCCACCATCCGGTCTTGGGCCGTGATTCGAGACGCCTTTTCCTCTGTTGTTGCCGCCGTCTTTCTGTGTCCGTTGCTGGTGGAAGCCATCATACTTCCTCTTCGGCACGAACATCAGCGCCTCCTCCCATTTCCCCGTCTCCTTGAAAGTGAGCATGATGCGGATCATCTGGTCCAGAGTCAGATTTTTGGCTCCCACCTCCCAGTGCAGGAACTCATCCAGCGGTAAACGGGCCGTGGCCAGATTCAGACGCTTGGCGTTGGCCAACGACAAGCCTGACTGGATCGAGCGATCCACCAGGGCTCCGATGATGTAGACCTTGGAGTGGTCGTACGTGCGGAGGACGTTGGGGGAGTCTGCGGTGAGGTACACCAGACGTTCCCGGGGGAAGCGCTCCACGTGCTGTTGGTCGGTGCTGGTGACCAGCAGGCGGTCCCAGGCCTCCGCGCCGTAGCGTTTGACCAGCTCTCTCTTGTAGGCTCCGTCCTCCTGCAGGTTGCAAAAGTGGAGGTGGTAAGGGTCAGTGGCCCGCCGGTTCCACCCTTCCACCTCCATCAGCTGGGACACCGTGTTCTCCAACTCCCGCTTGGCCATGTTGGAATCATAGCTCATGTCAAACACCAGCGGCTGACCGAACACCATGGCCTGGGCGGTCCTCCAGCCAAAGAGCTTGTCCATGGAGCGGTCCCAGAAATGCATGATCAAGTGGTTTTTCAGCTCAGGTCCTCTCTCTTCCTCGGCATCGCCGTCCTGTCCGCCGCTCTGCTCCATTGAGGCCTCCCTCGCCGTCTTCTTCTGCAGCTGCTTCTCCTTGCGGGCCCTTTTGTGGCCCTCCCTGATGGCCAGGTACTTCAGGTACTTCCTCCTGGAGGACTTGGTGGTGAGCTCGGACAGCGTCTGAACCTCTTCGTCGGTCATCTCTTGAGGCACAGTTTTGCCGGCTTGCTGCCACATTGCGACCAGATCGCGGGTCGCCTCGAGCGAGGAGCCGTCTTTAGAAACAACGCCTTGTTCTTTGAGGTGTCCACCCTCGTCCTCGGCGCTTCGCCTGGTCTTTTCTGGTGCCGCTCGGGCTTTCATTACGGATTTCCATTTGTCCAGATCCAGAGTGTGCATCTCATTGGGGTCGGTCGCTCTCCGACTGAGGGGCATCTTTCCACACCGGGATCCCGGTGTTGAGGCGACCAGCGGAAATGTGCGGCCGGTGGAGAGCGGCGATGCTGCCTAGGAGAGAAGTTCTGACTTGTCTCTTTGTAACACGGGACGCCAAAGAGAAACCGCCTTTCCACAGTTCATAACAAGCCGGGTTAGTGAAAAGCCGTAACATTGTGATGAACTGTATTGAACTGCAGCGAAGTACGGTACTAACGAGAGGAAATACAGACGGACACTTTGTCCTTACGTGCCATCAACCCGGGTCTCTCCGTTTTACAGTCAGTAAAATGTAATCTACATTTTTAAGTCTTAGATATTGTTTCGTCCACTCGTCGCGACGTTCATGCTTGTCCAAAAATAAGAGAAGGTCACGTTGTTCAAATGGTGTCACACTATAATAGGTCGTAGGGAAACGCTACTATGTTGCGCGATACAAATTGTATGGTTCTAAATGCGCATCTCTCATCGGCTGATAATAAAAATATATTTTAAATTTAAAAAGATGTTACTACAACTTGCCAATGCTGCTTTAACTCTCTATTGGAGGTGAATACAAATGATATGAACTGTTTTTAGACTAACGGTAATTTCATGTCGTATCAAGCCGGATTCTTTTCCCCAGCGACCTACAACATTTATGACGTAACTTCCGCCTGTTAGCACAACAAAGGAAGCTAACTTTGTAGCAGCGAAAATGAGTCTTTTTTTGAACAAATTAGCTTGCAAAAGAGACATAGATGAAGTCATCAAAAGTGTAGCAGAAAAAGTTGTGGTTTTGAGGTTTGGGAGGGACGAAGACTCCGTTTGTCTGCACCTCGATGAAATTGTAAGTAGAACCATTAATGGAGATAAATGACTGCTAAATGTTAGTGACGTTGGGACACGACTGTTTTTATTTTGCAAATGTGTCTTTCTGTCAATCGTAGCTGTCAAAAACCGCCCATGACTTGAGCAACATGGCGTCCATCTACATCGTTGATGTGGATAAAGCTCCCATCTACACGAGATACTTCGACATCAGTTACATCCCCTCCATTGTCTTCTTCTTTAACGGACAGCACATGAAGGTGGATTATGGGTGAGTGAACATTGCTGAAGTTGTGATCGTCTGGTAAACAAACACGTACGATTCTCCTCGTCAAACAGTTTAACTATAGGGTGGCATTAACGATTTAACTCCTAAACCAAGATGTGAAATCTTACAGATCGCCACAGTTTACAGATCTCCTCGACATCTTCAAATGTCTCCCCCATAAACAAGGCAAAAATATTCAATGTATGTTACAGTTGTAGCTGAAACCGTGTTTATCACTTTGAAAATGACCTTATTGGTTAAACGGCCATCGCATTTCCCTCCATCCAACAGTCCACATCCCAGAGCTCTTGAGAAGCTGGTTTTGAATTTTTGCCACCTCTACAACTTTAAACAAAATAATCTGATCTTATTTTTTCTTCTCAGTTCTCCAGATCACACAAAGTTTGTTGGCAGCTTTAAGACCAAACAAGATTTCATGGATCTGATTGAGGTCATATACAGAGGCGCCATGCGTGGGAAGATGATTGTGCAAAGTCCCATCGATCCTCGAAATATTCCCAAATTTGACCTCCTATACCACGGAATTTAAAACGAACACCCGCACAATGCAGCCTTAAGGTCATTATGATTTCCAACACGTGTTTGATTGAAAAAATGTGTGTTTTGATAAAATAGGTTCTGCTAATTTATTTAATATATGCCTTGTTAAAATGCACTCATGTTGACGTTTCCTATGGAAAAGAGTGAGACACAATAAAATCGATGTACATGCTCAGTTTTTTTTATAATAAACTTCTTTTTTAATCTTGCCTCATTAATCACAATCTCAAGAGCACCAGTTAAAGTAAAATGGCCAACTGAATACAATTTCTGGATAACTGACCAAATAATCGATTCAAGATTAATAGTGATATGAGTCGTACTTGCAGCCCGACAGAATACACCAAACCTGTTGGAATTAAGATTTGCTGATATGAAATAGCTGTCTTTGGTTGATGGCCGATGCTACTGCTGGGCGATGACAGAATATGGAATCATACCATCTTTCTGTGTAAACATTGTCAATAAACCGCACATGCTACTGTGAAACACAATTAAATGATCCAAATCCATAATAACAAGTTTGTTTTTCAAATAAATAAAAAAATGTAATACAGTTATTTCATATGTAGTATGTTGAATGTTGTCATTGAATTACCATATAACATGCTATATGTTGATATATCTTTGTATTAGATATTACATTCTCATATCTTGATCACCCATCCCGCGCCATAAACTCCCTTTGAATCTAAAGGTGTTCTTCCACATTCAGAGTTGACCCAACACGGCCTCTTTTCCCTTCTGCCACAAGAGACAACATCAACGGATGACGAATTGTGGGTGTCCATCGTTGCGTGCCTTCAGCAGCAGGCGAACCTCTCTGTTCATCCCCGGCGTCTGGCTGAGGACTGTGTGGTGGTGACACTGTCAACACTGGTGTTATATAGTCCAGAACAGAGGAGGCAAAGGCGTTGATGTCTGTGTGGGAGTCCAGTGTGGCCTCGGTGGCAAACACTCCAGTCTGTGTGTTCAAACCGGAGCTGTAGTGCAGAGTCGTCTCCCTCTGGCCTCACTTTAACTGTCCTCACAGTGGGTTTCACACGTCCGATGAGAGGTGAACTTTGGGGAGAACCTGGGTTTCACTGGATAGGAAGGGTATTAAAAGTGATGTTGGGTGATAATTCTGAGATGTAGTAAAATAAAACTGCGTAAAATGGAGATACACAACACGTATCTCCGGGTCGTTAATGTGTCGATCGGTTGACTTTACGCACGTTGAGTCGTGACTGTCTTTAACATACAGTGTTTTCCTCCTCAGAGGAGCCGGCAGTGTGCACGCCCCAATGTGTGTCTGTGGTTGGCGCTGTACAGAGGAAAGACTTGACTTATGGCACACTTACAACCATTGATGTGTGAGCTATTGTTTGAGATTACACAACTAATAACACAACTCACAAGTTTAAACTTCTGATCTCTGATTAAATTGTAACGTCTTGCCACCTGCTCCATACATTTTGGAGCTGCCTTCCACCTTTACTACTGCGTCCGTACAACCTGAATCTATAACCAAAGTAAACAAGTTTATGAAGAAAACGGCGTCGGGTCAAACAATAACTGCTATCTCATAATAGTTAATATAGTTAGCTATCTGTGTGTTTGCGACATTTACCAGGGGCGGATTCTTCATCCTGTCATGTTGGCAGGACGGACTGGAACAAGCTGCTGAACGTGCTCATTTCAGTCAATATTGCATCAGAAAACATAAACGTCTTTACCAAAAGGTTAACACTATAACCTCTTTGCATTCTGTTGATGATGTGAGTTCATTTGTTCATGTTTGAAACTAGATTCCTGCCCTGCTGTGGCCCATTAAACCTTTTATTGTTTAGTTTAGTTTACAAAGAGAACGTGTAAAGCTCTATAGTCAAAGATCTCTAATTCGTCAACTTCAAAAACAAAAATCACGCCAACCCTTCTTTTTTCTTTTCTCTTAATCTTGAAAGATAAATCACTGGCAAAGTAGCCTGGCACAACATTTGCAAATTTGTTTTTACGTCTACATCTGAAGGTGCCCTGTGGAGTAATAGATGGTGTGGAGGAACGTTTTGATGAATGCTTTTCTGTTTTGTTTGTACGTTCGAGGATGCACAAATACGTCCAGGCAAAGTTGATATGATGTTTTCCAACTGCAGAGGGCAGCAAAGCAAATGTATAACTGAACTAGATGGTGGTATCAGGATACGTCTGCATGTAGAGCTGATTGATGTCTTGACTTGGTGGAATAAAACAAGCCATCGTCGCTTTGTTAAATAGTCTCACTTCTTCTTGGGGCTGACAGTGGTCTTTGTAAACTCCTAATCCTTGTTGTCCCTCAAGATTGAGGACACACCTGTAGACCCCCTCCCTCAAAGTCCCTGAAACGGATGGAAATTTTCCCTCATGTTTGACTTGCAGGCAACAGAAGGAATGGTCGCTATTAGGAATGTTAAGGAAAAATAATGATTCTTAAAACAATGCAACTGTTGTACATTTTTGGACCCTCGCCCTTAAGTTAGTTAAACAAACAGGACCAGGAAGATGGTCCTGAACTGTGGGAAATAGGCCAATGTTGGCCGTCACGCAGAGCTTTAAACGGGTTTTAGCTTATTTTATTTTTGTCCCAGACGTCCTGTTTGTGGATCAGTGCCACGGTCGTGTGCTTCCTCCTCGGATGCGTTTAGCCCGTTCCTTCGCCATGAGGTTCCTAACATAAAAATGTCTTTCAGACCAGGACGCTTAGAAAATAGCCTTAATGTGTGATGGATATTGTACATGCACCAGATAAAGATGTTCACCATTATTAACTAATATGTTTTTCCGACATGCAGTAGAAGTCGCTACAATTCTGGTCCCCCATAGTCATTGAAGGTCTCTAATTTCATTTTTAGTGTGACAGATTGGGAATGGACAAGAATAACAAATACTCCGTGATGAGGGGACAGTGATCCGTAACACATATCAATCCACTGCTCCTGCCTCCTCTCCACTGTTTCCATCCGATGTCTTGGAAAGTGTTTCTGAGTTGCTCTCATTTAGAAGGCAAGGCCAGTTTATTTGTGCAGCAAATATCAACAACAAGGCAATTTAAAGTGCTTCACATAAAACCATTAGGACCATCAACACATAAAGCAAAATAAAAAGGCATGTAAAAACAATTAGGAGCATTGATTGAAACATTAAAAACAGACATTTGAACAATAAACATGCTTAATATAGAATAAAAGTCTTAGCGCAGTTTATTAAAGACAGTAAAATGCATCCACTTCATCCTTTAACAATAGAGTTGTCTCCTATTCTGTGCTCTGAATCGATATGGATAAAGCTAAAGACAGATCCGTCTCCCTTTCTTCTTTGGCCAAAACCATCTTATTCTGCATATACTGTATTTGAAGAGATTCAAATAAGTTAATGCGTAATGTCCACAAGCTTCAATTTGGGATGCCCTGTTCTTGACATTGTTAATATCAAAATGTTATATTGCAAATCAAATGGTAGAAGGAAATGTGAACCGATATCCTCTGTATATTTACTGAATCGCTTTTGATGCACTTTGAGTCTAATGAATCAAAATGAGCTGCAATATAATTTGGGCATTTTGCAGGCAATTGATTTTGATACATCGGTCACTAAAGCTGTCTATTCTATTCTATGAGTCATTCTTGCTCGGTCTTTATAGAGTCATTTTCTATTCTCACAAACACTTTAATTCTATTCTAATTGGCGGGGTGGAATTGTTTGATTTTTGACAGATAAGCTTTTTGGGGACGAGACAAGCCAAACAGGGGACATATCATTCTCTCTAATATTCATTCTCTAATGGCTTTTACAAACGACAAGATATATTCTGGCTTAACATTTATTAAACACATGTTGTGGGGAAGTGTAGTCGCAAAAAAGGTTCTCAAATGCAAAACACTCAAATTGGTTGACTGCAGGGTATTTTAAAACATGGACAAAATCTAATTTACATTTGTCAACATCTGTCATGTCTGTAAATACAGCAGCACAGTTATAATCAATTGACCTTTCTATCTTCAAGACAGAACATGTTTTTTCTTGAAGATGACTTGGAAGTCAAAAGTTAGTGTATGTATAATAGATAAGACATCATAAGACATAAGATCATTTATGTGACAGCTGAATGTTGATGTAAATGAATGTTTGCATGAATCACTAAGAATGAAATAGTTTAAGTATTGTTATTTTGCAATAGAGTAAAATGATTATAGTTGCAAGATGTTGTAGAGTGGATTCATCAAGGATGATGTTGTCTGAGGACACCCGTGGGCTGTGCAATAAAAGCATTTTTCTCTTTCTTAGTAAACCTTTAGTAAAGCAGTCACAAGCTATTTGGGAGTGGAAAACGTGTTCAAACTCCCACATGAGACATAAGGTGAAGTTGGCTCTCTGTTTAACCATTTGCATTGAAATAGTTTTATTGTGGAACCGACACCTCGCTAAAATGACAAATCTATAAAGCCTTGAAAATTTTGTTTGAAATATTGTCACAGTATAATTTTGTCCGACAAAAAATAGCATAAACGTTTGGTTTTTCCCTAAGATTCTGTCCTTAAATACAATGCAGCCATTCACAACCTGCAGCTCCCACAGAGCTGCAGGTTGTGCAGAGTGATGTCAAGCATCAAACCTCCCTGCAGGTAATTGTGTCATTATGAAGAAAGGGAATAGCTGAAATACAACACTAGCAAATGTTATCTATCCTGCACTTAGCTCCAAGCAGAGTGCTCTCCAGGAAACCACAGGCAACACGAGGACACGTTCAAATGGTACAAGACAGAAGTTGAGTGCTGTCTCCTGCTGCACTCACAACTAATCATATGTTCTAAGGCAGAGTTCACTATGGACCAAGGAGTCCTGTCCATTACATTACATTACATTACATTACATCAGATTACATTACATTACATTACATTACTGTAATTCACTCCTGTAATTCAGTAATGATGATACTGATTATTTATTTATGTATCTATTTATTGTAATTCATGTTTGGTGTAGCAGATGGAGAAGGTTAAACCTCCAGAGACCCCCCCCGCCCCCCCTCTCGCCCACTCTCCCCTCCGCCCCCGAGGGGGCGACCTGAAGCCGCTGCCAACTCATCGGCGGCCCGGTGCTGCAGGGAGGGACGCGGCGGCGCAGGACGAGCCCCGCTGAGCCTTGAGAACTTTGCCAACCGAAGGAAAGGAGTTCGCTCACAAATAAATGCCAGTTTATTTGCCACATTTCTAGAAACTTTCGCGTTCAGAGGGGATGCTCGGGGTCGCTGGAATGACGGGCAGGTAAGATTGCTTTTTTTTCTCATAAGCTTCTGTAGCTGACGTCATCGGCTAAAGCTAACGTCGTGTTAGCTTACCGCTACAGGACACTCGATACACGCTGTTAAAGACCCCGGCAAACATTAGCAGCATCAGTTCATAATCTAACGTCAGTCGACGCTGGCAGTTTGAAGGCGTTCTGCTCCTGCCCTGACGTTAGCTATCTTTATTTAAATCAGGATAGTTTTCTTCCCCAAATCGGAGCTAACTATGCTAATAGTAATTCTCAACATGTTGAAAATGATTAGCGCTTGCGTTGATCATAGCCATTATGGCCATTGATTCATTCAAAGTTCTTTAAAGATGGCAGCTAATGCGTTGGATGACAGTACTAGACAAGAAGATAAAATAACACAAAAACAACATAACTTTTGGTTGGTGTAACGTCACGTGCCACTATTATATTTTGCAACTCATTGCTAAATATTCGTGTTCAACATGCAGCTCCAGTCACCAATTGTCCTTTACTGACCCGAGTTACTGCCAGAAAGTCTTGTGTTGTGGGACTGCATTAAACTGTGCATGGATTGGTCTGGGTAACATTAGTGTGTGTGTGTGTGTGTGTGTGTGTGTGTGTGTGTTTCATATGAATGGCTGCGCATTGTCATTCAGATAGGTGTCAGCACCTCTATTCCAATACCTAATTAGGAGATCGCAGCGGAGGGAGTAACAGTGTTGGTGAATTCCCAAACTGATTCACACATTATTTCCCGCTCACCATGGTAACAGCTGCTGAAACAATCACAACATAGTTATGTGAAAAAATGATAAACACCGGTCCAGGCGTGCATCCCAAATGCCAGCCTGACATTTCACTGGGACTCTGGGGGAAGTAACATGAACTAATATGTATTTTCTTGTCTCGTGCAACAGCATTGCTAATGCCCTGGCCAGTGCAGCATGTGAACGTTGCAAGAGTGGCTTTGCAGCCACCGAGAAGATCGTCAACAGTAATGGGGAGCTGTACCACGAGCACTGCTTTGTGTGCGCCCAGTGTTTCCAGCAGTTTCCAGAGGGACTCTTTTATGAGGTAGTGCACGCCGAAACGCGCCGCGAACCCTTTCACGAATTGATCAACCAGGCTGTGTGCTGCACGTGGACTGCGGATTTGCCATTATGGAGAATGTTTTGAATGTTTCTCCTGAGTGAAATAATACAGACCCTCTTTTTGTCACAGTTTGAAGGGAGAAAATATTGTGAACACGACTTCCAGATTCTCTTTGCCCCTTGCTGCCACCAGTGTGGTGAGTGTTATAAGGCCTCATTCATTTTTTTTTCATGCCTGTCTAGATGTAATAATGTGGGGACTACACTTTGTGTAAATATTAAAATCCTTTTGATTCTTACATATTATCTATATCTAACCATGTCTGTATCAAAATGATACGTGGTCTTCAAATGATTTGGGGGGATTAGGCTTTGCTTCGCTGCTCACCACCTACGCAAAGGACCTTTTTTTAGATTCCTGGAAGCGTGTGTGCGGTTCAACCTGTAACCCTCCCTTGCACAAGCCTCATGACTCGATCTGAAAAGGATTCACCTGTTAACGATTTGCTTCAACGATGACTCATCTCAATGCGTAGCGTCCTCAGTATTGAATTTTACTTTTACAATTAATACGAGCAATCAAATAAATCTAGACTTGCTTAATATATTGTTAATAGGTAATAATTGTGCCGTTCCCCACCGTTCAGCCTTGGTGAAACACAAAAATTCAAGGAGAGCCGAGAGGAGGGAAGAAAAAAAATACAAGCGTGAAAATCAATGACAGCAAAACGTAGCGACACGGATAATGTTCTGTCACTCCATTGATGCAGGATCATTCACGTCTGCACCACAATTCCTCTTACAATTTAAAAATGTCCACACCTCGGGTGTTAATGTGTGCGAGGTTTGCCACGACACAAGCACATTAAAACATCTTGATTAAGCTTCAGTTTAATGCAGCCAGCTTTATCTGACAAACCTTTCATAAACCGCTCACACTCTGTCTCGTGTCTCGCACACAGTCTCGTGTCTCGCACACTGTCTCATACTGTCTCTCATACTGTACAGGTTTGTACATTGTTGCAATGCAGAGAACATCTGGAAAGGCGCTGCATGTCGTGCTCTTCGTAGTTCCCCCTCATTGAGGCTACAAGCCAGACAACGTATCGCAGACAAGTTAAAGTTAAATGCGTGTTGGTAAAATGTACAGGCTCTGTAAACAATCAGATTATACTTCTTTAAATGTGGAAGCTTCATGGCATGGATTTTATTTTGTATAGCACAATCTTGAAGAGGGATGGATGGACGATATCGCAAATTTGCCTCAGAGGGCTTTACAGTCTGTACACGTGTGACAGTCTAGAAACACTCAGGCGGGCACAGGAAAACCTCCCCAAACAATGAAAAGGCCTCCAACAGGGAGAATAAAGGGAAGAAACCTTTAGAGAGACAGAGGAGGATCCTCCCTGGGACGGACAGAATGAACAGCGTAAAAGATGCACAATACGTACAATTCATCTGACAGAAATGATTCAAATACACATATTATCTCCTCACACGTGTTCATGATCATGTGCTCGTCAGCGGAGAAAAAAGACGCTCTTACTTTACGTTTATTTGCCGCTGTACTGTTAAAAAATCCTGGTTTCGGTGATCGACTCTTCCGCCTTCTGACGCCGGACGCACACGCGCGATTATCCTGATCAAACTAACAGGAGGAACTGAGACTGACGTCAATCATGCCGTTAGTTTGATCTGGATAATGGGACATTTGGATCGACTTAGTTGAACCACGTACGAGGAACAGGGCCCTGATCTTTAAGTGTATTCATGCTTTTGTTTACCTTTTTTTTATTTAGACCATCCCACTTGTGTTTAGATCACCCACGATGCATTTAAGTGCTCCGTAAGCTTAATCTAAATACTCCCTGACTGTGCCCAGTGAGAGACAGACATGCTCTAATTAAATGAAATAGATCAAATTAAATTGTATCCAACAATGAACTGCCACTTTGAGAACACTATAGGAAGCACTGCAGTGGATTGAAGTAACACCAGAGCTCCATAGTGTTCCGCTCATTAGGAACTATGATATATGAATATGAATATTTTGTGTATGACATGGCGATGGGATCCAGTCACAACAAATAGGGACTCAGACTTCTGCTGTCCTCAAACTGATCTCTCACTTATGGATTTCCCTCAGGGGAGTTCATCATTGGTCGTGTCATTAAGGCCATGAACAATAGTTGGCACCCCGACTGCTTCTGCTGTGACATTTGCCAGGCCGTGCTGGCGGACGTGGGCTTTGTCAAAAATGCTGGCAGGTGAGTATCCCGTCTTCTAGTCTTAATAAGGTGACCCTGTGACAGCCTGTGAAACGGGTGGTTACACTCGTATCTCGCCGCTGACGCTCCTTCATTTGCGCTCTGACAAATAGGCACCTGTGTCGCCCTTGTCATAACCGCGAGAAGGCCCGTGGCCTGGGCAAGTACATCTGCCAGAAGTGCCACGCCATCATCGAAGAGCATCCCCTGATCTTTAAGAATGACCCCTATCACCCGGACCACTTCAACTGCAACAACTGCGGGTCAGCCTCCCCTCTCTCATTCCGACTGTCAAGCACAGGACGCAATGCAGACGTCAGAATATATTTGAGACATCACAAAAAATGGTCTCCGTTGTGTTTTAATGGCCCACAGGAAGGAGCTGACGGCTGAAGCCAGGGAGCTGAAGGGAGAGCTCTACTGTTTGCCCTGCCACGATAAGATGGGTGTACCAATCTGTGGGGCCTGTAGGAGGCCCATCGAGGGGCGCGTTGTCAATGCCATGGGCAAGCAGTGGCATGTGGAGGTTTGTCAGAAGGAAGGAGGCTATTTTTGATGCACAGTAAATACGCAGTATTGCTAATTTAGGAGAAGTAACCCCACCGTGCACGTGACGTGGACAATATCTTTCCATGGAGTTGCAAACTTGTTTGTAAAGCTATTGTAAGTAAAGCTTTTACAGTGAAGCATGATACAACTATTGAATGAATTCCACAATACGTTACCAATACGTCTTATGTACAGGAGGATTTAAGGCATCGATTGAACAACAAAACACTGTTAGTTAGCTCATTTGAGGCAGTAGGAGCGCAGCGATTATTTCTCCCGAGGCAGAAAGCATCATATTGTTTATGTTTATCTGTCTGTCAGCTGAATTTTCTACTCTTCAAAATGCTCAAGACTATCAACATTGTACTGAAGTCATTTTAATTATATTTACAGGAATTTGTTTAGAATCCAACTGCCACAGGAACTTTTATGAAAAGTAGAGCTTTTCTAAAAACACTGGGGCTGAATATGGTTTGATAAAACCAAAACATCAGTAATGGGTCCACAGGTCAAGTCTATAACTTTTGGAAACAATTCTAACTAAGTAAACATATTCATATGACGCTCATTTTTTATTCATGTCGAGTTGGCAACTGCTCCTCTAGTCAATTTCACAAGCATACATTAGGAGTTTGCTTCCCCGTCTCCCTCAACAACATTTCTTTCTGTCGGCAGCATTTTGTTTGTGCCAAGTGTGAGAAGCCTTTCCTCGGCCATCGGCATTACGAGAGGAAAGGGTTGGCCTACTGCGAGACTCATTATAACCAGGTAAGCAGCAGAAGAACCACAAGCACAGAAGACCTGCAGCGCCTGCTTTTAAAAATGAAATAAAAACGATCCAATCTCCCTTTTTGTTTTTAAGCTCTTCGGCGATGTGTGCTATCACTGCAACCGTGTGATTGAAGGGGATGGTGAGTGGTTTGAATGTAATTTACATAAAATGCTGCTTGAGCCTACAACAGTTGAGTGTTCATGCGTCCCTTTCTTTGTCTTAGTGGTGTCCGCTCTCAACAAGGCCTGGTGTGTCAGTTGTTTCTCGTGCTCCACCTGCAACACAAAACTCACTCTCAAGTAAGTCACGTTGCTCAACAAGAGCTCTTTTTCTCTTTTACTCACTAACCCTGTACGATACTGACATTTCCGCTCGACTAAACGTGTACATGGTACAAAATGTGTTTCACTTTCCCGCTACAACTCTTCCCTCCTTGGCTCTTCCCCCCCCCCCCCCTCTCTCTCCCTCCAAATTCTCCTCTTACATGCTTCGCTTCACTTCTGCGGTCACTCAAGAGATAAGTTTGTTGAAATTGACCTGAAGCCGGTGTGCAAACACTGCTTCGAGCGCATGCCAGAGGAGCTGAAACGGCGGCTGGCTCGACGCGAGCGTGATGCCAAAGACCGCAAGAAAAATCCCGCCGTCAGCCTGTAGAGTTATTAGTCTTAACTCGCCTCTCCACGGCTGGTTGGTGCTCTGCCTTCCTCTTTGTCCGTGGGGTTCCTTGTTCTGCATGATGTTATTCTTTTTCTTTAATTTGTGATGTAAAACTGGCTCCCTATGATTTAAGTTTTGAGGAAATATACATGTATATTTATTTATATTTAATGCTAATGAGTGGGACCTCAACTAACAATTATTTCCTCGATCTATGCGTTAAATGTTGGGTCTGTTAAATGTCCAAAGGGGAAGTCTATTCCCTTTATTGTTTTGGTCATTCAACAGTCTAAAACATAATTATGTACATATTTTAAGTTGGCGGTTTCCACATTTGCTCCTAAAAGCATGAAGTTTATCGTAACACAATTCAAAGTTAGGAGGTTGTGACTTTTGGGAACATTTGGGCCGGAAGTGTTGATGCCAATGCAGGTTTGAGGGGAATCACAAAGCTTAATGGAATTGGATTTGTTTCTGAGATTTGCCTTTGCTTCCTTCTTTGCAGGAACAAGTTTGTTGAGTTTGACATGAAGCCGGTTTGTAAAAAGTGCTATGAAAGGTTCCCTCTGGAGCTGAAGAAGAGGCTGAAGAAGCTGGCTGAGTCTTTGGGACACAAGTGAGCGGCTTCGCTGCCTCACTCTCCCGTAAGTGTTCCCGCTATCGCCTGTGGACTGCTTGATAACAACCCAAGAATTGTACCTCAGTGTTGAGATCCATTTAAAATATAAATCTATGTCACTGTGGTGTTGTCTAAAAGGGGCCGGTTAGCAGATTACTTTTTTTCTGCCATAGACACAAATGTAATTGTTCCTAAATGGGCCGGATATTTTTTTTTATCATAGCAGAGACAATGTGTCCCAGTTAATTATAACTTTACCCATGAGCCTGATAACCAACTGTCTAAAATGTTCTTGAACCTGAAGGTTGTTATATATAGAAATTATATTGAATAACATGTGTGCCTTGATTATAAGAAGAATGTGTCTTAAAATGCAAATTATGTTTCAAATGAGACGTAGCCTTGTTGTAGCTGCACCTCATTAAATGCACCTCGATCACACAAAGTATAGACTGAAAGCAGAGTTACGACCTTTTCCCCCTTTTGAGCTCATACCTCCGTATGAATACTTGCAAAGTCACCACTTGTGCTCTTTAGGATATCGGTTTCTATTCTTGCTAACATGAAATTATAATCTCTATGTTTCAAGGACAAGGCTCATAAACAAGCCTATAAGCATTAATGAACCCACCGGTTATGAATAATAAATATAAACTTGTGATGAACTTGTGCCTCCTGTCACTTTTCTATCAGCTGTGAATCAACAGTTAACATTCTAGATTCGGATAATTACTCCATGAATGTGAGGATGCTTCCGCAGTGAGTTGTACAAAATGTGCTCACTGTATGTTACTGTCTGATGGCAGTGGAATGTTTTTGCCTCTACAGTAAAGGCCCTGGGATTGTCAGCCTCACATTTTCACTATCTGAGGGAAATAGGTCAAAGGAATAACGATGAAATGAACTTTCAGCTCATGAATTAACAAGCAAACCCTTTGATGTGAGAATATCATTAATGAGTCAGCATATTGCTCCGCGGTTTGTAAACTGGCAAATGTATTTAGAAAAAAATGAGTTGTGATACACAATAACAGCAAAATTTGCTTGTGGCACACTTGCATCTTTTGCATTAGTCAAAATGGTAATTTTATTGCATGAAATGGAGAATCACAGTTTAGTACAATATTTTCCACTATATCAATTCAGGTAGAGCTCCCTAACACATCACAGTGACACAAACCAAGTCTCCACAAGCTAGATTTGCAGTAAATATTCTCTAACTTTCTTTAACGGTTGTGCAACCTCCAACGAGGATATAAAAAGCACTGTATTTTGTATGTTTTGTTTGAATGACATTCACAGCTTTTTATCACTGGGGTCCTTTTGTGTTTGCCACCTTCCATTGCACGCTGAAATCCACAGCAACAACAACAACAACAACAACGCATACTAGTTCTTATTCTCAGCAGACAGTCTGACTTGTCATAGCAGAAAAAGGGCAGGTGTTTTTAGAAACATAAACAAAGGCTGCATTTGATTAAAGTGAAGCCATTACCGTGTTTCAGGAAGCCAGCATGCACAATGCCAGGACCCTGATGACAGCCAGAAATGTGGAAAAATACCTCAAATGTACAAATGTACTAACTACTGCTAGTATTACTTTCCCAACATAAGTTAATCAACATGCATTTGATAATTATTTGACGTAGTTACAAGATTTTACATTTTCCTCTGCAGAATCGAGAGTTGAATTCTTACACCGTGTCCACAGTAGCCGACCGCTAACTGGGAGCATGCTGGGGAAATCTCTACCGCTGGTTCTGACAGTGTAACGGTTTTACTGCCATTTGCTTGTGTTGCGGTCGGAGATGTGACGGTGGACCCAGGAAGTGCAGTCTGAAAGTAGCCCATTCGCCTAAGGTCATACCTAGGATGTCTTTAAGGTCATCTGCATCACCGAAGATCAGGGCCAGGCCGTTGAGGTCTTTGCTTCTCACAATATCAATGTACTTACTGGGGAATTTCATTCTTTTCAACTGAAAATAAGAGGAAAATATCCACATTATCAACACTGAGGAATCATATGAATAGGTTCATAACCTTTCTGTTGCAGTCTCATGGTTTTGATTTGAATCATCTTGTGTGATGAATAAACACACACATCCTAATAAATACTACTGCTTTGTGTGCGTGTTTAGGATTCTATTGATGGTCAGCTTTAAAAAAACATACAGTTAATAGCTTTTCCCCTTCTGTTTTTTGGCCAAAATAGCATACATATGATAAAAAGTGTAATAACTACTTTGTCTATCTGATCAATTGCTATTCTGTACGGATAAAGAGGATCCCACTTACAAGGGATGGTTCTATTGTGTAAATATCAGTATATATGTCACCCGTGAAGAAATTAATCCATATAACAATTTTCTAGAATCAACTTTCCAAAGTTCGGTGCTGGTTGGCTGATTCAAACCCTTTTTGGATCCCACGCAGAAAAAAGCGCTCTTAGTCACTCAGAAGCCAAATGAACCCCTCCTCCCCCCCAACGACTCCTAAAGCCAGCGCAAAAGGCGCTGAAATTGCTTGTGATGCGCATACAATGGCTGCTGCACGTATCTCAATGTAAAGAAAAAACGCCAACGGTAAGCAGCATTTATGATTGACATGCTTGTGATGCCTGGAGGTTATTCTGCTCTGGCGACGTTTGTCTGCATATGACATGTCTGCATTAACGTAGATAATGCCGCAACACTTACTGCCAGATCAACAAAGACTGAAATCTGATTGCACTTGACGAAGTTCCTTACCTCTTTACACACATCCTCTTTATCCATGTTGACGATAGTTGTGATTGGCAGAGGAGCGAGGTTCCTCATCCAACCAGAATCTTTCAGCCTGGCGGTCCCTCTGAGGTGAGCCAGCTGCGTCCTAATCGAGCGGTCCAGGTTCACCGTCGCCTCTTCAAAGGTTTTAAAGTCCTGTACCGTGAATCGGAAATCCATTTTGAGAAATCTTTCAAACATCTCAGGGTCTCCGTCCTGCTCGAGGAGGTCTTCAATCTGTGGACTCATCACATAGAGCTCAGCCCTGGACTCGCTGAAGACTTGCCACAAAGTCTTTGAATCAGCCGCGTCGGTCTCATCGTTACGATCGATAGCGGCTCTCTGCTGAGCGTCTTCCACACACTGGATGATCCAGCTGAGGCGGCAGGGCCACTGATTGGCCAGGACCACCCACGCCGCGATGTGGTCCGGTTGAGGAAGCTCCTTCTTCAAGGCCTTCATGATTATCACAGTCAGTCGGATGGAGTTGATCTCCCTCCTCATGGACATGGCATCCTCGAACATGTACTCGTTTAGGTTCCTTCTGCCGCTGGTCAGGATGCTCCTGACCGACTCCTCCACTTCCTCCTCGTTTGCATCCGGCGCAGATGTATCTCTGTCCATCAGCTCATAGGATTCGCTTGTGTCAGATGCAATCTCCACACAGCAACGTGTATGTTTGAGGCTCCTGGTTCCACGTTTTCCTTCGCTTGGGATTACGCGCTCCGGTTCCTTCGAAATGCTGGCAAGGCTGTCAAATAAAGTGCGCTTTGAGTCGTCGCACAGTGGGGGGACAGTGAAGGCCAGCGTCACGATGCGGTTCAGCATCGCGTACGCTCTGTCTTCTTTGCTGAAGCAGCCGTCCGCAGAGTTCACCTTCTGCACAAGAACATCGGGGTCGACGGCGAGGATGGAAATGTAAGGACTCTCCTCATCGGAGAGCAGGATGTTGATGGCGTCCAGGACCGCCACTATTTTCTTGGGGGAGCAGCGGTCCAGATTAGTGATCTTCAGCACCACACGGATCCTTCTCCGCTCAAACACCTCCATGAACCGGATGAACTGAGAGAGGAACCACATCTCCTTCCTCACTTCGTCCATGAAGCCCAGCCGGATGCTGATGCGGTCGTTGTCCATTCCCCTCTTGATGTTCAGATCCTGGTTGAAGATGAGGTTCTTACCTATGAGGAAGGCAAACCTCAACGCGCTTGCTGCAGGGACTCCTATGGCGCCGATGACCAGGCCCTCCATCACGCCCACCTGGGTGGTTGTTCCGTTCAGCGCCGCGCCTGGTTTCAGCTCGCGGAGGCCGAAAGTCAACAGGTATGCCAGGACGATAGGTGCCACCACAAGAATGAGCAGGCAGAGCGACCACAGAGGGCAGCAGCAAAACATTTTGGTCCTCCAATGGCTTGGGCTGTCCTCCATTGTCTGAATTCAAAGGAATGAAACGGAACAAATGCGGTGGAATATTAGATCTCACTGTGTTTTTTGCGATGCGGTCGGAACTTTTCATCTAAGGCCGCCTTGATTTCCACATGTTCGTTGTGAGTGAAATAAGGGCCCTATCTGATCCGCTCGCAATCAATTGACTTGACTTGTTGAACCCCTGCCTTTTCATCTCGCGCCATCACCACATACATTTTCCTTTTCTCCACTACATATCCTGAAGGGTGGATGGAACTAATTACACTTCTGCATAAGTTATATTTGACTAAATATTACAGATTTTATTTATTATGTGTGACTTCAGTGTGATTTGCGTAGGAAGAAAAAAAGTCAATAAAAAGGGTGACCCAAAAAAAATACAGCCACCCTTCTGTTGGACCAGGTGCATTCTGGCTGCGGGAAGCACGACGCGCTGTAACTCGGGTGAATTTTCCCCGTCTACCTGCACTGAGGTGTTTAACGACTCTCTGCTGTGTTAATAATCTCTCTCTATCTCAAAAAGCCTCCAACAACACACTCTTTCTCCAGCGTATTCTTCTTTGTTTGCGTTAGTGGATCATTTGTGTTTGTCGCCGCAGCCACTATTTGTTGTTTTTGTCCGCCTTTGTCACGTTTTATTCCGCTGTTGTTTCTGAATGGACCCGCCGCGGTGTCTCTTTATTTATTGTTGTGCATGTTTGAGTCATTATCATCAGCGGTCTACTCCGGTTGCTAAGTGCTCTTTGCGGAAATGGGAGATAATGCGGTTGTTGCTTTTGGATAGAAGAGCTATCTGACATCCTGTATTACCTTTTGCAGCCTAACTGTGTTTATAGTTTTTACATATATTATCATCATATGATGATCTGCAGATTTTACCGCCCATTGAAGTCCCTTTCCCTGGGAAACAATTGCGTTTTAACTGACTTCCTTTTTTACTTTGTTTCAAACTACTTACTTTTACTTGTAGGCTACTTGAATAAAATAACTTTAAAGTGCATTAAAGTTAGATGTTATAGCAGTTTTTCTCCTGTTCCAGTACATCAAATGACTGTGATCTGACTTTGCAGAAATACACCTGGCTGTCATCGGTCCGCATTGAGAACAATTGTCTAACAAAGGCCAAAAAGAAACCCGAGAATGGATGAAATACTACTTCACCACTAAGTTTCATGCCCCTGCAGCTGAGTAAAGCCAAACCGAGCCACGCGCATTGGCGTTAGACTCTGTAGGGTCACAAACCTTCTTCTTGACTTCCTCATCGTCATCATGTTGAGCCACACGGTAGAGGACAATCTGTAATTTGCCAAAGTTCATCTGCATGGCGTGAAACAGCCGTATGGCCAGTCCAGCCCAAAGCAGGTCACTGCCTGCAAAGTGCCAGGCACTGAAATGTACATTGATGAACCGGATGTTCTGCTGCTGCTGGTTCTCCTTCGTCCAAATGGGCCGATAGAAGAGCATTCGACCAATGAGAGCGAGCAAGCCACCAAGTGAAGGTGCAACTGAGCGCGGCTTGTGACGTCCTTCATATTTCTGCTCAATATTCAACGCTTCCTGCTTCATGTACACTGAGGAGACAGAAAACATTGGTAATATTTACATTTTTGTTCCATTAGCAGGTTGAGGTAGACCACCACTAGGATAAAACATATAAGTCAAAGCAGAAAGACAAATCAAGACTGGCAACACATACAGCACCAGTCAAGGTTTGGAGCCACTTTCTCATTGAAGCGAATGAGAAAATGTGTAAGAGGCTGAAAATAACATAATTTCTTTGTGTGTCTTGCACCATTTCATATTATTACATTACTTTTTACATGCCATTTAACTGACGCTTTTATACAAAGAAGTTCAGTTAAAGTGTGTTTTATTTTATCATCTTATTAAGAAATGTGCTATATTTTTGTCAAGGCCAAGGTGACCCTGCTCATTCATTAGTCTTGAGGAAAAAAATATGCTGATAGTTTTGCAGACAATTTGCCCACATTTGAATGATCACAGTCGATAGTGGGGGGGATTGTTTGGACACAGTCTTTATACGAGGAAGCTCCGAGGTGGTGACAGAGCTCATTCATGAGCCAAGAAGTAGGTGCTGCCACAGCATCAGTATCTTCTACAGTCCACCATTGTTTCACACAGCCATTCCCGCAGTGAATATTGTAGCATAAACTTTAAAAAGAGGTAAAGGTGAGCGGGCTTTAAGCAGTAGATGTAAAGCTAGAGCCGTGCGGCAGACAGAGGTCATGAGATGCTGGGAGACGGTGTGTTTGTACCTACCTGCCATTTGTCCGAGGATCCTGTGAATTCGATTCTCACATGAGGAGTAGAGTCCTACAGTTGCAGGCGATGAAACTTCTGTCAGAGTCTTAGACAGCGCGTACGCATAGACGTCATCTGTAGGGAGATTGAGACTATTCAGAAACTCATCTAACATTTCTTTTTTGTTCTGGTTAATTTAGCTGATGCTCGTCTCTTTTTAAGGATCATTTGACAAACCTTTTCACATAATTGCCCATACTTAACGAAGAACTAGATCTCCCAAAAATGGGAGGGAATAAAGGGTCCTGCATTAATAATGCCAATTTAATAATCCAATAATATAAGATAATTATTACATGAATAGTATGATTCATATTTAATTCAGGCGGGTAAAGGAACAGAGGCCGTAGCCACAATGCGCACATCCTTAATTGAGACAAGCATTTACACTCAGTTCATTATCATATTTACTGTAAAAGTGAAACTAAAAGTGAGCCCCTCTGAGCAGGAGGGGAGAAGGCTGTGTCCCGCCATCGCAGGCGGGTACCTCACCGTGGTTTGCCTCGGACATGTCGACTGCGTGGGGGGGTCGTGCAGCTTCGACCTGCGGGAAGCGAGAAGCCGCAGTGGGAAGTGAGTGCGGGCAGCGGCGCTGTGTTCGTGAGTGCAAAAACCCTCCCCACTGACCGACGGACACTCCGGGTGCGCACAGCCTGTGACTTGAGAGATGCGTGAGAACGGGTGCTCAACAGCCAACGCGAGTGAACGCGAGGCCGAAAAACACAAACTCACAACCTGCATTTCTTCGTTTTCGGCTGATGACAAGAATGTAATGCGTGTACTTTCCCCGAGCGCAGGCGGTTCTTTTCTTATGCGCAGGGAAAAGTCAACAGTTTCGCTCTGTCAATGATTACCTCGCATAACACCTTTTCCTCCCGGCAACACGTTTCCTCTTTACGATCTTATACTACATCTTGTACAGTCTTAACAGAGCAAAACGGAGTCACGGACAGACTTTTATTCCTGAAAAGGTTCATGCTTGACTCTTGATCGACTTTGATCAATGCGCACAAAATAATCCAACGTTATCGTTACGCTCGGAGCCGTGTGTGCTTGACGCCTGCGGAGAAACACAACGACTTGTGTGTTGAAAACGGTTTTTGCTGGTTGAACAATTAAGCTTACCTGGTTGATATCACAGCAGACCTTTATTTACGCTCATCTTTCAACCGCCACTTCTAACATATCCAGAAAACAGAAAGGAGCGAAGGACCAGTGGACCTTCCACCCCAATCTATTCAATGTCGTAAAACTTTACAACAGAGGGAAACAATGCACCTGACATGCACACGCAACGTCTGACGGACACTATATGCAGGAACTGACGTCACGTGCAAAATGAAAGGATCCCCGAGAGATGCTGTGTTTCCATTCACCCGCTCACACCTGTTGCAACGTGCTTCTCCCGCTGCTCCCGAATTTTCTCCATTCATGGAATCGGAGGAATGTGGGTTGTTCCTGGAAGCATAACGAGGTAGAACAAGTCCCATTCCTGCGATGGCCTCTAGCATTCAGCGTCCAACTTTTTTTTTTCCAGCCGTGGAAAATGGAAGAAATGAGCGCTTTTCACGCTGCAGCCGTGAGTCTGCGTGAATCATCAACGTTTGGAGGCCCTCAGGTTTTGAATGGCGGGACTGCTCGTGCCGGCCCGAGCTGACGTGCACAGCAGTTCGGATGCCAGGGCAGCAGCAGCAGCAGCATCAGCACCACAGCCTGTTCTGCCCCGGGTAAGATAAGTTATGACATAACTGGTTAGTCAAGCTAAAACAAGCTTGAAGCCTAATTTCATGTGGCATATTGACATGCGTTGGCTTATACATTTACCATCTGGTGTCGCGTTTACTTTTCAACAAAAGTCACTAAAGATGCAGACATATTTGATTATAAATGCTTTTAAATTTGTGTTAGATTGATCAGCCTTTTATTGTTACTTGTTTTATTTGATTAGCAGACTAAAGTTTTCAGTGTGTTTTACATGCAAGAAGTTGTGTTTTTGTCCGACAAATGTGTCACCACTACAGCAGCATTTTGTGTGTCAACGTGGGCTGAAACACATTGTGACACAACCATTTACATGATTACTGTAACAATTTATGCTGTATGACAACACAAACACACCTGAGTCAACACAAACAATCTCACACGTCACTGCAGGAAATGATTGAAACAATGTTTAATTAGTGGAAGTCTAAGATTTAAAGTGCTCGGCCTGCAGATGGATTCTGCCTTAACTCAAACTACTGGATTGTTAAACTATTTTAATTAACTTGATTGTTGTAGTGATAGTGAGGGTGTGTGTGTGTGTGTGTGTGTTTAAGTGAAAGGGAGGTTCTCAGTTACTGCTTCACCAATACTTAATTAATTGGATTGTATCTCGCCTTCTATGAACCCTCAGCACACATCCACATTGCCCTTTCAACACATACACCTTGCAGTTGAGTTAATGAATTCACCTTCATGATTAATCCACGATTGCTCCAGACAAAGATGAATTCTCATTCTTCAGAATTGAAGTGATGTCCTTTTCTTTCGGTTAAGTCAAAAGGGATTTTGCTTCAGACGAAAGGGAAATTAAACTATTATTATGTGTTAAGTTCAGTCAGAGGCTGGTTGAAAGGATCCTTTGCATCGACTGCCGGACCTCAAGTGACATTATGCAGTTTTTTGTTAAATATATTTAATTGAAGTTGTAGTCCAACACAACACCAACAGAGGGCGCTAAAGTATCGTACATTAAAAGCGAGACAACGACGTTTGATCAGCAGCCCCACATTGCACCGCTCTGATCTATTTGATACGGAGGAGGAAACCTGATAACGAAAGAGGCATTCACTGAAAACCCGGGAGCGCCCAAGACCTTCACTATGCTAGAACTTCTCTTGGATGAGCTGATGATCATTTAATGTAAATCAGTAACTTCAGAACAAACACACAAAAACACACACATTCATAGATCCAGAAATGTCTATCTGCCTTATCCGTTGTTCCTACGGGCGGACGAGCCTGAGTATTGACACGCAGCCCGACACCACCATGCGGAGCCTAATTGGCCTCAAGACCTCTTGTTGTTGTGATCTATTGATCAGCTTCACTGCAGATCCAGCGACGTCGCAGGAAGAGAACAGAGAAGGAGCCACATATACCGAAAGTAAGCACTGTCAAATCTGAGCATCATGTCTTTGCTCCCCAGGCAGAGCTGTGCAGCAAGGAAAGATGATGATGTGGTCCTCATCCTGAGACGCAGGGGTCCAAATCCTGATTCACACGCACTGATTGTCCTTTATTGTTACCAAAGCGGATGATGGCAGCAACAAATGGAGGCTTGTGAATGCCGTGGCCCCCGACGATCTATAGACACGGTTTGCTTTAACAATCCCAACAGAGACAACAAGATGTAAACTCCTTCACGTCCGCAAAATGCACTTTTTGTTTGATACTACAGATTGGAAAAAGAAAAAGGGAGCTATGAGATTGCCACCGAAGAGCCCTTCAGGGGCAGGCTGAGCGAAATGGTATGCATGCTGATCTTGTATCTATCAGCACAAGCATCCAATGCGTGATTATTTCGGGCTGCACCTTCAACCTCCTCTCCATTCACATTCAGATCCAAGATCACATCATCTCATTCTCATCTATTTCTATTTCGACTTCCTCTCCCTTCTCGAGCAGCGCCGCCATTTCAATGTAAATAGTGTCTGTCGCTCTCTCCCTCTTAATCCTCCTGTCTCATTCTGTACAGCCTTCCTTCAAATCCCGGAAGAACTCCTAAGAGAAACATGCGCATGTACATGAGGCCTGCCACACAGTATGTCCTTCGCTTCCTCGTAAAAGGTAATACATTCTCCTTTATGGGCCGCACAAATTTCCTATTCTCTTCTGTGTGCGTTCCCATATGGTATTACATTTATGATGCATGACAGGCTTACAATTCTCCATCTCCTCTGCAGCACACCGCGTGTAGCTATCCAGAAGTTAAGGCGGCGACAACGGGCATCATTCCACATTTTTCTTTCTTCGCGGTTTCCTCTTTGTATTCCTCTCCAGGCTTAAATGATATCTGTCTTTCTGCCCGGCATGTGAGGGTACAGCTATCAGCTGCACAACGAGCTCTTCTCTGCGCGGTGGTGGAGCGGGAACGAGTGCCCACTCTTGTACCTTTTTTAGCAGCACACAACTTTACACAAATGTGTGCGCTTATGCACGTCCACCTGCTGATCCTGCCTCCCATTTTGTCGTCAATATCGCTGCGTTGAGGGGTTGATAGCTGTTGACAGGCTGAATTGTGGAGGGAAAGATGATGGAAGCTCTTGTAGGAATAGAATAGTTGAGGTTGAGACCCCTTCAAGGGTGTTATTAGGTTGTTATGAAATCTGATCCCCATCAGACCTCCACTGAAGCATGGGGGAGGTATCTGTACAGCCAGATGCAGTACACGGCCCCTTCCTCCTATAACTTCCTCTTATCTACCCTCCCTCTCACACACACACAAACACACACGTTTTGTTTTATATTTCATGAACACACACACGCGCATCGTGCACTACATCATCAAAGCTCTCGACAAGATACCGGAGTACGCCCTGATCAGTGAGGAATCAGTGAGAGAACGGCTTTCATAGCAATAATGTAAAAATGCTTCTGCTATAATTTTATTTTATTTATGTACCCTTTATTTAACCAGGTAAAAGTCCCATTGAGATCTCGATCTCATTTTCAAGGGCGACCTGGCCAAGAAGGCAGCAGCACACATTGTCAAAAAACAGCCATAAAATACATATACAGTACATGACATGAGTAAAACCACAATACAAATTAAGTTAAAAAACTAAAATACAAAGAAAAAATGGTCAAAAGCAGAGGCACCGTTCAATAGATTTTTGTTGTCTGTCCATTTGGAGACGTCGGAAAACATTAAAAGATACAAGTTCAGACAATTTCAGTTCAGCCTGGAGATTGTTCCATGTTGATGGGGCGGCAAAACTGAATGCTTTTTTCCCCAATTCAGTCCGCACTCTGGAATGTACAAGCAGTAAATAATAAAAGAAAAAAGTAAATAATACAAAGAAAATCCACCGAAAAATAAGAGTGCACACATGTTCACAACACAGCTGTAGAGCCTGGACCCGTTTGATGGGTGCACATATTTGTGTGTCCAACAGGTCTGCCAGATCAAACAAAAATATAATTTATTTCTCAAACTCAGTTTGGGGTAAATTGATACATTTGAGTGTATTTACATTCAGGCCATTTCACTTTTGTCCTTATGCTTTCTTTTGACAACGTTTTTTAGCTGCTGCATTATTTTCTGTGCTGGTGGTGAGAATCTAGTGATTGTTGCAGTCGGTCCACCACTTCAGTCCAGACTGAAATATCGCTGCAACCTTTTGATGGGTTGCCATGAAATTCACGATCCCCAGAGAATGAATGCGAATCACTTTGATGATAACCTGATCTTTCCCTTGTTGGGTTTACATTTGTGGTTTGAGCAAAATGTCTCACTGGATTGCCTTGGACGTAGGTGTCCCCCTTGGGATAAATTGTAAAAACTTTAATGGTACGATCATTTTTCCAAAATATATAACATTTTATGTTTTCCAGATATTCAACTACCCACAAAACATTATCATCCGCCTCAGCAGTATTTTGTGTTTCCTGCTCATCTGTAAATTAGAGCGACAAGCCGTACCTGCTAAACACCAGCGTGTTAGCATTGACTTTTTGATCACGTTAGAATGCTGATGTTAGCATTTAGCTTAATGCAGCGCTTTAACTAAGTACAGCATTACAGAAAAGCTTGCACAGCTGTAGTGTATAGGTCTAATTTAAATACTTTATAAAGATCGTTCACAGTTCATAAAAGTCGAGCATTGAGTATTTGTAAAGATTTGATTTCTCAACCACCTAAAGAAGCAGTAAAAAATGATTTGGACGGGCTAATGCAAAATCAATGTACACACAGCACCAACTTCGACAACATTGCAATAAAAAAAAGCAATATATCCATGTAGGATTAGTAATTCTATTGAAATCTGACAAAGACACCTTGGGAAACAAAGGAGTAAGTGCTGGCATTGTTATACCCGCTGCAGAGCCAGCACTTACAGCTAAATGTCATATTTTTGCCATAGCTTTGAGGGATTTCACATTGGTAATTCTATCTATTTGGAAGTAAAGACAGAATGATCAGATTCCATGTGGTAAAATGCAGCTTCACGTAGTATATTAGAGAGATAGGATCATTGCAGATTGCATACACATACATTGTAACTGACATTTTCAATTTTAGTAACATGTGGGAGTGTCACATGTATGTGTGAAAAAAACAGGTTGGATCCACTAATCAAAAAAACATTTGTCACAGGTTTCCACATCCATATGGAGACGTATCCGTTGCAGAGGCGTCGAGTTTGAATGATCAGGTTGTCTACGTTCGCGCTAAGGTTTTTTTCTGCTCATTTAAAAAAAAATGTTGCATCTATTACAAAGTATTGAGATGTCATGTCTGTTTACGCGGCGCACACGAAGAGGAGCCAGGCTGGAGAAAAGGCAAGAGGTCGACAGAAATCGCAGCGTGCATGGGAATCCTATTTCGTGCGACAAGAATCATTTAGAGTGTCTCTCAGAGCTCACTCTAAACCCCTTCTGTCAGCTGTGAGAGAGCACGCTCTAATCCATTGTCACTGGGTGGATTCATTTGCATAATTCCACCATTGTGCAGCCCCAGATCCTTTTCCGCGTCCTCCCTCACATGTGAAAAGACGACGGAGAAGTAGAAAAAAAAAGAACTCTCCCAGACCTTCTGCTACTTGTTGCTTGGGAAACGTGGGTGGAAACGCAAAGGGAAGTACAGAAGGGCAAAAAGGAGCGAACCGGCAAAGGAAAAAGTTAAGAGATGGAGCGGGCGGCGGAGTGTAAATACGAGGACCAGGGAGCAGAGAAAGGAAGTACAGACAGAAGACTTACAGAGAGAAGAGAGGGAACTACTGTTCACTCAATGCGATACATGGGCATTTTTTGTTACTTAAAAAGTAATTTATCTACGTCGACCGTCTGTTAGTCCTTTATTCAAGTGTGACCAACACATGCACGCACACACACACTTTCCTCAATGTTCACGTGTGTCACTGTTTGTGTGTTGTTGTTATTGTTGTGTGCATGATGAGGCTGTATTGCTTTATCCTCCAGGGAGCAGGAAGCTGGAGGGAAGAGAGGCAGGAGGCAGTGCTAAATTGTACAGATAAAATCAATATGTAGTTAAGGGGTGGGGCTGAGCCTTTTAGCGGGAACACGGTATATTATTGCAATCGCCCTGTGCAGTGTTAAATAGATTATTCTGAAAATGTGATGTGGAAAGCTCCCTTGTCAAAGAACATTTTAGAATGATCACTCGGTACTCAGTGATTACTTTTTCTTTTTTTCCCTCCCTTTCAGCATGCATCAAAGGTAACTTACAATGAGACTGTCCTTCCAAGAAAAGTACCAGCAGTTTGCGAAATAACCCCAAAAGCCACATGATTACCCTCAGAATGCCCTCTCTCCATGCTAGCTGAATTACTAAACATATTAGTAATGTTGTAAATATGTATATTTTAACAAGACATTAGTTTAGTAGTTATGGGTTATATGCACACATTTTGAAGCCCGATACCACAAAACCTGGACAAATAAACGCAAACCGAACTGCATGGCCAACGCCTCTGTGCAGCGTTTAGAGAAAATATGTTTTTTGTTGATTTGGGTGGAGGTGAATTGATTCAGATTCAGTGGGACTAACCAGGGAGCATCTCTTGCCCTCAACTGAGAGACTTCACACTGTTACCCCTGCTGGCAAGGAATGAAAAGCCTGCAGAGCCGTGTCCTCTGTCTCCCCGGCTGGCTGTCTCTGTCTCAGCGCTCCCACTGCCCTGATAAGCAGAACAGCATGCCCTGCTATGATCACCATGATTCATTACACATAATCAGGTGTACTAATGAGGTCATAATCAAGATAATTCATGCAATAATTAACAAATATTTCTCTACCAACATGCACCAGTGAAGAGTCCAACAAATCAAAATGATATACAACTGCGGAAAACCCAGTCCATTAAGAGCTGTCTGACACTGTTGGAGCAGTATGCATTGCCATTTTAAAGGCTTAGTTTATTTTTGCAGTTTTTTGTGTTGTGTTCTTACCATCACTTTGTATTTACCATGTTAACACCCTCAAAAAGGCCGATCCAAAAGCCACAAGCGTCGGTGTTGTAACCTCTCATCTCAACTCAATGGGCTTTACATTGAAGGACAGTATCTATACGGAAATTTGTTGTATTACTTCCGCTTGCGTTACGTTATCAATGCCATGGCGCCAAATTTCAATATATTGATAAATATAAAACATGCGGGGGCTCATGGTTTAATCCATCTAACAGAAACTCGTTGGCTAAGCTAACGTTTTTAGCATGGCGGTGGAGAAAAAAATTCTGTAAAACCGACGCAACAAAGTGGTTTGTATTTTGCCAATACAGATGTACACATATATCTTTATTCACTAAACCTTTCACTGGCTTGTGAGCAACGTGTGGAGCCCGGATGGTTGTGTCACGGCGGGGCGCCGCAACATTTGTCGGCGCAGTAGGCTACAGCAAAGGAAGATGGGATTTTCATTACACCGATCCTTTCAAATAAGCCTGGATCAGCCCTGACACCGTAGTGCAGTGCCTGTGGCTGTGACATCTCTAATAATCTATATTTTTATATTAACTATAGATCGCATTATTGCTTACTTGTATTTGAGAGTAACTCTGAAGATCCTCTCACCTCTCCGGCGCATTTTAGCATCTTCCATTTCTTTAGCGGATTTGATTTTGAGGCTGGAAACTTTATGGTTTTGGTTCACACTCACCAATCGTCATCAATGTTGTTTTCATAAAACTAAAATTAAAAACACTGTACACTACTTGCCCAGATAGATAAAGTTAGAAAGTAGCTGGTGAACGTACTTTAGTCTCCAAAATGAGTCCAAAGTGTCTCTGGAGCAAATCCGAAAAGGAGATTGCATATTGGACTGATACTCCACAACACTAAGATACATTCAGAAAAATAGGTTTGCAGTAACCATGCACTGGCATGGAAAACGGAACAAGTTGGGAAGTCATGTCTGTTATAGCGTCTCAGAAGAGTTGAGATGTTTATTCATCCAAAAATATGACCGTGCATACGTGCTCATTTTTCAACACTGCTTCACATTGAAATACTAATCCTCGCAAGCTGTTCAGTACAGCGGCAGCCTTGAATTGTCAGCCAACGCCGGAACAAGACTGGCTTCAGTGTGGGCCTCGCCTGGGGGAAAAGGAGCAAAGCTGAACCAGAAAATCTATTTCTCATAATTATGAATACCAAATGATTTCCATAATTCACTGAGCAGAGCGGCAAGACGCTGCAATAAGGTTAGAGTAGGTTCTGCAGGGGTGTCGATTGAAAATATTGACCTTCTGATTAAACATTTCATACGTACTCAGTCTTGTTTAAGCTGCCAAACATTTGATTGACAAATGTAGACTCCAAGAGAGGGAACGAGGGCCGGTCACTTGTGTCATTCAATTTGTTTTCAGTTGGGAAAGAAAAATCCATGGTTCTATTAATGATTCGGCCATAATTGAATCCCCCTCAAAGCTGCAGCCATAATCAGATTACACTTTTTCAATTACTTACTATTCAAAGGTTTGCTTTTGAAGTTCACACAGCTAACACCGGCCCGATATGTTTATTCATGTAAGTCCATAGCCAAACCGAGTAGACCATCCATCAACACACGTCGGTTCGAAGTGACTTCCGCTTTCTTTTCTCTCTGCTCGCTGTTCGAGACCTCCCTCCCCCACCAGAGAGCCGAGTGTGAACAGCAGTCGCCGCGGCGGAGCCCCGCAGAAAACAAATGGCGTCTCTGCTCGCTCTGTCACGGATCATCAAAGGCTTCCACAGTTACACTCAGTGTTGGCAAAACAGACGTGGGGCTAGTGATTGCTAGTTAAGACGCATCATGCTAAGACCCCCGATGGGTGCTAATTGTCACAACGTGGCAAAGGCTTACAATCACGCACGCAGATGCCGACACACATATATGGTCAGACACACACACACACACACACACACACACATACACAAATAAGCATACTATAATGGGCTACTGCGTAGTTTAAATTCTCTTTGATGATGTGGATGCCCCCTGCTGTTCACCATATTACTCTGTTCACATCAAACAGGTTGTTCTGGTAAGAATCAGGGACACGATGACAAGACTGCGGCTCATTCTGATGCCAAGCTTTTTGTTCAGATGGAAAAATAGGTTCCCCCACCCTTTTCCCCCACCTTCTTTTCTGTCAATATAGAACCCTTCATATTCCTTTTCCTATTGTAACTCTTACATCTGTTTTCCTCAGCCGTCTGTGCAAAAAGCTTCATATCCTATTTTTTTTTCGCGTCTCGTGTTTTTCTTGTCTTGATTTTTCCTGACAAACCGTCTCCCCTTACATTCTCCTCCTGAGTCACCTGGAACTCGCCGCAGCAGGCCGCCCCATCATGGCTGATCATCCAGACAATGTCAGCGTGAGCCACAGTTCACGGATGATAATGACCCTGCCCAGCTGCTCTGCAACCTGGGACTCACTGGGCTCCTCTAACCTACAGTCTGGTGTGTGTGTGTGTGTGCGTGTATGTGTGTGTGTGTCCATGCATGTGTACATGTGTTTGTGCAAATTATTTTGTGTTGAATGGAAGCCGGGGAAAAGGCGATGCATTCCCTATTGTGTTGTTTTTGGATGTGTATGAATGCATCCGTTCGTGCAGCGAACTCGGTGAACTGAAGATTTGTGCGCCGCTATCTGTGCATGAGCCTATTGGTATGGATAGCGTGGCTTGATCTCGAGCCTGATCTGTACTTGCTACCTTCACACCGCCCCCTCCCATCCCGTAATACCACCGCTACCTCCAAAGCTCTTCTAACCTTTCTCATGCACAACCACCTGTCAATCAGGTTCGTTGCAGCGCAACATGGTGACACTTTGTTTAGTGTTAATTGAACCCTCAGTTTAAATCGGAATAAACTAATATCCATTATCTGTTATTTCCAATGTAACCCGTTCCAGAGCCCTTATTAATTACAGCACGCAGCTTGGCGAAAATCCATTTGCTGATAAAACGTTTTGAAGAAATGAGGTTTGAGCTGTTTGTAGATAAAGATGCTTTGGCTCCATATTAACATGCATGTATGGCTTCAATCTCACATTTGAAAATAAAAAGAAATATTGAAATGTCTCTTTGTGATGATTCAGTGGAAATGGTTTCCTTAAAAATGGTGAGAAAGACTTTGCATGAAGCACATTTCCTCATACCGAAAAGTTAGGATAGCAGCTTGTTCCTCTCGTCATTATTTTAAAAAACACTCAAAGGGCATCAGTATGCTTCAAAGGAAATGCTTGTCAGACTAACAGCATCTGAGACGCCTTTCCCTATTCCTTTACATCACTTGGAAATGTCAAAGAATTGATCCACATTGACAGAGAAATCTGTTGACGTTAAAATTATGCATAGCTTTCTTTTAGAGACGCGGAATACGTTTTAACACTTTCCTTGCAAAGATTGAAGGTAGCAGTTGGTCTCCAGACAGATGAACAATAGCACTTCTACCACTTCGCTTTAGTCATATTTAGAGATTACTACCAATTAGCCCGGATAGCATGCTAACAGATTGCATAACATGAAAAATGCAAAATACACAAAACCAATAAATCTTCATCTACTTTTTACTCTCTTAAAGATGAATAGTCAAATCAAAAACACTGGGTCAATATAATCCTTATGCACAATGTCAAGGAACAAAAGAAACAGTAAAGAAAACACTGAGTCTGGATGTGTACATATCATAAGTCCTTAATCAAAGTAATTAAACAAAGTGACTCCAGAGTAATGCTCGGTGTCTTGGGTCAGACGAGTGTGTGAGCTGGGAAGGGAGGGGTTGTTGGGCCTTGCAATCCGAATGAATATAGTTCAATTCAGTGTCTGAAGTTCTGTTGACAGGCACTTAAGTCCAGTGCAGTTCATTGTGTGTGTGTGTGTGTGTGTGTGTGTGTGTGTGGTTTAGGGTAAAGAAAGGACAAGCCTAGAGGTTTTTCAATGGAAGAGACTCCGCTCGATGGGCCAATGAAGGAAAGGAGTCTCACAACAGCATCCAAGCACGGCCAGGTTGTTCCTGAACTGGGTTCTCCTGGAACCATCTGATCCACTCTCCTCAATGCCTCGTTGTCCACCGAGTCGATGAACTCAGCCGCTTCTTTTTCCTTGTGGCTCCAGTTGAGGTTTACTTGAAAGCTTATGGTGTACAGCAGCGGTGTCAAACACATTTCAGGTTCGGGCCAGATACTGCCCACTTCCATCGAACGCGGGCCAGACCATTAAAATCATATGGAGGGGTGGCGCTGACGATCCGACCTGGCACTGGCGGCCAGCCGGACTTGTCATAACACTATTTACCACATCTATTTCTCTCTCTCCTCCACTACCTGCTGCCGTTGTTATTTGATTATTCTTCCCTTTCCCCTTGTCACAAGGTTCGTCTTATTTATCTCCTCCTTGCCTGCACCCTCTTTTGCGGCCAGCATGGAAAGAGCTATTCTGTGCATTTCATTTTTTCCCCTTTCCGCCACACACCCTTGAAAGCACAGCATTGCACCATCTTGCATCACATGTATTGCAACATGGAAGTGAAAATGAATGTAAAACACAAAAAATTCTAAAGTATACGTCTGATCTTTCCGTGACACGAGTGGGTTTCTAAGAACATCTCGGCCTCGCAACAGGTCCTCTAAACGGAATGACGGCACAAGAGTGAAACGTCTATGGTAAAATGTCATGTCAGTAATTGTCTGCTGCCGCTTATCCGTTCCGCAGCGAGGATGGGCTTACAGTATTTCCTGCGCCGTCTCCTCTCTTAATCAATTCCCTGAGAGAAGGTTAAATTCTCTCCTCACAAGCCACCAGCTCCACCTGTGGGGGAGCGCCTCAAATAGAGATCAGACTGCAATCAGTTGACCGTCCGTGTCGTTACAGGATTAGCTCTACCCACAGCATGGGCACATACGTCTGGAAGCTTGTCCAATATTGGGCAGGTAATAGAGCAAGTGACTGCATGTCCCCTGGGAGAGATTAGTGCTCCATGTCCCATATTAAGTACAAGGCTTAAGGAGTAACAAATGACGCGTAACAGAAACAGAGTTCACTGTTTTACAGTTCGATTTGTCATGGTCCTCGGTGCTTTTCTATAAATAATAAGTCGTGTGTTGTTTGATTACCTAAACACATGACGATGATGAAAATTAGAAACATCATTAATGGTAATATATTGTGCTGTTTTAATGCCAACAATAGGAGGGCAAACCACCTCTGTAACCATTATATTCATATTATTTATGTTTTTGCAATTGGACTGCCAAGAATGTATGCTTTGCTAGAATATTCAGCAGTGTCCTTCAGAGCTGCTTCTTTTGTGATGTATTTTTTTCAACTTATTTTTTAATTTTCAACGTTGGCTAAACAGCTGGGCTCTACAGCTGGGCTAGTTGCTGTCACTTTTTTACCGAGCCTTTCAATCATAATGGAAGAGAGGCAGGACAAATACTACGAACCGAACCGCACCGTATTAGGTTATATTTGGTCAACAACAAGTATAACGGGGAAATTAATACACATAGTCCATTTGCTTTGGCCTGATCCGTCTGGAGCGGGTACTCTACTGTGTGCTGACAACTTTACTTCTGCAGATATTCCGTATCTTAGCAACCAGATGCACCCAGAAAACAAAACACCAAACCTCACTACCCTTCTGTGTCCTACAGAAAACAAGAAAGAAGTTTCCTTTTGTCATTTAATGCACAACACTACACAATAATGGACAAAATAATAAAGCTTATTTATACAGCATTGAAATTTGTAATTTGCAAAAAAAGCATTACAAATATTAAAATCCTTGTCTCTGATCCATTCAACGAATTTATAAATAAACGCTTTAAGTTACATGTTAAATAAATTCTGAATAGGACGCAGAGGTTTGGCTAATTTAGCACAGACATTCATGGTCCCCGGAGGATTAAACCTCGGTACTTTTGTGTCATCCTGACTTTTCTTCTATTTTTTCTCTGCTCAAAAGTGGCTGACTGATCCCTTTTCTATAGCAACCACCAAGTTTGACATTTGCTGTTTTGAGTTAAATATCTCAACAGCTATTGGACTGTGATGATTGGTCCTGATACTAACCAAGTAATATCCTCTTCTAAAAAAAAAGTGGATTTTAATTTCAAGACCGTTCAAGTCTGCAAGGATATGACGCCCTCTCACACAATTATTTTCACTTAATATCCCCTAATATACATTGCACTTATAGATCCACTAGTAAGGGCTACGGTTAGGCTTCTAATTAACTATAAACCTAGCATTGTTATTTGTGCTATTTCATATATGCATTTTTCAAATCGGATTTAAACCACAAACTTTGCTTAAAATGTAATCAGCACCATCTGCACCTTTTGAGCGCAGAGGGGAGAGGTTGCTTATGGTAAACTGTGGAGCAAGCAATATTCTTATTCTTCAATATTCTATTGATGTGTATTGAAATCCCAAAGTACGATCTTGATGTCATATTAGTGTGTAAAATCACAGTGAACACAACTCCATTGATTAATTTCAGGTCAATTCTAGAGGATCAGTTTCAGCATACTTTTCATAGAACAAATTCCTTGTGCAGGATTTTGTGTGGAATTTAAAGCTGAATGTACAGCTGTTGCACAACCCTGTAATATACTCACTCTCAGTTCTAATCATAATACCGTAAGAAAACATATATTCAGGGAGTTGAATTTTGGAATACATCAGTCTAATTCTGTACACATAAAATATGCCATTGTAGGAGCGTGGA